TAAATTTCGCGAAGAGATAAAAGATTATTCTTAAATATTTAAAATAAATTTCTACGCTTTAAAAAATAATAATAATATCGTCTATATAGTATCTAATAAAATAATAATATAAATAAAGAAAGTTATTTATTTTTCTCTAAATATAAGATATTAAGTTTTTAAAATCTATAACTATAATGTTAAAGTATTTTAATTCTTAATAAGATACTATAGTAAATTATTATTATTAATCTTTTTTTATTAAAAAAAGATAAAATAATCTATTATAAGTATTTATACTAATAAAAATATATTCTTAAATTATTATAACGATATTATTTTATAGAGAAAGAGAGTAATTATTAAAAATTATAATTTTATTAAGATCTCTAATATTAATAATAACTCTTCTCTTTTACTTTAATATTTTCTTTAAATTTAATATAGATTATTTTATAGATTATAAAAATAAAAAAAATAAAAAAATCGATTTTTTAGATTAGCTTATCTTGTTTTCTATATATATCTTATTAAATCTTTTATTAATAAGTTTATAACTTTTCGATATTAGAAAATAGATCTTATTTTTTAATTTTATTATAAAAGATTATTAATTTATAATAATTAATATTTATAGCTATTCTAATTTAGAAAGATTAATAATATCGCTAAAGTCTTCTTAGATATAAGGATTTTCTTCTAAAATACTTTATATTATATTAATATACTTCTATTTCTTATAAATAGTAATTAAATTTGATAGTCGCGTTTTTAAAATAAAATTTATAATTACTTTCTCAATTATTAATTCTAATATAATAAGATTAATAAATTTCTCGAGTATAGATCTCTTATCTTTAGATATCTTAGTTATTAAAGAATAATTCTTTATTTAAATTAGATAACTTTCTTTAGCTTTATATTTAATTACGAAGTTAATCTTATAATAGCGAGGTATTATAAGCGAAGTAATATTATTATTTTAAATAGAAATAAAGTTAAAATTTATATTTATAAGATATATATAAATTCTATTTATTTTTAATTTAAAAAGAAAGTTTTAGTTAGAAAGTAAGTTTTTATCTTATAAAGATATAATAATAAATTTAATAAATTTTAAAGAAATAACTTAATATCATTTTAATTTTACGATTTATTAAATTCTTATATTATTTTTAATAGTAGCTTATATTAATATAGCGATATTCTTATATTTAATAAAAATTACTTTTTTTTATAAAAGATCGATTACTACTTCTTTTAAATTAAATATATTTATTTCTATTAGAAGATTTATTTTAAAATTATTTATAATATATATATCTCGAGTAAATTTAATTATAATAAGCTTTTTTTTCGAAGTTTTATTTTTTATAAAGAAAGAAAGAGTAATTTATTTATTAATAGAATATCGATTTAAATTAATTTTACGTAAGATAATCGGAGTTATATACTTCTTAATAGAGAATAAAGATATTAATCTTTTTAAGAAAACTCGATCTTTTATATTTATTAGATATTCGATATTTAAATATTCTAATTTTAATAAAACTTTTAAAGAAAGATTAAATAGCTTAATAAAATAATACTATAATCGAAAAATTATTTTATTATTTAGATTCGCGAATATTATAAACTCGATTAACTCGAGTTTTTTAGAAATAAACGTCTTTTCTAATAGTAATATTTTAAAGATTTATATTAACTTCTCTAATAATAAAGAGGCTATTTAATAATAAGATTTCTTCTTAAAATAAATATATAACTAATTATTAAATAAAAACTTCTTTTAGTATTTTTAATAAATTAGCGAATTTTTTATTTTACTCGTAATAATATAGTAAGTAATTAAAATAAATTCGATATCGACTTTCTTATTCTTATAATTAAATTTCTTATCTTTTAAAGTCTTATTCTTATATATATTATAGAAATAATTATTATTACTTATATAATATATTAAAGAATTTTATAAATATATAAAATTATAATTTTTATAATAGCTCTTAGAAATAAAGCTCTTATTTCTAAGATCGTAAAAGTATATTTTCTATAAAGATTAAGATATAAATATCTTCGTAAATTCTTAATTATTATATTTCTAATTATCGCTATATTATCTAATTAGATAAAATAAATATTTATTATAATTTTAATAATTCGTTTAATTTAAATATTATAATTAATTTAATTAAATATTTTTAATTATAATTATAAATAACTACTTAAAAGTTAATAAGACGTTTTTTAAAGCTTAATTTTTTAAAGCTATAATTAAAGCTTAAGTTTAAATCTAAAATAAAGTTTATAGGAATTGTTATTCAGGCGACTATATATAAGAAGATACTTAATTATTTTAATTCTATTGATAAAGCGTATAAGCTTAAGAAGTATAAGAGGAATATATAGGAAAATTTAATTATTATTAATATTTATAGTTTAGATATAATAATCTTAGTTAATAAGAATAAGTATTATATATTTATAGATCTATTAAAAAAAGATAAGAAGAAAGAAATAGTCACTTTTAAGCTTTTTAAAACTTATCTTATTATTCTCTAGATAAAGATCTATCTTTATTAAATCGTTATTCTTAATCTTAATCTTAATTCTCTCTTATTCTTAATCTTAAACTTTCTTTTATATATTTTTATATTATAACTTCTTTTATTAATTAAGATAATATTATAACTCCTTTTTATTATTAAGCTTCTTTATAAATTCGCGAAGCGTAATTTAAGAAGTTAAAAACCATATAGTAATTTACAACTTAATTTCTAAGTAATTTTATATCTAAATAGCTTAAATATACTTCTTAAAGATTTTTATTTATATAATATATTTAAAGACGCTCTATATATAGCTTATAGAATTATATCTATTATTAGCGTTATTAAGAGTATAAATTTATCTTATAAATTAATCTAGAGCTAAAAATATAAATATTTTAAAATAATCTTATAGTCGAGTAAGCGTTTTTCTTAATTCTATTTAAAGTTATATTATTATATCTTTCTTATTTTAAGATAAAGTATTTAATTATTAGAATAAAATAGCTTCTCGAAAATAAGTCGAGAGATTTATATATATAATATTCTCTTCTTTAATCACGGCGTAGTCTTTTATATATTTATAAAAAAAAATCTCTCGATATATAATTTCTTTACTATTAATAATAATATTATTAATATTATATAATTCTTTAAAATTTAAATAAAAGAATCTTAGATTAAAGATATAAATATTATTACTAAATTTCTCTAAAGTAGCTTATCTAGAAAATTCTAATAGACTCTATAAATCTATTAAATCTATAATATTAGATATAGATTATAATTATTTTATAATTATTTATATAGCTTATAATATAATTTATTATAATATTAAATCTATTTTTATAGACGAAGGCGATATTTATTAAAGATTTCTTTATTTTTATAAAAGTTAATTTTTATTAGAATTAAATCTCGAAGTAATATTTTCTAAATTAAAAACTTCTAATTAATTAAAAACTAATCTATTAAACTTATTACTAGAAAATTCTATATTTAAAAAATTTCGATATTCTTTATTATTATTTCTTAATATCTTATTAAATATAGCTTAGCTCGATAAAAAGAGAATTCTATTTATTAAGTTTATCGCTATATAAAGATTCTAGAAATTTAATATACTTAGTTTTCTTAAAGTCGAGTTTATTTTTTTACGCCGATGGAGCTAAAGCCATCAATGGTGTACATCTCTTGCTCGAGTTCCACGTTGGACTGGACTAACGGGTAAGAAATTGGAGAGGTATGTGCTGCTGGAGACTGGTCTCCTTTTGGAAAGGAAGACACTTAGATATATGTAGCGTCACGAGCCGGATAGACATTTAAGCTGATAACGCGCAAGGAAATGACGAAGTCATATTGATACACATGATGGAATACGTGAATCACACCGACAAAGGGGAAAGGGAGTTGTCAGGGCCTTGGCAAGGCCCTATGATACTTGCATTGAACTGGATGTCTTCTGACTCTTGGACGCACGAGGATCCAATGTATTAAGATTCCAATTTGCGACGGGAAAACACCCCCTCTTTCTGTCCATCTGCGCACGTTTCTGTGGGTATCGGCCAGAACGAATCGGCTCTTCCCGTCAAAGGAAATTGAATAGCAAGGATAGAATGCATTAAGAACAATTCTTGCATATTAAATGCCAATTTTGCAGTGATTTTCCTTAAAAATATGAAGAGGTATAGCATATAACAAGATGGAAGCTGCAAAGAAATGCGAAACCAAAAGGATATACCAGGACATTCTCATTCGCAACGACTACTTGCAATGGAGGAATACATTTACATGTCGATCTTGCATCAGTTGATCGACTCGTACGAGAAGGCTCCGCATCAAATGGATGGATTCGATATTACTCCGAGCGAGCTACTCATACAACAGTAGTCTAGACGAGAGAGGCGAGAGAGGTTGATATCTGCTATAGTGGTATTGTTAATTAAATAAGAATGTTGGAATTTAAAAAAAAAAAAAAAGAGGGGAAAAAAAAAAAAAAAAAAAAAAAAAAAAAAAAAAAAAAAAAGGGGGGGGGGGGGGGGGGGGGGAAGGGGGGGGGGGGGGGGGGGGGGGGGGGGGGGGGGGGGAAAAATTTAAATTTTTTTAAAATAGAAAAAAAAAAAAAGGGGGGGGAAAAAAATTTTTTTATAATAAAAAAAAAAAAAATCTGGTCTGCCGTACTCCGGCCTTCAGATGGAATAATTCCGCACTGGTGGCACTGAGTCTATGAGCAGTACAACAATCGCTCAAGTTCAACAAACGCACCTCTCCTTGTAAATTCTGTGATAGCGGATCAAAAATACCAGTATGGTAACAAAAGATTGGTTGGAAGATTCGTCCGCGGAAATGACCTTGTCAATTACCCTCCGAGTACGCACACGGATCTAAAGCCTGCACGCAGACCGAGACAAACCACTGCGCTTAGGAATAGCGGGCAGAGTGGGAAGCTGCATTGCTCCCTGTTGAGCTCGAATGATTTCAAGACCAGGGGAGGATGATTGGGACTTCGGGCCTGTCTTCGATCTCATCCATTCCCTGTCCATCAGTGGCGGAGAAAATGCACATCAGAAGACAATCTCCAGTGACACAGACTCCAACTCACCAGAACAAGCAACGTATACTGCTGCAGCCAAGGTGCACGACCAAGAAACACAGCTTGGAGATTTTGACAAGATCTGGCAATATCTTGGCCAACCTCTAGATCTGCCGGCGCCCCCAGTCACGACTGGACCTTCGCCCAGCTTGATTGACATCTGTAGCGGAAAGGCTGCCAGCGAACAGCGTATACTCAAAGTAGTGAGATGGCAGGATGATGTCGAGTGCGCGAACCTCGCAGACAATGATGAGAACAACGGCATTCCAGACTTGTCGAAATTGACTAAGCAGCAGAGAAAGAAGGCGCGGAAAAAGCAGAGGCATGAGGGAGAAGCCTTGGCTACACAGCTCACAAATAGTAAAGCCCTCCCAAGCGGCAGTGAAGATGAGTCAGGGAAAGATGCATATGAGCAGAAAATCCCAGACAGGAGCCGTGTCATCTACCAATTTCTCCACGGGACTCCTCCGTCTAACGGCACTGGCCGATTGCGATCTGGAAAGCTTTTCAGGAGTCGGGATTCTGATGATGCCGGAGCCTTACCTGCCGCCTCGCCATTGCCCCAACAAGCCATACAAGTCTTGAAGCCCGTCAGAGAAACCACGCTTGAAGTTGCAGCAACGAAGAAGAAGAAATTGATGTCAATGCTTAGCGAGAAATTTATGGACGACAGACAGTATCTCAGCAATCTGTCTTTCGCAAGGAACGTTGCTAGCAGCACAGATGCCGCTGCAGAAGGCATCCATGTCTTTGTTGACGCATCGAACGTAGGCGATATCCACCCTGCCCAGCCATCATTTCGCCGCTAACAAACATCCGAACAGATAATGATAGGTTTCCACGACGCCCTCAAAATGGCTCGTGGCCAAAATATTGCCCATCGCATCCGCCGCCAACCCCTCTCCTTCCACAATCTCTCCTTAATTCTCGAACGCGGCCGCCCCACCGCCAAACTCATCGTCGTCGGCTCCGACAAATTCCCCGCTATGGTGGAAGCGAAGCAAATCGGCTATGAAACAAACATATTGGACAGAGTACATAAAGCGAAGGAATTGACTCCTCGCCAGAAGAGATATTCGAATTCAAATGGGAATAGTGGCCCCGGAGGTGGGCAATCAGGCACAGGCAGTGGCTCAGAAACGACCGCTGCCGTGCAGTATGCACCAGAAAAGTGGGTGGAGCAGGCAGTCGATGAGATTCTGCATCTGAAAATGATGGAGAGTGTTGTTGACGCCGAAGAACCCTCGACGATGGTGCTTGCAACCGGAGATGCAGCTGAGGCTGAGTACTCTGGAGGCTTTTTGAAGATGGTGGAAAGGGCGCTGGGGAAAGGGTGGAAGATCGAGCTGGCGAGCTTCAAGCACAACACTAGTGGGGCTTATAAGAGGAGGGACTTTAGGCAGAAGTGGGGGGAGAGGTTCAAGATCGTGGAGTTGGATGATTTTGTAGAGGTGTTGTTGGGGAATGAATGAGGGATGGTGTTGCCTTTTGTGTTGCTTTACAACTGTTCGACGTCTTGAACGTCTTTTTCATTTTTGCCTGAAATAGGGAAAGGATTGTCTGCGAACGAGCGTACATTGATCTCGAGGGATCACACCATGCTCACTAAAATTTGTCTGCGCAAATGGAAGCGTCCTTTCCATTGTTTCTCCCGAGTTGAAGAAGGGCTGCAAGAATACATTTGCTTCTGTTTGGAAGCCATTCGTCATACAAAGGCTTTACGATAGGCATCTTGCACAGACACTGTTCTCGTGCCTGTGTACCTTCCGACTAGAAGGGCCACTACCAGTTTGCAAGACTGCGAGAACGTTTGGGAGAGGATTGATTGATACATAGTACACGGATCAAGCTCGATAGGAGTATGAGCTCGATCAGTTTCGGGCTCAAAGAATTTATGAGAGTGGTGCTGTAGAGTCTGCAATTATTGATTTTGTGTAGTATACAAGCATAGGAGACAGCAGGTGCAAAATGAGGTAGCTATACGCCGGCGAGCAAAAGCAAGGCTTGGTAGCAGTCAGCAGGCTTCGTACTCTCGAACGGAATGAAAGCTTGCGCAATCCTTCTGAAATAGTCCTTAACTCATTTTGCCTCCTGGGTACATCCAGCATCAAGTTTTGGAGGCCAATTTTTACCCTTAAAGATGTCAACATCGTTTGCGTGAGGGTTCCTTGTACACAGACCACCAATCCTGATACACTTTAATGCTTTCCTTCCCCGCATGCCTGCGAAGACCTTTTTCCAAAGCCGGACTGCAGAATGATCATTGGCATCGTGATATCCTCCAATGTTTCGCTTCGTCTTTTAGTGAAGCCATTGAGCTCATCGTGACCTGCACTCATAGCCGAGATGATTACGTGTCTGAGGTTGGACCAGCGAGTGATGCCGGATGCGTGATACAATGTGGGAAGACAATTGTTGAAGGAGGCGGACGTAGATGGGATGTTCCTTATTGTCAGCTGACAGAGAGACCGAATCGACAGTACAGGTCCGGCGACCAGCAACCCTGACATGCAGCGGAATCAAGGTTTGGCCCCATGCAGACAGAATTGGGGGGTTGAAGGAAACTTGGTGATGGCACTAAACGGTGCAATATTTACGCAAGCACAACTGAAACCACACCCCAAGTCAGCAGCAAACCCATTGTCAAATCTTCGTAACATCATCCATCATCTGATCATCGTAACATTGTTGCCCTCATCTTCCCCATATGCACAAATCGTCCACTACTGCCTATTTACCCCAACAGTACCCTTGGACTTATCACCACTGTTCGGGTATCAGGAAATTGGGACTTTGCAGAGGATCTTTGCAGCCCTCACCCTTTCTTGACCGTGCTATCTATGTTCTTTTCCTTCATAGCTTGAGCGCTGGACTTCATCGAATCACCACTAAGGACGGAGTCAGGCATTGCAATGCCATGGTCTTGAACGGAAGTCTACCGTGCAAAATGGTCTGCATCATCAACAACACTCTTTTTGAGCTCCTGCAGCGTGGACTTGAGATGGGAACTCGGACTCATGTCTTGCTTAGCGCCTACAATCAATCAGCAAATGCTAGGGTCTGGGCAGCCGTGTGGATAGCGTACGTGATGAGGACATGCTCGATAACGATAAACGCTCTTGGACTTCCTGTCACTTGAACTGATCATACGTGGAAACCAGGTGGATGTTCAGGCTCCAGCGGAAACTGAAGCTGAACCTGAAGCTGGGAAAGACCTATACGCGGCATGACGCAGGTGTCGCTTGATTTCGCTCGTCTAGGCAGCTGGAAAGCGCAAGCAACCATTGGTGCAATCCTCAATGCAAGTCATCGTGGCAAGATCTCGATTACCTACCTGCCTAGAGATTGCACCACTTGCATGGAGTACGGAAGTATAATGGTACCATCCAGTCAAGGGAGACCTTCAATACTGGACAGCAGCAAGGGAAGACACCGAGAGACTTGTGATCATTTCGCAGCCTAATCCCAGTGCCCCTCGAGTTGAACATCAACTCTGCTAGCAGCTGCATGCGAGCACTCCTGGCGTCAGCCTCATTCTCTAACACTGCTCAAGGAGTCGGTCATCTGGACGTCAGTCTTGCCCGGAGCCAAAATATGAGCGTCAGTCGTCTCTCGATATAAGATACGAGCTTTCCTGGACTGTGGGGCCATCATGCAAACACCCAACGCTCCTCAAGCTGTACTCAAGATGCCGAGCACCACTACCAACAATACCTGCATCATCTACGGCACCGGCTGCGCTTCTCCTACCAACCTACCGTCCTATATCGACGATCAAGCCTGCCTCTGCGGCCTCCTTGAGTCTCGCTCGTCACTGCCTAACAACGGCGAGCACATTGAGCTCTGGCGCTGTATTGGGAACGCATCGGATAACGTTGAAGATGGCGGGAATGGCAAGTGGTACAATACCAGTCTTCCGAGTCAAGAGCTATCGGGCATCAACCAGCCTCAGAACTGGTAAGACTTCTCTAGCCCCGAATCCTTTCAGTGTTCTCAAAAGCCCCGATACATGTGCCGGGAGTCCCCTACATCAAACACATGTTTCATGACTCCAATCTCTGTCTCTAAAAAGTAACTGCTAATTGGAAAATGCCATCAGGGGTGAGAATCCGCCAGACTTGAGTCAAGCATACGTGCTCCAGGACGAGAATGGTCAAGCCGTGTATGAGGAATTGGGATCGGCAGGCTCAATCAACTTGATCGGTTCGGATAAGGATTGCACTGGGATCAACGATACATCTATGTCTGAACAGTATTATGCAAGAGGAAACGGTGTTCCGAAGTCGTCGTCCACGAGTACCTCTCTGATGCCGACAGCACAGTCTGCGACCAAGACATCTGCCACGGAATCTACAGTGCAAACTGCATCGCCCTCAGCGGCCGCTGCACCACCAAAAGGGGACAACAAATCGTCCGCCACACATCAGGTTTCTCTGAAGTCTACATTTCTTTTGGGAATGGTCCTTGCACCACTGTTTGGGCTACCACTGTAATCGTTCGAAACCCGTCAAGCTGCTTTACGGCTTAAGAGAGAGCCAGAGACCAGCAAGTCATTTGAAATCACCTTAGCGAGTTGTGAACCGGAAAATAATGTGCTCTTGAAGGACATGGCTGCGTTCGCATCGGAGTCTCCGTGTCAAACCATTTGGGATTCGATAGCGTTTACGAGGCACGCGAAGACCACTCAACGCGTCTCTCAGCCTGCAGACTTCAGTGCTTTTCATTTCGCTCTGGCATACGGGGCCTCTACAGGCAATGTTTGACGGCTTAAATTAAACGGTCTGTGTTTCATAATATCTAGATGGACGCCTGCGCATTCACATTATTTTTACAATGCTGTCTGCGCGTCTGTTTTGGCCGGAGTCTAGGCCCAACGACATCTGCCGCTTGTTCTTCCGACGAAAATGGAGGAAGATTTAATTGGTGCGGATGGTGCTTTTTTGCCCAAATAAACCCCCCCAAAAGATGCAAGCTGCTATGATCATCATTGCCAGATCCTTCTAGAAGGCCTATTCTATATTAGCTACTAAGCCTTTGAATTATTGGTGTTTGCTAATCAATGATATACGAGTCAATAATGCATGTTACTCCTTCTGGCTTTTAAGCGCTCTTATAGGGAATTTTCGATAGAGGATGCAAGGCATTGGAGAAGGCAAAGATGTCCCCTTGAGCCAATAGGAGGCGTTCCCGTGAATGCGGGTGCGAGAATAACAAAAAACGGTTTGCTGCCAACTTTTTGAATTCTGCATATCTGCATACGTCAACTGTCAAAACCATTTCCAAAGATGCAAGCTCCAGAAGATGACCAGATGGACAACGAATGGTGCGCACTTGCGACTTCATACTGAATTGTGTTTGGATCGGCTCACCTTTCTGCTCATTCAGTTGATCGCGCGCGACAAACGCCACTTGTTTCGCGTATCTGTACCTAAAGTGTCATCGTGCAGCAACAGAACGCTACTCTGAAAGGCCCCGCCAATAAATCGCAAATCCACCCTGTCTACCACGCGAGACGTCGTCGTACCTTATGCCAGTCTGGAAGCAATCTGTCCTCGCAACACCTTGCCATCAGATTTGGCTTTGGCCATCATTATGCGCGATATAAATTCCCTACAGAAGTAAGGGCCTACGAAAAAGACCGAGTGCATCTCTCGCTAAACCTTCCATTGGTCCAAGCAGCGATACCAACATGATAAATAATGAGATGAAATGGTTACCCGATACGCTCTACCCCACTGCTTGCCCGATCTGTGCATGTTCAACACGTTAGGTATAGACCTTCTATGGCCCCCTAAACTCAACCTTCAGTCTTTGACCTTCAGTCTCTACCCTCATGTCATTACGCCTACGACGACATGTCAGAACCCACTCCCACGCAAGCGTCCTGCAATGAGAATCAAGGGCCTATGCTCCTGGCTTTGAGCTGGGTTCTTCTATGTACTGCTCTCTGTTCCGTGGCGCTACGGTTGTATGTCAAGCTGGGTCTCCAAAACGGCGTCAGATCAGACGATTATACTATAATAGCCAGCTTGGTCAGTCAAAACTTTACAGCAGCAGCTTCTGGGTCTTCACTGACTGTCTTCCAGATTGCCGGGATCATCGGAGTTGGCTGCCTGACTAAGTTCGTTCTCATAGGCTTGGGAAGACATATATACTGCCTACCTCTCGAACAGATCCCTCTGGTGCTCAAATGGAGCGTCATCTCGCAGATATTCAACATCATCGGGATCGGCCTGGCCAAGATATCGGTGTGTCTCTGCGTCTTACGGATCATTGGCCGCACTCGGCAGCAACTTGCGAAGTTCCTCTGGGTGGTCATCGCTTTTTGTGCAGCTAGTCACTTCGCACAGATTGTGCTTTTTCTTGTGCAATGCCGGCCAATGGCCGCGATCTGGGACCCTCACATCCATGGAAAATGCTTTTCTCCTCACATCACCTACCTAGCGGGCTACATAGGGTTCGGACTTGACGCCTTCACCGATCTCGTCTGCGCTGCTATCCCAATCTTCGTACTACACCGGCTGCAGATGAATGTGCGCACGAAAGTCGCTCTGTGCTGCCTCATCGCCCTCGGCTCTCTTACGGCAGGCTGCGCGATAGCGAAAGCAGTCACGCTGAGGGGTGTCTTCTCTGACGACTATACGTGGGGGCTCTGGAAACCCGCGGTTTGCACAATCGTCGAGCACTTGACATCCATAACACTAGTCTCCTTACCGGCCCTCAGACCCTTCTTCAACAAGATTCTCGACGCTGCTACCACACGGGGTGGCTCGGGCAAGCGATCAGTCAAACACAGCCCTCGGTGGACTCCTGCTGTTTCAAGGGACAGATACGCGCTTGACACATCACTCAAGAGCGAGGACCTTGAGCAAGGCTCAATACCGTTTAATGAGAACGAAATCGTCCGGACGACAGAGTTCCGCTTGAGTGAGCACAATTCTGAAAGTGGTGAACAACGCATGGGGGACTACTGGCCTTTGCCGCCTTGACATGATCAGACTACCAGGACACTGCGACGTGAGAGCCAGGCAGCAGTGGTCCGATCTGCAATTGTCAGGGATGGCTCGGATTTGGCGCATAGATCTGGGTGCGTGCATTCCGCTCTCAGACCGAGATGAAATTGCATATCCCACGCGTGGTTGAAGGCCGGTGGGGCACGGTACCCGTTTTCCTCAATGTATCTACCAACATTCGACAATCCGTTAATCCCCCCATCTCCACAAAAAAAAAAAAAAAACATCAGAGGATCTTCCGGACCTATCACCTCCCATCGTTTCTCCCACCCGCCAAATCATCATCCATGTCCATTTTCGCACCACCATTCTAAGCCCCCCGAACGACGCTCAGACCCTCCCAAGCAAAGCTCCCAGCCTCCCTTGCCCCCCACGGGCCCCCCTCGTTTCACCCCACACTACGGCGCCCTCGCCCCCTCATCCCCGTTCCCCCAAACCCCACCCCACCTCTCCAGCACCCAAACCCTCAGCGCCGCCATCGCCAACGCAAGAACCCACCACGCCACCACGTCGCCAGCGGGTCCCCCTACACCCCCGCCCCAATCCATCCATCCTGCCCGCTTCTCCTCCCGACGGCCGCGAAAGCGAAAGAGACGGAGGGGTAGCGGGGCGGGGCGGGCCTTGGCTCCTTGACGGCTGGATGCGCGAGACGGGGAAGGGGACGGGCGGGCGGGCGGGTTGAGGGAGGGAGGGAGGGGGAGGGGTGCGGGGCGGGTTAGGGGGGTGAAGGGAGGAGGGTGGGGTCGGGTGGTGTTGGAGAGATAAACGAGTAGGGTAAGGATGTGTTGGGGGAGATGGCAGATGGGGGATTCGGGAAGGAAGACGGTGTGTGGCGGGAGAGGGATAAATGCTTGGGCGAAGGGTCGCAGGAGGGTCGGCGTTGGGGAGCTTTTGTGCTATATGATAGTACGACTGGTGGGAGATCTGTTCTATACTTGCTCTTGCTCCTGCTCGTAGAGGATACAAGAGGAAAGAGCATTCGCTTGCAACCATCGAAGCGATCATCCCAATCTATGCCATGCTCGTTGAGACCCAGAATGCAGCAACGCTAAAGCCTACCGATCCCAGCCCGCTAATATGCATCCCATAGGACCCCAAAGCCATCCATGCTCCCGTGCCAATTCCGTCTCAGTGACTGATGTATTGGAACACAGCACTGACAGCCTTGTCCGCTGTTTCCTGCCTCAGCAGCAAGTCCTGGATCTTCGCCAGCGGTCCTGCCTCCCCATCGTTGACAAAGTGATTCCAACTGCTCGTGTCTCCGTACAGCATTGCCGGGGCTTTGAGGTGCTGTTTGCCATCAGGCTTGCATCGCTTGCACTTGAAACTGTCGTGCGTATCGCTTGTAGTGCCTGGCTTGTACTGGAACAGTTCGCGCAGGGAGTCGAGGGTGAAATGCCTCTCGACGTCCTCGGCGGAGTCGACGACGCAGGAGGATAGAGATTGCTTGTGAGATTGGCGCTGGAAGATCTTCTCTTCGATGGTACCTGTAGCTATGAAGCGGTAAACGAAACAATCCTTCTTCTGGCCATCACGCCAGACACGAGCCAGTGCTTGCTGGTCAGCTGCCGGATTCCAGTCCGGATCGAAGAGGACGAGTCGATTGGCGCCGATAAGATTGAGACCACAACCACCGGCCTTGCTGCTGAGCAGGAAGACGAATTCCTCGCCTTCCGGGTCATTGAATTTATCGACAAGCTTCTGCCGCTTGCTGACGTTCATGGTGCCATCGAGGCGAAGAACTCCATAGTTGCGAGAGCGGCAGAGCTTGTCGAAGATGTCAAGGGTCTGGGTGTAATTGCTAATGAGGACGATCTTATCATTGGTGTCTTGCCTTATCCGGGCAAGCATGCGATCGAGGACTTGCATCTTACCAGAGTACCACGACTTGATGTCTCGGTCTCTGCCTCTTGCGTCTTTGGGGACGTAGTCATCTGGGAAATACTGTTCGCAGCCAGGAAGATCGTCGGGTAAGTTGAGCAGGTCTGGATGATTGCATAGCTTTTTGAGCATGCCGATTGCCTTCAGCGGCTGACTGCCTTTTCCTCTCAGAAGGCTCTTAATGTCCGGGCTTTGGATGAAATGGTTGTACAGATCCAGCTGAAAGGGCGCGAGGTTGCAGAAGACGACATGTTCGTACTTGACGGGTAGGTACTTGGAGAGAATGTCATTTGTTCGCCGAATGATGAACTTGTTGACAAGTGCCAATAGCTCCGCCAGACGTTCATTACCCTTCTTTTGGTCTGCGTCTGTCCCTGCAGCATCACGGCCTCGGAGGATAGGCAGTTCGTACTGCTTGCGAAACTCCATACGCGTGCCAAGTAGACTTGGGTTGGCAAAGTTCAGCAAGGAGAAATACTCTGATAGATCATTTTGAATCGGTGTTCCAGAAAGAATGACTCGTCGCGAAACGTTGAGTCCGTTCAGTGCTTCGAAAGTCTGAGACTCTCCGTTCTTCAGACGATGTCCTTCGTCGCAGAGCAGAAGTCCGATTGGCGTATTGCTCAACTCGCCCACATTCAGTCGCAGCGTCTCATAAGACACGATGAGTACAGGACGCACCACGGCTCGACCACTGGCAACCGACCACTGCCTAAGCTGCGTGGTAAGCTCGTCTTTGGAGGCCTTCCCATCTACCGCAAACGGTGTCACGGCGTCTTTCCCAAGCCATTTGATAAGCTCGTTCGCCCAATTGCGTACAAGACTTGAAGGGCATGCTATGACGCACTTTTGAATCGTAGACTTGCCAGGCTCTGGTGATTGCTTCAGTAGGGTCCACATCAACGCAATGCATTGTAGTGTCTTTCCCAAGCCCATCTCGTCTGCCATAATACAGCCATTCGCCTTTGTATCTATGAGCCCAGTAACGCATCGGTAGAGGAACTTGACCCCCTCCACCTGATGGGGCCTCAGAACTTTCGCTAGCCTTGGATCAATGACCACAGGGACCTTTGGGTGTTCTTCAACCTCCTTCTTCAATCCCAGTATATCGGCCAAGCTCCTGTGCATGATTGGGACATCCAGCTTCGGGATGTTTTCTTCCTGACTTTGTCTTACCTCCTCTTCAACCGTGGTAGGCTTGTCATCGATTGTAGGATCGAATAGCACAATGGCGAACTCTCCGCTAGGATCATGCAGTGGTTTGGCCAAAAACACTGCTCCCTTCCGCATTCCCAATGTAGGCGCTGGGCGATATGAATTGTAGCCTCCAGCATCCTTATTGATCAATGGCACTGCAAACCGTTGACGAAACAGCGTACCCTTGTCCTTCACTTTGAACACTGGGAACTTGTTGACATCTCTGTTCGCCAATGCGAGGCGGTCTTCGTTTGTGTAAGGCTTTCCTCCATCCTCAACAGTGCCATCTGCATCCGCGTAGCTGACTTTTCTCTTCTTCCTGGCCGGTTTTTCTGACGCACGAGTTGGTGTGGCACTACCGGGGCATCTGAAAGGCTTGATGAGGCGGTCTATGGACTGCGGTCCGCCGCCATAGAGTCTCGAGGCTTTCTGGGATACGGGAGTGTTCTCCTTGTCGGTTGAGGGATCTAAGAGCTTGGGTCGATGCATTGTGGACTGATGGTTGATGGAGGGTCCGATTTGCCTCAGACACGCGTCATGAACATGGCGCTAGGTACGCGATGGCACGTGATCTAAAACGCTTCTCTCTCAATTCAATGAATTTGTTGGTATCACGATTTGTATTCTAGAGAGATCTCAAAAGTACTTGCGAAGTTAATGAGATTCTTTGTTGGCCAAAGTTTTCCAGTGGGCTCTGAGATTACTCGAGGCTTCTTCAACGTAGCACACTTTGCTCTTTTCTACCGCTGCACACGACTAAATGTCTCATATATTCCACATCCCATCAGGAAGGACGGATGTGACCATCATCGAAAATCCTTGGCTGCATTGGTATAGTATAGCAGTCTTCAGCTCTTTTTCAAGAAAACGTCTGCTTTTCGTTCCAATATCTGCTTTACGAGTCCTTTTGCTGGCTTTCATGTGCCGAACGGCATGGACGACCATGATAGCTCTCTAAACAATGAAGCAAGTACCACTACCTAGCTCAGCCCTTATCCACCAGCGTAGCCTCTATGCTACCAAAAGCACATGGAATCCATTGCTTCAAAGATCGCCCAATCCTCGTCCTCTCGAGCAGACGAGCATCAACAATCCAGTATCATGTCCTCCTTTCGATCCCAACCCCGACAATTGCAGCTCTCAAGGAATAGATAGGGGTCAGCCGAACAAGTATGGACAATACATCAATCAACAAGACCTCACGAGGATTCGCGCACTCCGATGCCGGGCACGCACAGCCGAACTGTGAGCGTCGTCGAGCAACTGGCGAGAAGGCAGCGACGGAGGTAGGGACTGACGGAGGTCAGCAACCGTCGTACCTCCTTCCCACTGTATACAGAATCTCAGATATTCAACGAAATTCCCTCAGACCTCAACTGCACCTGCCGTGGCAACTGCACTGAATCGCAGCAAACGGGGGTGGTTGGAGGTATCTAGTTCGTATTAGGTTCGATTCCTAATGGCGCTGGTACAATGGTGTTGCGGTGCTTTTTTTTTTTGGGCCATTGGCCACAGGTTTTAAAGTTCCGTCGAGCGGTGTTGGCGAGGGCTTGGTTCGAAACCCGTGGACGCATTGATTTGTGAAGCGAAATGTTCCCCTTGTCATAGTCCGGGGCGGACACCTGTTGGTTGTGGTCTGTGGTTAGGTTCTAGTTCGTATTAGGTTCGATTCCTAATGGCGCTGGTCAATGGTTTGCGGTGCTTTTTTTTTTTACGGGGCAGCTCCTGCTTTCCCTCTTGCCCATGCAACGCTTCGGACGCCTGCAAACAACCAGTCAAAGACCTCCGCATATTATTTGGCCCAGACGACTCCGACTTCTACGCCATTGCCTGCTTCACCAAGTACTGCATCGAGCATCACGGACACATCGACCTCGAGCGCCTTTGTTGCCGCCTCATGGACGTGAAGCTGGGCGTTGTGGAATTCCCTTCCTGCTTTCCCCCCTTCCCGAAGGCGATGACTTTCGTGACGAGAACACTGTGGCACCCTTCCAGAATGGAAGCACCAAAGGTAGCGCGGCTTCAACGGTGGGGAAGAGCGTAAAGCGCATAGGCAGGCTTTGTTCCGGTACGGCTTGTCTAAAGATGGCGATGCGAACGGTTGGTATTACTCATTCTGCGATGAGATTGTAGAACGAGAGTGATCGCCAGTGGCCCCGTCGCGGATGTGGAGAGTATAATGGGTGGGGGAGCTAGCGTGGCCGGAAATGCGAGGGTTGTACTGAGGGTGTGCTCAGCCCCTGTGAGGGGTGTGGAGGGGTCACGGAGACGTACAATGAGTATCGTAGAAGAGAGTAATTGGGTAAGAGCGTGAGAAAGAAACCGAGCTTCAGGAGAATGGCGATTGCTGCTCCTGGAAGGGGGCCAGCCTCTCGGCACGATCTCCCTTTTTAATGCTGGTCTTGAGGGATACCATGGATGGGTTAGTCTCGGTACAAGTACAATCGCCATAAATCATTTGGAGGGTTCTGCAAATTTAGAGTCTATCATGACATACGCAGACATAGAAACCTAGTTAAAATTATTCGTCAACTGACCCATAACACTCATTCATGCATACGCATGTCGAAATCTTTGTATCTGCACAGCAGTTGGTACTGTTCCATCCGGAGTTGAGGAGGTCCTATCTACGGGAAAGACTGGCATGCGGATGATATTAAAGTACAATCAGAGAAAATATCGAGGCCCAGACATCTTCCGCCATTACTGATCCCATGCTTTTAATGAGCGCATGAGTTTTTTAGGAGACCCGGCCCTTGTAAAGGTCCTATGCTTTTGGATGTGAGACTGATTCCACGAGCTGAAATGCCAACCACACGCACCCACACGCACGCAAAGACTTGAAATCATTACATGATCTGATCTTGGGTCATGCCCCCAGTCTGCTCTGTGCCCTCCATTGCATCGCCCGGATTCTGATATTTGACGAAGGTCAGCCCGAGAGGACGTCCGCCGTACTGGTATCCTGTGAACTTGGCTAAGACAAAGTCAGCAATTTCCTCCATGCATAATGGGAAGCAGCGTACAAATAGCAGTTTCGGCATTCTCAGGTGAATCGAATTGGACAACGCCGGTGCCTCGGGAACGGCCATTGGGCTCATACTGGATCTCTGCACGCTCGACTTTTCCAATAGTTGTGAAAAGTTCTACTAGATCTTCGTTGCTGGTGGACCATGGCAGCTGTAATCATGAGCAAAATGATTAGGGCTTTGGGAGTGGGAACGAAGACGCACATTTCGAACATAGATGAGCTCGCTCATTTCTCCTCCAGATGTAGCATAGTCGGTAAAGGCGTTCGGTGCCGCAGCGGCAGCGCCAGGAGCAGCAGCGTCATTGAAACTGCCAGCAGGCGGACCACCATAGCCACTTCCTCCACCTCCGTAGCCACCACGTCCACCGTAGCCTCCTCCAAAGCCACCTCGACCACCAGCAAAGCCGCCTCGGAACCCTCCACGTCCCATGCCACCTCCAAATCCGCCACGACCTTGGTAACCGCCACCGGGTGGACCAGCAAACCTGTCCTCACGGACCTCCAACATGCGGCCTTGCCAGTCATAGCCATTGAATTGGTTGATCGCATTACGCGCGTCCTCGGCGGTCTCGAATGCAACGATACCGGAGCCTTTGGGGCGACCATCTGGGCCTAGATGGACGTCGGCACGGATGACGGCACCTTGCTGGGCTGCGGAATCACTTGTCAATTACAGCCCTGCGAACGAAAGTATGCAGCGTTAGTCCTCGGAGAAGGTACATACCAGCTTGACGAAACAAGTCCTTCAGATCTTGCCAGCCAACCGTGTACGGCAACTATATCAATCGTGTCAACGGAAGCTCAGACGGAGCGATTAGGAATAGAGTCATGATGACAGACATTGTTGACGAAGATCTGGCGTCCGCCGCTGGATGGAGGAGGGCCTCCGTAGCCACCACCACCACCACCACCACCACCACCACCACCAAATCCGCCGCCGCCGCCATAGCCCCCTCGAGGCGGCCCGCTTTCGTAGCCTCCGCGGGCTGCAGGCGGTCCGGTAAAGCGAGGTTCGGCCTCGCGGTCCTAATGTATGGCTTGTCAGTGCCTTATAACGTTAAGAAAGATTCCAGCGGCGGCTGAAGCATCAATGCGTGGAGTATAGACAAGGCTTTTGAAAGCTTACCTCTCGAACGTAAACGAGTCTACCCATAAGGTTCTGATTGCTGAGCGTGTTGACGGCTTGTTGGGCTTGATCCCTTGTAGCGTATTCCACAATCCTACGTCAGGTCAGCGAAGAGGACTTGCAGGTACAGCTGATCAACTTACCCGCATCCCTACATAGCCCGCGGACAAAGTCCCAATCCGTCAATCCAACGTCCATCAACCAAAACAAAACCAGAAAGACCAGCCATCTCTACGCATAGGCGCCCACCTTCGACATTCCATTCGGAAGTAGCAACACATCGGCAAAGAGAACCTCCCCCGCTGCACCCAACCGTCAGCTACCGTCGAGGACTAGCTGGTCAGCCTCCTGGGGCGTAGTTATCTTACCTTGCCTCATAAAATCTTTGAGATGATGCCATTTAACGTCGTAAGAGAGGTTTCCCACGTAGACACGACGTTCCTGCTGAGATGATTCTCGAACCGAAGCCATCATCTGCTCCTTTGCTTGCGCACGCTCCTCGAAACTTCTGGTTGGAGGTGCTGCTCCTCCTCCACGACCGTAGCTTGACCCTGAATAGCCACCAGCGCCGCTCGTCATCGGCGAGCGGGAACGGCGGTCGTTTCTGCGGTAGTCGTCGCGGCTTCGAGAACGGCTTCGAGGCGAGTAAGAACGACGACGACGTGGGCTTCGAGATCGACGTCTTGGTGAGCGAGAACGCTCGCGCTATGCAAGGTTAGTTGGGACCTGAATCCACCACACTTTGGGCCACCTCTTCCCAAGGAAATCAAAGTGTAAAATGATAGGTGAACAGTGGTGAATACAACAGTTTTGTCTCGAGTACACGGGGGCAGAGAAGGGCCAAAGGGTAACTACGGGGTTAGAGGAAGGAATGAAGCAGCGGTGTGGCCGTTCAGAAGCAGCAGTTGCCGGCCCCGGGGCATGCCGAGGATTTTGTCAAGTTGAAAAGCGCCAATCTCCCGCGTGGGAGGGGGGAAAGGGAACGGATGAGAGATGAAGAAGTCGCAGTACTTACAGCATGAGGGCGATATACGTCAGCTGAATCTAAAGTAATAAGAATATAAGCATTGAATTTTCAGTATACTCGAACACGGATTGCAATTGGTAGAGGAGCAAAATTGAGCGTGTCTTAGTTTCAGGAGCAACTAGAGCAAGCCGAGCACACGCGGTTCATCGGTCGCAAGGGTAGACTAAGCTAAGGGCAGAAGGGGGAGGAGCAGGAGAGGATAGACGGACCCATGATGATAGCGACAGTCCTTCGATTGCCGAGAGCAACGGTTTCTTCACTTCGCTGTGATTGAGATCGAATTTCTCTCACGAGGCGGTTGGGGAATTGGCAGCTGGAACCAAATTTTGGACCACAGGGATAAAGAAAACAAAAAGGCGTGTGGGCAATTTTCTGCAGCTACTTGCGTCGTGGGGAGCTTCGGACCGCAGAGCGACAAGAAGCCGTCCAGTGAAATGTGTAGAAGGGCCTAATTCGTCTGATGATGGGACGTTTTCAAGCAGACGAAGATGGAGGTGTGGGGCTGCAGCGAAAAGACGCCTAGTTTTGCCTTGGTGTGCGGGTGTTGTTGGGCGTTTCCTTCCCGAGCAATTGCGTATATCTATTGGATGGCCGGACTGTCAGCCTCAGAAGGTGTTGCGCGATAAAGGCATGGAGAACAGGTGGGATATTTGAAGAGCGTTCCTTCCTCCTGGAAAAAAGCTTACCTTGACGATCTGAGAGGCTGACGGGGGAGATTGAGGGCTTCGGGCCAAATGCCTGTGCGGGTCACGGGTGCGCTGTGCAGGTACAGGCGACCAATCGTAGGCTTTCGGATCTCGCAAGGTCAGCAAAGATGAGGAATAGGAGGTTTTTCTTGGTGCTAAAGTAGTTATGAACTTATGATGGTGCGTGTGGTAGGACGAGGAGAGAATGTAGAGGCGTGAACAAGACTTCGGTGATGGACTTCAGTCGTCTTTTTGGTTGTCTCGCGAACTGAAAAGTTGGTAGTCTCCCGCACGCTAACGGCTAAGGCTGCCTTTGATATTTCTAAATTCTCAAGTAAAGTACATGTACTGTGATTATATACCTTACCATCCTACATCCTTGTACCACCGCAATGAATCACTTTTCTTTTTCTTTTTCTTTTCCTTTTCTATTCATTTACAATACTCCATCTTCTCACAATCTCGGGCCCGAACCCTTCACAATCTACTGACTTCGAATACTCCATCAGAAAATATTCAAGACTCATCATGTGCGGGTCCGCTTTTGGGGCCCCGCTTGGCCGCCCCCCCCCCCGGCTTCCGCAACAAAGCTTCCAAAAAACTCACGTTGTCCAGTGAAGGGCAGCAGATCAATCGTTACCAGTCGGATTACTTCGGCTACCGACCGTATTCCCTGTTTTCCTCACCCACGACCGTTGTCACCCTTGTCTGTGCGTGTGGCTTGATACGTGTGTCTTGTGGCTGCATGCACCTCGAACAACTACTGCGAGTGCGCCGAGAGGCTTTTTAACCGCTGATGCAGGCCTGTCAGTAATGGCCGGCTCTCCACTTCCAATGCAGGTCCATCGGACAAAAGTCGACCTTTCAGGAGGCCAGACGTAATGGGCATGCCGGCTCCGTGAAAGGACCAGGGACCTACACACCTTCAGAAGGCTGAAGGGCTGAAGGAATGGGTCAAGACGTCGGTCAACGACCTCCTGGTGATAGTGATGCATTCATGCAGGTCATATCTCCCAATCACCTTTGATTGCGGGCCAAACGCTTGGCACTAGCGATGGGTGCTTTCCGCCAATCAGTGGCCCCGAGGACATTGTCGCCATAACGGCGCAAGCAGACAAAAAAAAGCACATGCATTGAGTTCATGCACCTCGGCCACCCTAGCACTAGGAATCGGATCAAACATGGCTGCAGCGGTACCGTTGGCGCACACGAGATCGTATTCGCTGAATTTGTGCGAGATTTTGACTAGACTAGATAGGATTAGCTTTAGGGTTTACAAAAGGTCTTTGCAGATTCGGGCTGATATCACGAATCCAGGAACTGGACAGAGGTTTGATGAACAATGATGACCACAAGGCCACTGCACGCAGTCTTAAGGTACCCAACGCATCTTAGATCAAGCCTGGTTTGGCAATGTAGCCGCTCCTACCATTCCTACGAGCACGAAGCTCCTTCACCCTTCAACCCAACCGAAGACGCCATCCTCTCCGCTGCCCTCGCCCACGTCCCAACCCACGGCTTCACCACCACTGCTCTCACTCATGGCGCACGAGATGCCGGCTACCTTGACATCTCTACCAATCTCTTTCCGACCGGAGCCTTTTCCATCGTGAACTTCCACCTCGTCACCCAGCGTCTCGCCCTCGCCAAACATGCCTCTTCCCTTCAACCCCACGCTGACATCACCACCAACGTCCGAAGCCTAGCGCTCCACCGGTTACACGCCAACAAGCCCATGGCACATCGCTGGCAAGAAGCCCTCGCTCTCCTATCAACCGCCCGCCACATTCCCACTTCGCTCCGAGAACTCGCCCTCCTGTCAGACGAGCTCCTCTTCCTGGCCGGTAGCACTACCGTGACTTCGGCTTGGTATACCAACCGTGCCGCACTTGCTGCGATATACGCTGGTGCGGAGCTGTTCATGACGCAGGACAAGTCCGAAGGGTTTGCAGAGACGGAGGAGTTCTTGACGCGGAGACTGGAGGAGGGTGAGAAGGTACGCGGCGGGCTCGATATGGTCGGAAAGTGGGTGGGCATGCAGGCGGGAGGGTTGGTGGATGGGTTGAGGAGCAAAGGTGTCTGGATATAGGAGTGGGAAAGACGCAATCGGCTGGAGTTGGCCGTGGATTTTGGGCTATGCTGTACAAATAGCCTCTGCAGCAACGGGTATTGTACAGAGGGAGATTGTTAGGGCTCAGTACTCGAATTCGATTATGCTGGCTGTAAAAATTGCATGCCGCCAACATGCCTTGTCGCTCTCCGGCTCTCATTCTTCACTCTCCGCTTCATCAACCATTACAGCTTCTCTTTCAGCCATCTCGCTCAGAATCCTCGCAAAGAGGTTGCGCACCCTCCTCCACCCCTCCACAGTCGCTCTCATAGCCCACCACTCCTTCACCACCGGTCCAAAAAATCCCCGCTGTCCCATCCGTCTCTGCTTGGCTATCCCCTTAATCAGAGCAGTTGTCACCCCGTTGCTCTCGATGCCCTGATTGAGCATCTCCTCTATCATGTCGGCCATTCCATGCAAGTCAGAGTATTGCATCCACTTATGATAGAGTATTTCATTGTAAATGTCAGTGGACACACCGAGGACGGTTGAGATGGGTCCGCGCCGTTTGATCGTAGAGAGTACGTGTGGCGCGTAGAAGGATGTGGGATGCTTTCTGCGCATGAGCCGGAGAGCGTTAAGGCAGTACTCAGCGTAGTTCCTATGTAGGATCGAGAGGAGGTTATCGATCGGAATTGCTTTTGTTTGGGTTAACTTGGTGCCTGAAGTCTCTGTTTCGGTGAGGTCTCTCTTCGTAAGCTTGACGTCTGTAATGGCTTTCCCCTCTGCTTCTGCTTTGCGGACCTTCGCTGCGTGCAAGGCCTTCACTTTCTTCGCCTTCTCCACGAATTTGGTGTGCTCATCCAGATGCGTGATTAGACTGAAGACCTCCTTTTCAAGGACTTGCCAAATCTCCACATCACTATTTGCGCTGTCAAGCATACCCATCACCAGGGTTCTGTGATCGTCACAGGCTACTTCAAGCTTCGCCCGCTCCTCTTCAGTTTCGACCTCGTTCCCCAGCGTAGTGCCATTGGCTAATTTCAGGCGTTTCCAATCTCTCCCACTGAGCGCTTGATCTTGGTCACGAACCAGGATGTCGATTGCTCGCTGTCTCGGCATACCGGCGAGAAGAAGACTTTTGGCGGCACTGTTCGCAGCCTGTTCTTCTTGCATTCGCAGCTGCCTGATTGCATTTTCGAAGATGCTATTCAGATCCACGTTAGGGTCGTATCCCCTGGTTAGCTCGTCTTGGTCTAGAATGTCTTCTTCATCTGGCTCCGGGGTCGCGGGCTGTGAGGCGTCCTTCATAAGTTTATTGAAGACTGCTTGTTCGGTTGCTGTCACGGTTGAAGGCCGCGAAAATTGATCTGGCTTTTGAGGCTCGGTATGTGAGAGAGTATCGGGGATTTGGCTGTGATGGGGATCAACAAAGACAATCGGGTCGGTATTGGGGCGCCGGATTTTGTCAGCATAGGCCTGCCCCCGAGATGTGAAACAAAAGGTGCGCCTGCGTCTATCATTGTTGTGGACTGCGTGAAATGGTCTTGCTGACTTGGGCTCCGAGAGGAGTGTTCGAGTCTGATAGAGAAAAGGAAGCAGGGAGCTTGATTGGACACGAATGTGAACAGGGAATGAAGAAATCAGATGGCTGCTCAATGACATTCTGCTCAATAGCAATTTCCTCATCTGCTGAACAGGCTTTGGTGCTGGAGACAGTACTGTAGTCAATATCTACACCTTGGCCGCACATTTTTGCTAGGGCTGAAGTAGACTAGACTAGCGCGTCGCGGATCTGCGTAATTGATCGCGATTCCGCCACGCGCTCAGAACATCGCTTTTGGAGCATGCAGAGTAGTACACCGGTAGGCTTCTAAGACAGGTGATCACCTTACTCCCTTTCTCATCTGAACCTGCACCCGATCCATTCTGGACAGCCATTGGGCTCCAAGATTCACGATGGCGCCCGAACTCAGCGAGTACGAGCAACAGCGACAAGCAAACATCGCCCAGCGAGACAAACTCCTCAAGCAACTCGCCCTTGACGCCGGCCAGGCCGGACTCGGGCCTCAAAAGCCAGCGCCCAAAGCAAACAAAAGCGGCGCTACTCACAAGAGAAAGGGCCCCGTCAAGCGCGTCAAAGTCGAAGACGCTGGGCCAAGAAGAACATCATCGCGCCTACAAGGATTGACCGCCGACAGCGAAGTAGCCAAGCGGAAAGCCGAGGATGAACATGTTGCGACACAAGAAGCTGCGAGGGCAAAGAGACAGCGAAATTCAGGGGAATTGAATTTAAGTGATGTGGTGGTAGGAGGGAGAGATTGGGATAAGAGCGAGAATTTTTTGGTGGATGTTGTTTCGAGGGGTGCCAACCCCAATGAGCGGACATTTGGAGACAGCGAAGTTAGAGAGACTACAGACAAGGAACTTAGATCGCTGAGAGAACAGATGAGTGGTTTGGAGCTATATGATGGTTTCGAACCCAACCGTATAAAGATAACGCCTGAACGTATATACTCGCTGGGCTTCCATCCGACAACAGACAAACAACTGGTCTTCGCAGGCGACAAGATGGGCAATTTGGGCATCTTTGATGCCTCGCAGACATCCGAGTCAGTCAAAGCCGAAGATGGCGTCAAGAAAGAAGCAGACGAAGAGGAGGAAGACGACCCAGACCCAGCAATTACATCCTTCCATTGCCACACCCGCACAATCTCCTCCTTCCAATTCTCCCACGCCAACCCCTCACACCTCTATACCTGCTCCTACGACTCCTCTCTCCGTCTTCTCGACCTCACAAAATCCAAGTCCACCGAAATCTATGCGCCCTCGGACTCCTTGCTCGACGAGCCCCTTTCAGGGGTAGAAATGGACCCAACGGCTCCACATATGCTGTACTTCTCCCGACTCGATGGCCACGTAGGAAGAACGGATACTCGAGCGCCAGGAACGACAGACATATTCCAGCTTTCGGAGAAGAAGATCGGAGGCTTCTCCCTCAACCCTGCAAACCCTCACTTCATAGCTACAGCCTCACTGGACCGCTATGTGAGGATTTGGGACCTGCGGAAACTGAGCGGAAAGGCGTCGAGGCAGCTTCCAGCTTTGATCGGGGAGCACGAAAGCAGACTCAGTGTCAGCCACGCGGCGTTCAATTCGGCAGGACAAGTCGCAACGGCGAGTTATGACGACACGGTCAAGATTCACACCTTTGAAGGTATGGGTTCATGGAATCCTGGGCACAAGATATCGGATGACGAGATGGCACCTTCATCAATAATTCGACACAACAACCAGACGGGCAGATGGGTGACCATGTCAGTACTTTCCGCTCTCCCCTAGGATTGACAAGCTGACAGAAAGCAGTCTCCGAGCCCAATGGCAGCTCCACCCACCCAATTCGATCCCTCGCTTCTGCATTGGCAACATGAACCGCTTCGTCGACATCTACACCGCAAACGGAGACCAGCTGGCGCAGCTAGGCGGCGAAGGCATCACTGCGGTGCCTTCTGTGGCACAGTTTCATCCCACGGAGCAATGGGTCGCTGCTGGGACTGCGAGTGGGAAGTTGTGCTTGTGGACGTGATGCTTTGAGCGAAGTGTTAGCAGTGGACCGGGAACGGCGTGTAAAAACGGGCATTGGGCAGCGCTTTGTACATTTAGGGTGGAGCATCGGGTCATGAATCTCATGCAGCGCTCTGCACACATGGAGCCGATCATTTCCGCATGATCCTCGAGAACTTCCTCCCGAGTGCCCTCCAAAACCCCCTTTTCACCTTCTGTGGCTGCTCGAGACTCGGTACCTTATCCTGTCAACATGTCAGCGGCTCCCCTCCACCGTTCACCTTTTCCGGATCCGCCTACCTCTCGCTCCGCCAACTCTTGATTCACCACATTCACCTGCTTCGCGAGGTACTCGACGTGGCGATCCCGCTTCGCCAAGTCGTATTTGACCGCGTCCATCTGCTCCCCGAGCTGCTCGATGGTCCGATCTCGCTTCGCCAAGTCCTGTTTGACCACATCCATCTGCCCCACGAGCTGCTTCATCTCCTGCTCAGACGCGTGCTTGTCTTGCGCGATGCCGTACTGGAGCTGTGTGGCGTCGTCGAGCCTGTACCGCGGCTGCGTGACCGGTCTGACCACTGCCAGTCCTCTGTTATGCTCGTGGAGGAGGTAGTCTTCGATTTTCGCTTCCCATTCGGTGCTCTTGGCATCTGCTTGCCATTGGTGAAAGTCTCTGCACAGAGTATTCCGGGCCAACGAGTAGAGTGCCGCTAGGGTAACCTGCGACGGGTGCATTTCCGACATGGCTTTCAGGCGCTCGACGGCCGTGGCTCTCTGGAAAGTGTCGAATTGTTCAGTGTTGAAGCGCCATTTGCAACGTGATCCCGTAGAAACAGCAAAGCCGACGCACGTGGAGTACGGAGAACTCGGATCGACATCGAGGACTCTGTAGGGATCCCACAAGTCCCTGCTCGAGCTGACTGAAGCCATGATAACGAGATGGAAAAGTAGATTTGAAGTATTTGTAGCAAAGTATGAATCTAAAACCGAATGGTTTGCGAATGCGCTGGACAGGATATATAAGACCAAGAACCGAGGATATACTTAGCTAAGAGCCCGCACTAATCGAGAAGCGAGGCGGAGTCTCGCTTTTCGGAAAATAACTATCGAGATACCACCCTCGAGTGAGTGCTACCAAAGTTGATTGTGAACCGCATTCGACCGCCCAGCACGTGTCTGTAGGGGGTGGGATGTTACTTGAGATAGGAGGGTGGTATTCCAAGAAGTGTGTGATTGAATGGGTGGGATTCCGGATATGTGCTGCTTGCATTCGCTACGATCGAACGCCAAGCCTATCAGAAACGGAGAGAAGTGAGGCACAGTGCATAAGACGGCACACTCACCGGAGAAATGCGCAGCATTGAGGCGCAATTCCATATCGGAATGCCAAATAGAGTTGAAATGAAAGCAAAACCATTCCTACCGAAGCACTGCGAAGCCATAAAAATGTACCTTGCAAGGCTCTCTCCGAAACGCATGAAGTTCTAGACTTACAGGGACGATGCGACGCCATCAATGAATACTATTCAGGCCCCCCCCTGAGTCGTGCCTCCCACTCAAGGGGCCCAGATGGAGTCAAGAAATCATGGGTCAGCTGCAGTAGGAGTGTTCAACCATGATGACACAGTGATTTCCAGGGTCAGCACAATCTTAAAGCGTCCATGACATGATACGTGTCTGCCTAGACAGGAGCTGTCTATTGCGAGGCGTCCCCAAGCTGTATCTACATACCTCGCAAGGCTACCTGCTGGATTTGTCTCAGAAGATGATCCTTACTTTCCCTGCCTCCACGACTTATGAGCATATGTCCAACCTGACGTGCGTTCGATCTGTTCCAATGCCCTTTTCAAGCGAAGCTTCTTAGTATAGTACAACGATTTCGTGTCAGGCAACGATGCTTGGGTGTTGTCATATCTCTCTTGACAAACAGTGGTGGTCTTTGCAACGCTGACCTTGGAGATGATCTTCTCGTGGGTGACTTTGCGCGTGGTTTGACCAGCCCAGGGAGAAGAATCCTGGAAAGATATTGGACCGTAACCTTCTGGTGAGTAATCAGTATAGATACGTTGTGCCGCTGTCGTCATCCTCGAAACAATAGGGTTTCAGTCTCGAAGTTCCAATGGCGCCGTTGGTGCCACCCCTGGATTGTTCAAATCCGGTCTGGCAGGCCTTGACTGAGCGGATGTACTTCGATGGCTGATATTCCAGAGTCGTTACAGAATGGTGATCCCGGTTTGTCAATGGCTCCACTATCGTATCAGATATGGCAGATACAAGCTCTCTAGGAGAGGTAAGAGCGGCGGTAATTTTGTTCAGCATATTTTGAGCAGACCATCCATTGCGAGCGGCTTCTCCAGAGGCTGCCACTATACTCTTCTGATCGTTGTCCACGCCACTGGCGGAGTCTTTGGAGGCGACGTTGGCTCGGACGGCTGGGTGCTCCTGTCTTGCCGTGTTGGCCAGCCATGCTGTCCGCAGAGAGGCGCCTAAACCCAACGCCACGGGACGAGCTACGCTATTCCCTACGATCTTCCACTGCTCAGAGGGTGAACCTATAAGGACCTCATAGTCGGGAAAACCCTGCGCTCGGCGTGCTTCCATTATCGTCAGCAAACGGTGGTCATCCCAATGCAGACAATCACCACCTGCACCGTCATCAGGCCTGGGCTCTGTCATTACCGTGGGCATCAACGCATTTCGTCTCACTCGTTGCCAAGACTTTGAATCATGTCTCGATCGAATCTTCTCGTCCCATTTGAATGAATCGATCTGCGCCTGAGGCATATAGCCTTGCCTGAAAGCCTTGACGAAAGAGCAGCCACTGGGGAAGCGAGGAACACATGAAACGCGCACCCAGCTAAGGATAGGCAGACTCCTGCTCATACGGTGATCGGGGAAAGGTATGCAGCTTGTGCGAGCGTCAGTTGCTGGTAGATCTTTCGTGGCTTCTGCTGACGTGACGTAGTCAAATGGTGTTCGATTTCTGGTTCGCGAAGCGGTGGGCACGCCATTTGCCGTCTTTCCCAAGCTTCCACCCCAGACTCCATCTGGGTGTGAATGTGTTTGTGCAGGCTCTAGTAAAGGCGTCAAGCCTGGAGCTGCAATAGTGATGATGATCCTGCTTCGTTTCTGGGGAGAACCAAAACTCCAAGCGTCCCTATATTACAATGTCGCCGTCAGTATTGCCTATTTGAGGAGGTATATCGAGCCTTGAAACAGGTTTCGAGAGTAAAAAGTCCGGAGACATTTTTCATGACTCAAGGTTTGCTCCAAAAGGGGAAATATGGGCTCCGAAAATACGCACAGGCAGGAAGTTCGAACTTGGTACCCCATGCCCACTAGGCAGCAGACCACCTGTGCTAGCACGCTGTGTTTCTCATCGCCAAGAGCCATGCCTTTCACGTTCTCCATGAGAGCATATTTGGGACGGTAGAAGTCTATGAAGGCAAGCACCGAAGCCACCATAGACTCGTTGAGCAAACCACCTGTACATTTCGGAGTCAGCATGACTTCTTTGAGGCAAATTTCTTGAGTCGTAAGACAGCTCTCGTTAGTAACAGAGTATGAGTCTTTTGCTCTCAAAATATGTCTATCGACTCAAGTCACAGGATCGATTCGGAAGACAATGCTCCGAAGAGTGCACTTACTTTCATTGCCTTTGTTCGGATTTGCCAGAGAGTATCCTTGACAAGGACTGCCAGCACATATCACTTCGACCTCTCCAAATTGAGCTATCAAGTTTCCCCCCTTTCCCTCCAATGCTTGACTCAGATAATGATTCACTGATCCCCGGAATAGCTTAGTCTGATTCTGAGTCGGCAGGTTGGCTTTGTAAGTGTGGATCGCTTGGTTGTACCAATCCACCGCCCAATCAAAACGAACAGCACCACCCTCTTCGAGCCCACGACCGAAGTTTCCTCCACCACAGAACATATCCAAGCCCCGCATTCTCGGCTGAGGTGGAGCCGACGTGGGATCCCAGCCCTGTCTCAGGAAAGATGGCGACGGGGTTTGTAAAGATTCTAGGCCAGATCCGGAAGTCTGCAGATCTTGAGATATAATGTAATAGAAATCCGAGGCACCTTGACGATCGTAGGGACTGGGTATTCTTTGCTCTTCTTTTTCCGCTTCTGAGTAAAACCGAACTTGGCATTGTCTGTGGACGTACGCAACAGGAATGACCTCAGACCGGTCGGTCAGAACCAGTTCGTTTGGATCAGCATCATTGCACCCGTAGTCTCTCTTCCTGCGCAACAGTCGTACGACTCTGATTTTCCCGTCAAGACCGTCTGGATTGTGCTCGATAAGTACCACCGGTTCCAAATTCTTGCCCAACCGTCTCAGGCTCGACGCCACAAGCAAAGTATCTCCAACACAGTATTCAGGTGTTTCATTTACTTTGTGGCATCCACATCGGAAGTGTGAATCTTGCAGTGTGATCCAGGCACCGTCACCTTCGACGTATCGTTGACGACAAAAAAATTCTGTGGATGGACTCTCTGGCCCACCGAAGGTAACTTGCGGTTTACGGATGACTTCGCTGGCAAGTACTAGAGGATCCCCACAATTGCAGTGATCACCCAGAAACAGTTCTTGTGAGTACGGATAAAACATCTTCAGACACGTGGTGTCTCCAGGACGGTAAAACCAAAGCAAGCCCAAAGCTTGGCCTTCGTCGGTGTCTGAAATGCATTGCACATAGCCTTAATGATTTCGGAGTCAGCATGACTCTTCCGGGGGGGGGTTCTGAGTCGCAAAACATGTCTTAGAAGCAGAGAACTCTTGAGGCTTGTCTGACGACTCATAAGACAGCATAAATGGGGAAGAATTGCCTCGGAAAGTATAACGTACCAAAGTACTCTGCGTCATCGGTCCTCCAAGCGCTATTGTCGTCCTTCGGAATAGCCACCACGTCTCCGATACTGACGCGTATGGGCTGGCCTCTAGCCTTCATACCACTTGAACTCGGGCACAATGGAATACGCACTTCTAGCTTCTGAACTGCAGGACTGACCTTTGTGTGATTGGTATTTGATTGTTTCTCGCGATGAATGAGAGAGGTGGATGAAGATTGGCAATAGAGAAACTTTGCCCAGGGGAGACTCTCGAAACATTTGAATACATACGGCGTGACCTTGAAGTTTTCGGAGTCAGTACTGCTTCTTTGAGATCAAAGGGAGTCACAAGATGATATCCACAAGTTGACGTTCTTGAAATATCTCTCAAAACTCAAATTGGGATACAAATTGAGAAGGAATCGCTCCGAAATGTAGACGTACGGTAGTCTTGCGTCTTGAGACGAACTCCTCTCTTGCCGTCAAAGTGGCAAACATATCCTTGATTGTGGTGTGTTCCACCTGTTTTGGTATCGCACGTAAAATCCTAGGGTGTATCTCCTCCCATATTGCGTGCTTCTCATACTTTTGATCGACCTGGGCAGCTTGGAAGTATAGGAAATTGGCATGGGCCGTAACAACGCGTCGAAAATCCCGATCCGCATATTGCTCGAGCCAACGACGAACACATCTGTCAGTGGGGTAGAGATTTTGGAGCCACTCATAGAAACGATGACGAAAATCGAATAAGGCAACCCTTTGGTGAGTGTGAAGATATTCAACAAGATGCTTGGCAAGATCTGCCATCCATAAGAATGGCTCATGATACCGTTTGTACTCCGCTGCAGGGTATGTCAGACGATACCAGACATTGGGCCTCGTGCCTTCAATTGATTGTATCCAGATGTAGGGGCCCACCGTAGAGTGTTCCGGTTCTTCGTATCCTCCTATGGACAAGGTTTCGAAGGGAACTTTTTGAACGTATCTCTGCTTACCAGCGTAGCAGATAACGCCGTCAAGGTAGAAGTGTTTGACTGCGTGTTCGTTGATCTCGTGAAGTGACACCAATTCATTTGCGAAAGGGAATTCAGTGGCGCTGCTCTTGTTGTGACGGTAAGGCTTGTGGGGACGGTAGATGACAAATTTTCGAAGGTCTGCTTCGACAAAAGCATTGCCATTTGTGTCTGTATCGTTGTCGTCCTGTTCCTCCTCTTTGACCTGCCCACAATCTTAGCTTTCGAAGAGAGTGTGCTGAATTCGTCCCTTTCAACCTACTAAGATGTCTTGCAAGACGCTCTTCTCAGAGTACCTTGGGACCGATGGGACATGGCCGCTGTATGCTGTTCTGGGGAATACAAAGTGGGGTGGTCGAACACCAGTCATCCGCACCTCGCTCTTTTTCTCCTTGGACCAAATGGGGTCATCCTCATCTGGTACATCGCCAATGACATCTTTAGCTCTCACGGGATGCTCGTCATCTTCTGAATTAGACCTCTTTCGTTTTCGTAGATTTCGACTTGAGTGCCGTGAAGAGTCAGAAGGATGGAAGATTTGAGGGGCGGTTGAGGGAAGAATGCGGGGAGGCTTGGCGGCGGAACCTATCAAAAGCAGTCAGGGTTTCGAATCTACGCATGATGTTCATACACATCTGAAGGTAAATTTCATTACCACTTGACAGGCGTAGAGTTGTCATAATAGTTCGACTACCAATCTATCAATCCCTTACTCAAAAGAACCCTGGGAGGCGCGGCGTGAAATGAAAGCCAATTGCGCTGTGAATGCCATGAATTGCGTTCAGCCGTAGAAACCTATCTTTCAAGAAACATGCATACCAAACACACAAGATGCGTTGCAGGAGTCGTCAATGGGTGTGTGTATTGCAGAAATCGTTGACTAGAGAATAATGTTATGTTCACTTTTTCGTGACTCGTGAATATAATTCGAGGAGACGCGTTGGCGGCGTGTTCGCCAAGCCGCATGACGCTAACCCCCTCATAGATGTTTCGTTCAAAACTTCTCAACACGCACAGAGGCATTGAGTCAGCGTCTCAGTGCGAGCTCGAAAGATCGTATTTCTCGTAGCATCAAGGATGATGGACCGCTACTTCAGCCTCTCCACGGGGATGAAGCATTGCCAGGGCGTCTCTCCCCAACAAGTACCGGTTTTCATTAAATCAGGATGCTCAGGATGCATTTGGCCACTGTTGTGTCCAGTGAAGAGTAACACCAGATCGGCACATTTCACAAGAATTCAAGGATCTTTCGCAGAGAGGTGAGAGCCGAGCTGAGGTAGCTAGATTGTATGCACTATCTATATGAGAAGCAAACGTGACTGAATCAACTGCATCTGCAGAGGGGGTAGTCGCGGTCGAATTCAGGAATCGCTCAGACAGAATCCTTGGAAGCAGAAATCTCATGTTCCTCTATCTCATAACATCTTTGACTGGTGCACTTAGCTGATTCCTTGTTGACATACCTTCTTCCCTCTCCCCTCAAGGCGCGTTATGCGCATCTTTCGAGAAATTTAAGATATCACTCTCCGGTTCAATGAACTGGACCATTCTCCACATTGTCTTCACCGCCAACATCTCCGCCTTGCCAAAAGGGTCGACCTTCAATCCCCGCACAAAAGGGAGCTGCTTCAACTTGAGAATGGATTCACCGTCAGGGGAAGTCTTTCCATTAGCGCCAAAGGCAACGACGGCGAGCAAAGAACGGTGACCGAGGCCCCAACCCTGCTCCTTGGAATGGGCGTCGCTGGCTTCGAGTATCTGTTGTGCTAGTCGCTGTAGAGCATGCTCGTAGAGGTCGTACCATTCATATTTCAGCTTGTAGTTGCGGCTGATGAAGGAGCTTCGAGTGGTTGGCCAGGAGTGGAGATTGAGTGTAATTAGATGGCGTAGTTTTTTCAGGCACCGCTAGTTCACTGTTTCAGTATGGGCACTGCAACATTCTGCCAGCATGGCTTACTTGAGCTTGTTTGAATTCAGAGCTTGGATGAGCATCCGAAACAGACGTATCAGGAAATGTAATCCCAAGCTGGCGAAGCTCAGTGCACGCTGTGCAAATCTCATCCAATTGCTCGCTCTCGTACCTCATCAGGTTTGACACTGGATCTCGGCTTCGAACACCTAAGAGTCGCAGGGTCTTCCCATGGTGCGCTATCGCTGTGGGGTTGGGCAATCCACTGAAGCCCATGATATCTACATGCAAAACCTCCAATCCACTCATGGCCTCGAGTAGTCCGTCGAAGGCCTCAAGAGCATGTGTCACGCTCGTCTCTTCGCTATGGAACCAACGGATTTTCTTCAACTTGGTGGGGCGCAGAAGCGGCTTGCTCATCTGAGCGAACACAGTGTCTGCACCCCCGCATCCATTAATAAGCAGGGATTCCAGGGCGCTGAATTTGATGAATTTCATAAAAGTATCAGCAGCATACCGCAAGTCGATGTCTTCTATGCTGAGTTTCTTGAGAATCATCGGAGTGCACGTCTCGAAAGGCATCATGTGGCTAAAGACCGTCCTCGTGAGGAGACCTGGGCGGGTGCTTGAGTCTTCTAGATCACCATGAATTTCCCCAGAATACGCAAAACCAGAGGAAAGTTCTAGCTCGTTAAACTTTGTCTGGGTTTCCACAACTTTTTGACAGGCGTTTAATCGATCGACGGTGTCAGGGTAGAAATGCAGGCTCGCGGCTCCTTCCAAACTTGTGAAAAGACCGGGATTCTTTTCGAGCTCCGCTGGGTTATGTTATCAGAGTTAGTTTTGCCTGCTCGTTGGGGGTATATAGAGCCTTGGAACATGTCTAGACAGTAATTAATCCCAAGGCATGTCTCAACACTAAGCGTTCAACTTGAAAAGCGAAATAGGAACTCCGAAGATACGTACGCATGAAGTTCCGATCGACTGGTTCGATTTCGACTGCTTTCAGCCGCTTTTGCTTCTTCATCAGTAGTACCCAATTGTCCATTGAGAAAGGCTCCCATTCCTGCCAACTATGTAGACTATTAGCTTGATAAAAGCTAGAGAATGTATACTTGTTCCAAGCCTTCCAGGCAGCGAGATGGATTCTCCATAATATGTGTTTCGACGAATTTGCAGAAAGTGGAAGGCTACTCACCTAAATTTCTCAAGAATATCATTCGGCAAGAAATCCAGAAGCAACCTGACAGTAAATTGAGCCTGTCTCGCGGCACCCACAATGTCTTCAATCTGTGCATCTTCTTCATCTTCAGAAGAGTCATCAGAGTTCACATGGATATCCAGAGCTGGAATTGGCGTCTTCTCAAGCTGCAGGTAGACTTTCCTAATATGCTGAATGCCCGGATTTGATCGACTCAGTAGACCGGAGACTCTGATGTCTTTGTGGCCGCCGATGAAAAGCACTACTTTTCGATACAGCGGTGGAGTAGCGATGTCTCGTAGTCGCTTACTTGTCAGGCATAGTGACTTGAGATCTTCCGGCCGTGTGATCTGCAACGACGTTATGAACATTGGTCTAGATAACGGTTCAAAAGAGATGTGCAGTGGAGGCTTCTTACGTAGCCGAGAATAATGTTCTTCTTGACGTCGAGCGGGACATCGTTGAAGTGGATAGGCTTAGAGTCCATCTTTAATCAAAGGAAACAACACAAGAAGATGACGCCGTGTGCAAAATGCTCGAATGTGGATATGGAGCATATGCGTAACACGATGATGATCCCCTCCTAGAATAACGCTTCGAGTTTTAAATTGATGGGGAAAAGCAGCAGACTAGGACTTGACTTGTATATTCAATTGTTTATATATTCCAGGCACAGTTTTAGACAGGTAGAAAGATACTTCGCTGATGTTGAGAGGTTAATGAAGGAACGAAAGGGGAAAAAAAGCAGGATGCAGCTTGGGCTAGTCAACGTTGGGACGAGTGCAGCGGTGAGGCTGAAGTCACCAGCTTTCCGCAGCCTCACCTCTTTCACACAACTGTTCGACCTCAAGACAGATACATTCGTTGCTCAGGGTGATAAATGAGCGCCAATGGTTAGAGAAGGGACTGCACTTTTGCTTCGGATTTTGAAATACGCAGTTGAAGTGACGCTTGGCTTAGCAGATAATGGGCGTATGGCATGATTCGCTATAGTAGTAATGTATAGACTGTAATGTACCACGATTCGAGAAAGCAGATGGAGTACACATCCCTCAAAGCGCTCTACGTTATCAATGTCGAGCCTGTGGTTCCTCCAACACCAGTGCTAAACTAATACATGCTTTCATACGTTAAATAATAATCACTTCTTGCCTTTCCTTCCCGCGACTCCACCAGCAAACCTCCCAAGGTTCCCCAGACTCGACTTCGGCTTGTGCAAAGGACCACTGGGAGGTGCAGGTCTCTGCGAAGCAGTTCCTGCACTGGACGGTCTTAACGCCTGCTTTGGTACATCAGGCAGTGTCTTGTCCTTGACTTCTGCAACCGTAGTATTATTAGCGGATGTGCCATCCTCTACCTGGTTTTGCAGTCGATGCGCTCTCCTAGCCTTCTCCTGCACGCTTCTAAACTTTTCAAGCAATTCAGTCCACCTGATGGCGGCTTCTTCTCTGGGCTTGAGTCTGTTTGGGCGGTCGAAGGTTGCGCCGGGCGTTTGAGGAGCGCTACCAAACTTAGCCTCGGTGCTCTTCTGTCGGACGTGAGATACGTACGTGCGTGGCGCGATGTGAAGGTAGCCTATAGCGCTAACGCTATTCAAGCGATTCTTCAGCGCTGCGAATGCAGAGGATTGAGGGAGTAGCATGAGTAGCCCGTAGAGACACTTGTAAAGATGCGGGTACCTTTCTGGTTCTAGGAGCTGTAGACGGAGGTCTAGTCTCAAGTTAGCGATGCTCTCCCAACCTCCAGATGATGCACGCACACGTAAAAACGGGCGACTCGAGCAGCTGCACCAACTTGTCGATCTGGATAAGCATATTGACAGTCATCTCCAACTCCGCACTGTTTAGGTCAGCTGTAGCTAGTGCCAGATCATCAAAGCGGCCTACAAGATCTGGAGTAAATTGTAAGCCTGCTCATATGCTTGTGCAAGTAAACATAGCGAGAAGGTCGCTACCGCATTGTGGCACCAAGACCTGAACAAAGCGACGAAGAAGACTTGTCCATCTTTCGTCTCAAGAATCCGCAATCTCTTCCGCAGTTCGGCCAGCTCTGGCGCCGTGATAAGGTTGTTATTGAGATTCTGAACCATGATACTTGCAAACTCGACGTCCTCATCCTTCTCTAAACAGTCGGCCAAAGTCCGATATATCCTTTCTGCGCTCAAGCTCACGCATAGTTGGCGAATTATCAGGTTGCCTCTTGTCTCAAGAAGTCTTCTGTCAGTGCAGAAAAGCTGCAGGAGGTTGACCATGAAGGATGTGAAGTAGCCATCTTCGCTATTCTTTGATATCTGAGACAGCAGTTGTAAGTCGCGGGTGACAACAGCTTCTGCAGGATCTGACAATGTCTTCAGGAGAGCTGGGAACGTGCCGTCATTGGTGGCGAGAACCTTGCGAGGAGCCCTCCGATGTAGCATGATCAGCCAAGCCAAAGCAGCAACCCTAGTGGCTTCGTGTTCGTTCAGGAAGTGCAATGTGAGAGCACCCACGGCGGCTGTATAGTCAAGGTCAGTGACCGGTCTTGGTGGTGGAGGTGATGTAGATGTTGGAGGCGTTGACACTGTTGCCTCTTCATCCTTCTTGGCCTCAGCTTCTCCTTCAACCCCCTGTGGTAGTTTCGGCGTTGGCGTCGAAGCACGCCTCGTTTTATTGTCGGCTTCCTTAGCGGCTTCTTTTATGGTGGTTGTTGGGTCCTTCATAACGCCAGTCGGAATACGAGATGGTGGTAGTGGCCGAGCCTCTTCTGGGATACCCTCATCCGGTAAAGACGCAATATGATCCATCAAGGAATTGTTTACTCGATTCGCAGCTTGTCGCACGAGGTCCGCCCCACTAGCCATTGCAGGTAGCACCTGCGAAAGAAGTCGAGGAACAAATGCTAGGATGTCCTCTGGATTTATCTCGAAAAAGCTGTCGATCCAGCGTAGAGCGGTAAGCTGTATTTCTTCTTCTGCACTCAAGAGTCAGTCGAACAGCAGAAGGACAACAGTGGGGTTCATACCTGATGAAGAGTCCAGAAAAGCCACGAGAATCTCTAAGATCTTAGAATGATCAACTTGGACATCTTGCCCCGGTACCCAGTCGCCATCTTCGTGACCACTTTTCTCATCCTGGCCTCCCCCAAAGTCACCATCCACGATATCCGACTTCTCATTAGGTGTACTCCTGTCAGTGCGTATACTAGCACTATCACTTGAGTTGGATTGTTTAGCCTGGTCATCACTGTCTCCCTTTCGGCTTTCAGCTATTCCTCGTTTGATTCTAGCGATCTTCTTTATTTCGTTCAAAAACCTTTCGAGCGTTCCTTGTGTTGCAACATGTACATCTCTGTTGGGGTCGCTGAGGAACTGGAACAAGCCTCCTAGAAACGCTGGTAGATAATGGACAAGCTCCAGATCTGGGATGGTATCCAGTAGAGTGACCCATGATACTAGAAAAGTACGAGTGAACGGATTGATGACGTGAATGCGCTCTTGTAGCAGTGGTATGAATTTGGCGAGTGAGAAGGCCGTAAGAAGGTCAAGGGATGAGGCCTTATCAGAATCCTTGCTTGGGCGAGGACTTGAGACGGCTTCATCGGGAGATTGTAAGACAGAGACGTAGGTCGAGGCAGATTCAGAGACTATATCTTTGACCAGCCGATCAAGCAATTCCGCACCGTTTTTCACAGACAATTCCGAGTCCGCAGCAAGCTTTATGAATTTCAGTATGTGCTAGCTTGCAGGTTTGCGTAACTGCCTACCTTACAAAGGGCATCAAAAACATCGTTGAAGAATAGTAGTATTTCTCCTTTTGCAACCTTAGCAATATTGTACATGCTCTCACACGCGTAGTATCGGACCCTCGCATCTTGGTCGGTGAAACAGGCGAGGACTGGCGGAACAATCGACTTGAGGTAGCGAGCAACATCGTCCTATTTCCGTGTCAGACTTGCTCATCGTTGACCAGAGCACGGCTGGACTTACAGAGCCTAGTGCGATTGAAGCTGCAGCAAGGCCAATCAATCCCCCATTCCTGGCGTGCGGCTGATGGACTGCATAGGCATAGTCATGGCAGAGCTGCTCAACAATCTTGCCAATTCTCTCGTACTCCTTGTTTGCACTTGCTTCTCGAACGATCCTTTCTAGGCTGGAGGCTCGTAAGCAGTGTGACGTCTAAAGAGGGTCGCGCGAGGACAGACTCAAGAGCACCTTGCTTCCTTTTGTCATAGAGCTTGTCGTTAAGCAGACGCTGCACAGCGGGATCCATCGTACGAAAAGAGCCAGCTATCGAAACATCGTTGAGTGCGTAGGAGAACCCCAATGGGTATTGGCTCAGAAGCCTGATGTTCACATAAAAACCTTGGAATACCGCTATTAAAAGAGGAAAAAGATTTGCTTAAGCCGTGAGATCGCAATGCAATACCAAAGCCAGCCCACAAAATATCAACATGAAGAGAAGTAGAAGAAACAATCACTGTGCAGTGTGCACCAAGGGAACGAGGTAAACATATAGGGCACCAACCCTACTTAATTACCTAGCTGGGTCACAATCTCCTTTACCTCTAGGCGCCTACATCTACATGTTGAAGTTATGGTACTTTGCAACAGAAATGAAGAAGTACATTGTGGTTGATCATTACCACCTCCCAGGTAAAATGACTAGATGGTGGATAGCATCCTTGAGACTGAAACCTTTGTCACGCCCTGGAGTGTCCTTTAGGCTCACACGAACCTCTATGTAAAGTAGATTTGATAGCAGGATGAGCACACACGCTGATCGCATCATCTATCTTTGTTCTCTTGACCTTTTCAATGTTCTCGGTCTATGAAACCCATGTTCATGGTCATTCCCACTTCCTAGATCACGACCGCCACAATGTTTTGACCTCCCACTTTCTCCCAACCTTCTCGTGGTCACTTGGCTCACACTTTCCTTCGGAGATTTTAAGCAGTTTCCCGCCTTGCTTTCTTCTCTCTCCTCGGATGCCAAGCTAGTCACACGACTGTAAGGCAACGGCACGTCTTTGGCGGATCTCACTTCAGTGATTGGTATCAAATTTGACCACCGAGCCGTCTTTCCGTGGGAAGATGCATGCGAAGCTTTCGACTTCCCGGAGTCAGCCACCGAAATCTTAGTGACGCTTGGAGGGCTGGTCACACCCTCGACATGGCTCCGGGTAGCTGAGCGGGAGAAGTGATGCGAACGCTCTGACTGCGAAAGCAGATCGTCAATATATGAGCGCGGCAGTGGCGAAGCAGCAATTGCATGATGAAAGGATTTGCTGCTAGCCCGAGAGAATTCGCGTACGTGACTGTCCTTGTCTGCTTGAATTGGGTCGTAGGTGACTGGTGCTTCGATGGTTCTGGTGGTGACTCTCTTTTGCTGCTCAACGCGAGGGGTTTCAATTTGGCTTTCGGTCATGGCTGGATTACAGTTTCGCAGTCAGTCTCGCCTAGTTGAGAGGATATATGGAGCCTGAAACATGTTCCGAGAGTAAGTCTCCCAGGACATGTCTCAAGACTGAAGATCTGGTTCAAAAGAGGGAATATTGAATTCGACAACACGTACCATAGGCTACAACAGCCCCTGCTGTAGCTCCTAGGACGGTTCCAATGATTGCCTTGGTTTTGATATCGTCATCTTTCGGGGTTGATTCTGGCCTGACGCGAGTGACGACCGCGGCTGGTGACGTCATAATTTGATTGACGACCACCTTAGGAGGCTCTCGTTCTGCATGCCGAGCTTTGGAGTGTGGTGCTTGGACTGTCGATCTTGGAGCTTCGTCAGCTATGCTGTCTGCCACATCTTTCGTCCATGCTAAGACGCGGTCCTTTTCCGAAATGCGTGTTCCGTCCCTTTCGTTTGGTCCATCTTGATACATGACTCTGCTGAAGCTGTCGACGGATTGCGTCGAAGTGAGAGTAGTCTGTGTTGTTCCTGATGTGGAGTGAAATTCGAGAAGACCGCGTTTGAGGCTTGAGTCCTGAGGCTTACTTTTGAGACGACAGAGAGACTGAGCACCCTAGAACGAAGGCTTTTCGAAGCTTCGCTTTTTGCTCTGGTAACAGATATTGAGCTTTGCCGGGTATGGCCTAGGTAATACCAGGTCTTCAGGCTGTGATGTGTTGTAGTACGGTCCAGGCTTCGCGATCGTTGGAACAAGCTAGCGGGATGTAAGCAGATGTGAGGTGCTCAATCCGGGGTTCGGAAAAGTTATCAGAGTCAAATAAATGATGCAAATCTCTTACGTCTTAGCATCGATGACGAGCCTGTCGATCTCATCTTTCTGAAGTATACCTCTCAATCTGCTTAAAACCCTAAGGAGGAAGGTACTAACGATATGATGTCGGTACCTGACAGCTGCCCAAGTCACCTTGATTCGTGCCATGCAATTCGAGCGAGGCGTAGGTGCCTGAACGCTCCACCGTGGGGAAGCCACGTAGAGAACATGCAACTAAACTCGTGGGATGAAACGGAAGCCTTCGGCGCCAGATATGTTACCAATGAGAGGCCGCCATAAAATTGATCAAAGTTGCTTGCTTATAAATTAGCGAAGGTAAGGTACATGTAATTTTGGAATACATCGGCAATTAATAAGAGCGGAATCCCAGACGCGGAGAAGCTCTTGTACCAGGCAACGTCTCAAACTTGTGCTGTCTTCGTTTAATATCTCGGCGCGTGGTGCAGGCATAAGGGAGAAAGCAAGTGTTTATTTGTTTGATCTTGCTCGGTGAGCGCAGCTTGAGTGTTCGGTCCCACGTATAACCTCCGACCATTACTTGCTATGAACGGCAACAAGTAGGGCTTATGCAAGAGATCTCGGAATAAGGTCGCTATGTATGAACGGAAAAGAGAATGTGCAGCAGTTGAATGCTGCACGGGCGCAAAGGCGCCTTGAGCCTGTTGAACCCGATGTTCTTGTTGCAAAAACAGAGCCAGTCCAATAGTCTCAACGCAACAAAGTAACGATCCACGAGTGAGCTTTGATGTTGGTATCGCAGCTTTCATGGATGCCACACAATGAACCTTTCTTTCCGTTATGAGCTTTGCCAGCCAAAAGCCTTTGGTGCTGCACGCAGAACCAACAAGAGCCGTAGCAGAATCCTCGCTGGCGGAGGGGCATACTCACCTTGGTAGCTAGACGATGTTCCACACGTCTTCCACAGCATTGCAGAACTTGCCACATGCTACGCTAGCGCTCAAGCTGTAATTGCTGATGCTGATAGCGTCATCCTTGTACATATCTGCAAAATCGTCCTTGCCTTTAGCCATGGCACCGACGAAGACGCAAACGCTTTGATTGGGGCCTATGTCTTCGATGTAGTCTTTGACCCGAACGACTTCAGCATCGTAACTGAGGGTGACCTTTCGGCAGTTGGGCGGAAGGTGGTCCGTGATGGGGTTCTTGATGACTTTGAGTAGCTTCTCTTGTGAATTGGTAGAGCGAATGGAGAGCCGATGTAAAAGCTGTACCATGAGACCGGCAAAGCGCTTGAAGGTACGAGGAATTCGGACTGTGGGGCTGACTTCGATGAGGACACCTTTTGCGGTGTGGATGTAAATCTGTAGCTTTCCAGCCTTGTTCACTGGCGAATCAAGCAACGTAAGAAGGCACTAGGGGAGACTCAGTATCAACCAGACGGATGTTGAATGCGTTCTGGTAGATAAAGCAAACCTGATGCGTGATATCCGGCCGTGCGTCGCTGATATCTCGGTTCATCTTTCGCATAACTCCGATATGCTCGTCGCTGTTTAGCAGGGAGTATTTCTCGTCTCGCATATTCCCCGACCGTCCACCGTGTGATGCTTTGTATGTCTCTAGACTCGCATTGGACAGGACGACCACGAGTCTTTGGGTGTCTTTATCATTGGCGGCGATAGGGACGTGCTGCTCGGCGACAAGCTGTGGAAGTGCGGGTGGTGGACATGACTGCGTTCCTAGACAGCAGCTGGTGAGCACAGGATCCTAGTGATGGCTTCCCACGCAGCAGTCGTCGAAAACCATAACAGCTTACTTGGTCTCTTCCTTGATATCTCTTCGGGAGCCATCTCTCTCCTCGGATCAAAAGATAGATTTGGCAGCAGAACGCAAGAGCTCGAATTTTTGAGAATAGATAGAAAGTGGAGAATTTACAACATTGAGATGAATGCAACGAGGAGGATGATTAGTTGGCAAGCAAGAAATTGGCTGTAGCACTTTGTCATATAGGATCATAGACTGTCGGCTGTGTACTTGGCACCTTCTGAATGAAGGATTTCATGTGCCCCAAAAGGCAGGTTGGGTCAGATTTTGGTTGAGCCGGATCGCGGGCGTTAAATCCGCACACATGTCCGAGATTCTCTGTGGTGTGTGGGAGATACCCGTGGATAAAAAAGTCATCCACGGGGACTATACTTGCTCACAGCTTGCGGTAGCATTCATATCATGGGCAAATGCCTCCAATAAAATCGCATAAAACTTTCCATGGAGAACGTCGTCGCCTACATACACCCCGTCGCCGCCTATGAAACCCACGCTAATGCAGCACTACTATTGGAGGCTATACCGAGTTGATTTCTTTCGGTTTGTATTTGTGACCGAGGCGAGGCCTTTCATTTGACCATATCTTCCACCTTTACACAAATTAACGTCTCCCTTAGCACACATCCCCCTTCTGCTTTCAGTTATTCTCCTTTGAATTCTTGTTCTCAAGCAGCTGTTCCAAAAACAGAGGCCAAATGTTCCATCGCTTGCCATAGTGGCAAGAATTAGGATAACATTTCTGTCACATCGTCTCATCAACGATCATGAGAACTCAACGAGGTCATAGGGTACGTGATCAAGAAGACCGTGAGGTCAAGCGACAGTGAATTTTGTGTGCAGGATGGTGGGCTGCCAGCCGGGGCAATGATTTGATTGACGGTGCCACAGGAAATACGGGGGATGACGAAGGTGGTAGAAAGGGGTTGAGGAAGTAGCATAAGTAGTAGTAGCAGTTGATGTCTATACTCATGGAGAACATGTATTATTCCTGGGCAAGACGTTTTCTTCATGAGAAGGTGTATGCTACTTGACGATTCATTGCGTATGAGATGAGTGCTACAGTACAATGACTAAGTTTACGAGAAGTCCCCATGGATAATTATTCTATCCGTGGGTGAGACATGGTGTCCATGGATAATATACCCTATCCATCGATGAATGACATGCAACATATGCTATCTATAACCATCAAGAGTCCAAACCATGCTCCATGCAACAGACGTAATTCGAATATCACATCTCATATATGGGTTTTGATTGCAGCTCAACAGGATACTTTGTCCCGTATCGCCGTAGCCAAGTCGGCGCCTCCTCTTATCACTTCGCTATTTTGATTACTATTCCCCTAGTACTTCCTCTTCAAGCACTCCGATGGCCTCAAGGACACAGTATCCTGCTTCACGAATGTCGATCGAGAGACCGGAACCTCTAGCATGCCACGTGGAAGATTTGTTCGCGCTTGAACAGGTACAAGCTTGTAACCCTTTTGAAATTTTCTCCCTCGCGAGATTGCTTTCGGCCCCGGCTCCTCGATAGTGGTTGTGGACAAGCTAACATCCTTGACTACATCTATCTGGGATGTCCACTGGCGAGTCGAGGTCCTCTTCAAGTGGGATCATGGTCCTAGGTCATCAAAATCGGCATCTCGGTCTGTTGGACGCTATGCTCAAACGTGTCTGTCTATGCGAGTAAAGCATTCTTGGACTTTCTTAACCTTGCTCTTCCCGTAGCCTCCAATGATCGTAGCAAACCTAATACATGTCATGTACCTCTGCTGTGGGACCGCCCTTGATTACTGAGCGTTCCGCGCCTACTGGCTTTGTTGAGCGAAGGTCCTAGTGGTTTGATCAGCTCGCTGCTTATGACAAAGAGCTCAAAGTCGGGAGGTAGAAAAGGTGCTTGGAATAAAGCTGGCTATTAGTGTTGTTGGGGGTATTTAGTTCGTATTAGGTTCGATTCCTAATGGCGCTGGTACAATGGTGTTGCGGTGCTTCTTTATTTTCTATTAGCTGTATGGTATGTATGAAGGGCAGGAAGAGACATTGACAAGGCTCTGATGGAAGCATAGCAGGATGCTTCCTCACTACCTCAATCCTCTAGCAGCCTTGTACGAGTTACCTAGGTACCTCAGGTAATGGAGATCTGGTGGATCATTGAGTGTCTGTACTCTAGCTCGTCACGCTCGTCTACGAGTAGAAACCTTAGCGGCGGCTCTGCGGGACGATCTTTGTGCCCCGCTATGTCGATTTCTGAGACAGAAGCCTATCCTCATCTCCTCTTTCTCTACCTACTTGCCTAAGTCTCTGACTTTTGTGTATTCGTAGGATCAGGTTTATATGATCTTGCCCTTCGCTTTTTCGCCTTTGAGTTCAGCTTTCTGGCTATTGAGACGTCCCTGCTACGACTCCTCGCTACCACAATGGACAACCCAAACCCCAACGCCGCTCAACAGGGTAACAGTCTCCCTCCAATTACTAGCTTGATCAGACCCGAGCAAATACCCAAACTTCCACACTTTCCCGAGCATCAAAAGGAGAAATACATTGAAGGCATCAGAAAACTATGGGACACTATCGATACAACCTCCATAGGTTCGGAGCCATATCAAACCGCATATAAAAAGCTCATCGAGGTTACCCTCAATATCAAAGCAAAAATCAACAAAACAAGACAGGATGCTATGGCATTGCAGGCTGCGAATGGTGGTCAGCAAAGCGCCGCTCGGCCCACGAGCTCTGGGCAGCAGGTTCCACTACCGGACGCTCGATTACCGGCGCAACACATGCAAGCTGGAATTCAACCACAGACTCAAGGACCATTCTCTGAGAAGGTAATCCAGAAAGTCAGGGAGCTTGATATTCAAGCGCCACCCCAGGTTATCGCAACTGAAGGTCCAGAACGTGCAAAGCAGTGGGTGAAAGACACACAGAATAAGTACGCACAACAATTAAAGACACTCGAGGAGGCGTTGAAGAAGCTCGGAGATATCAAGCAAATCTTTGCTCGAGGACAAAATTCAGATAGGCCTCTCAACGAGCAAGAGGTGCGAGGGCTTCAAGGTCAGCAGACTCAGGTGGAGCAAATCCAGAAACAATCGAGAGAGCAAATAACACAGTTCGTGAACTCGCAAAGAGCGCTGAAAGATCGACAAGTGCAAGGCAAGCCTACCAATCCTGACAACAACGCCTTCGACCAATCGCGCGCATCAAATGCTCAGCCGGTGAAACAAGAGCCTAATCAAGGCATGGGAGGTCTACCTCAAGTATCCCAAGAATCTCTAGGCCAACCACACACAGTAAGCTCCGCCCTTGATGCTGCCAGAAATCAACCCCACCCAGGCCCTGCCTCTGCAATGAGTCCGCAGAACAATGGGCAGCCATCACGACCACCAGTGAATCAGCTGCCGATTGCACGCCCTCAGCCTAACCAGATGCCAAATCCAATCGCACATCCACCTCTGAACATTAATACCAACTCTCGGCCCCCAGAAAAGCAAGACAACTCACCACACGCCGCACCTCCACATTCATCAGCTATGCCATCTAACGCACAAGAGCCCGTCCCGCTTTCTCATCAAGCTGCTATGGAGCAAGCACGATCGTACTCTCACCCAAACATCCAGCAATCTACACCTGTCGCCACACATGGTCACCCTACTCATGATCAACGAAACCAGCGCGACCCTCAAAACAATCATGCTAAGATGCCCATCCCTAAAGACCTCAACCTTCAGCCCACCCAGCCGGTGTCCATGGGCCCATCGAGGCCCACTTTGACTAACGGCCCCGTTGCAATGGGCCCCATGGGTCAGCCAGCTATTCAGAGGCATCCTGGTTATGTGCTCGAGGGTGAAGGGGAAAGAGTACTTAGCAAGAAGAAGCTGGAGGAGCTGGTCAGGCAGGTCACTGGTGGCACAGGAGGTGAAGGTGAGGAGGGTGAAGGGTTGACCGCTGAAGTTGAAGAGGTGAGGCCTGCTTCGATACATTCACTATCACTATAGCTTCACTTTAGCTTTCTTCTTTCCGGCTCATGCTAATGCCAAATTAGACACTTCTCCAGGTTGCTGATGACTTCGTCGATCAAGTCATTGTCGCCGCCTGCCGCCTTGCAAAACTCCGCCAGTCTTCAACCCTCGAACTCCGCGACCTCCAGCTCATTCTCGAGCGCAACTATAACATCCGCGTGCCTGGCTACGCTTCCGACGAGTTGCGTACTGTCAAGAAAACACAGCCTACTCCGGGTTGGGCTCAGAAGTTGAGTGCCGTTCAAGCTGCTAAAGTTACTGGGGGCAAGGGGGATTTGTGAGACGAGAATTACATCAAGGCAGGCTTTACTTTGCATGTGGCAATGCAAGCCGAATTTGGCGTTCTAAAGGAGTAAGGGCACTAAAGGCGCATATTGACGCTGCATGATACCAGGTGCTGAGAGGACAACATGGAAGATGTCACGCATTTTCACAAAGTGAGAAAATTTGCTGGGAAGGTCCCGACAGCTCAGCGAGATATCGATAGGTTCCAGGTGCTTTCCTGACCTGCCTTGAAGGACGTCTGTCAAAATCGTTGCGCTTGATTGACTGTCTTGACTGCATATTGAAACACCAACGAGTCAATTCTGTGCGCATGCGAGAAATCAATAATCTCCGTGTTTACAAAGCTCGGATGGATATCCAGGTTTCCTGAATAACGTCGAGTGCGCTAAGGCTGCGGTGAATTTCCTTCCTTTCTTGGTGAGATTCTTTCTCGTTTTATTCGGCTTCTGACCCTGAGAGGGCGAATGTGAGGATAACAAAAGATGCGGCCGTCGCAACGCTCGAATACTTTTGAATGTTCGCATTTGCGGAAGCAACAGCAAAATCAAATCTAGGCAAGTGATTGCGCTATAGGTATGTGCACACATCTTTGATTTGGGCTATTGAGGAGGCTGGTGTCCGAAGGGAGTCCAGCAAACTTTGGAGAGCTCATGGGGTGGCTCGTGGCGGGAGGGAACTCTGAAAACGTTGGAGAGCTTATGGACGCTTCTTGCTATGAGCGGTCATTACTAACAGAAGAATTGCAAAAGTGATATTCCAAGATTGATCAACGTAACTCAATGCCCACAGATCGCAACAGCCTGCTGTCTCTCTGAGAAGACTGTGAATCTTGTTGACCAGGTAGCTCTACTACAGAAGACGCCGCGTTAACGTGTTCTCTCCAATTTTTCCGTGCCGTCTGTTTCAGCTCGAAAATACAGGGGAGACTCACTTTCGAAGCCAGGCATCTTCATGGTATAGCGGACTCGATGCCTAATACATCATCCTTTATGTACCAATACTTTGGCTCAGCGCGGCCAAGGATTAGCGTGCAACTGCGTTTCCGTTTTGCTATTCAGCAATATTGAAAAAGCAACAGCCCGAGTCGCTGCGATTGACGGCATCCTCTCGAGAAGTAATCGGCGCCGAAGGATGGTCATGGGACATTACATGGTTCCTTGTAGGTAAGCATCGACACAGCAAATGTGCTTCACCTCAATAATCCCCCTAGGTCTCGCTCCATCCCTTTGACCCGATCCTCCAGCTGGCGTTTCTTCTTCTCAAGCTCTCGAATCTCGTCGTCTTCTCTTCTTATGTCTTCTTCGGTGACATGTATTTCCCCCTGGCCCTCAGCAGCATTCGCATCCTCTTCCTCTAGAGCTTCGTCGTCGCCGTCATCAAAGTCTTCATCACCATCATTGTGCTTGTTCATCTTTGCCAATTGCGCCATCTGTCTGGACACTTTCGATTCGTATCGAGCGATAGAGGAGTTGAGTTGTTCGTAGCGGGAGCGCAGAGATACGATCCTCTCAGCGGCCCCAGCTATTGGACTAGAAAAATATCAGCTTTGGATGATTTCCAAGTCTAAAGGGGACGTACTAGACAGAGCATAATTTCTCCGCTCCCTTGAGCAAGAGGTTCACGTCGATTTCTCCCCGCTCTTTGCCTTCCTTTGCGCCCTCTTTCCGTATTTGCTCTCCTAATTCACCTCCTAGAAGTGTAGCTACTGCTGATCTCGGCTTCTGACTCCTCATTAAACCGTTGCCATTTCCGTAACGATCCCCAGTGCCGTTCATGCCATGGACTGTGCTACGGCGAGCAAGACTTGCAGCGGAAGGATGTGAGCCTCGTTCAGGCTCGGCAAGTGTAAATAAAGCTCGTTCATGTGCTTCAGTGTCCCGAATTAGAGCTGTAATATCATGGGAATGTAGTAAGGCATTGGTGAAGATCTTGGGTGTAGGAAATCTACAATAGGTGCATTAGCTCGCAATTGTGCGTGGAGTCTCCCCTGAGACTTACGGAAGCTCTGCAATTGCGACAGAAGACAACGAGATCTGCTCCAGATGAGTCTCCAGGAGCGTCATTGTCTATCAATGTCCTCAAAGGCAGAGTGATGATGGGTGTTGTCTTTCTTGCTGTTTCTGATCACGCGCTTCGGCCACTCGATGTCGTGTATGTAAATTGCATCATAACAGCAGTATTTCTTGTCCTCAAGTAATCAACGTAATAGGCAGGATCACGACCGAGCACGACTCAGCATCTCAGATCATCCTCTCCAAGTTCACTACTACATTCCTGGGTCTGGATCTTTTTTCTTTCTCATTCACTCAATCAAGATTGTGCTTAGATTTCAGACACTGTGATTCGCGCTGGGTGAAGTGATTTATTCTTAGGCGCGGCCGACTGAGCTTCACCTCTCCGCTCCCTAACCACCAGGTGCAACCTTCTACAACTCGATCCTCTCGTATCGGTGTTTTTCTGTGACTTCTTCTCCAACACCGAATACTCTAGCCTTACTCAATTCTACACACAAGAAGATCAACAGCTACACAACACTAAAGCTCTGGTGTCGCATTCGCCCCTCGGTGTTCATCACCTAAGCTTTTCGGCTTTTCCACCATGCCGGGCGAGAGACGGAACCTCAGGTCCACCAAAGACACTTCATCATCTACAAACGGCGAGGAACCACGATCAAATTCCCAAAGCTCCAGCTCCAACAAGGATCAGCCAGTGCCCACCACCAGAGCAACGTCATCAAAAGGCAAGACCTTACCTACGAAGAAGGCTTCGGGAAAGGAGGGAGCTGAGGACAAGCCACATACAAATGGGACGGAGCCGGTGGAGAATGGCATCAACGGGACTGAAGATGTTGATATGGTAGATGACGGGTCCGAAAAGGTCAAAGTAGGGACAAATAAAGAGGGCGAGGACGAGATGACCTTGGTTGTGCCACCGCCGAAGAGCTCAAAGCTGTCAGGAGAGCCTAACAAAGATGAAGAGGGTGATGTTGCAATGGAGAACACCAATAAGAGCGATAACATTAGCTCTGAGCTCGATCCTAGAGCTAAAGCTGTTGCAGGTAAGTGTTAAAGTGCAATTATATCGGTTCTTGTCACATTGTGTGCAAGATCATGATGATAAGCTAACCAGATTATTCCAGACGTCAAAGCAAACTTCGCATTGTTAGAACGCGCTGTTGCGCAGTTCGATGCCCGTTTCACTTTACGAGTCCTTCGGTCTATCTCATCTATTCGGAAACACCTGGCGCCAGATCTTCTCGCCCAAGTCATTACAGAAACTTACACCTCAACAAGCTCTGTTGCAAAGACCCTTTTGGCTGCTTTAGGAAAAGAAGATGCGTCGTTCGAGGGCCCAGATGCACTTTCAGAAATGGACATCGACACACAGACAAAGGACAAGCCCCAAACCACAAGCAAGTCAACCACTCTCCCGAAAGACGTCCTCCCAGAGGTGGACACTTATCTATCAATCCTTGTCCAAATTCATCTCTATGATACTAAAGCGACCGAATTCGGGGCCAAATTCTCCAGCAACCTCGTGGAGAGACTTCGCTCCCTGAACCGTCGTACTCTAGATGCCTTGTCTTCCCGGGTTTACTATTACTACTCTCTCTTCTTTGAGCAGCTTGCCCCACTACCTCCTTCGCCTATGGCATCCGCTGTGTCCATCCGCCCCCATTTGCTGGCCGCACTTCGAACCTCGGTTTTACGGAAGGACCAAGACACCCGCGCTACCGTTACTACCCTTTTACTACGAAATTACCTATCAACATCTCACATTACTCAAGCCGATCTGCTAATATCGCACTCTGAATTTCCTGCAGCTGCCTCGAACAACCAAATCGCTCGATACCTCTACTATCTTGGCCGGATACGGGCAATTCAACTGTCATACACCGAGGCCCATGAGCATTTAGTTGGCGCTACTCGCAAGTCACCCGCAACACCAAGTGCAGGTGGCTTCTACCAGGCGGCTTCAAAGTTGTTGGTCGTAGTTGAGCTCCTTATGGGAGACATTCCAGACCGAGCCATATTCCGCCAACCGAGTCTCGAGCATGCCATGGAGCCTTACTTGAGCCTTGTCCAGGCCGTACGTGTTGGCAAGATTGAAGGATTTCTCAACGTTGTCCAGACACATAATGCTTTGTTCAGACGCGACGGTACCTATACTCTGATCCTTCGTTTGCGCCAAAATGTCATCAAAACTGGAATCCGTATGATGTCTCTGTCGTACGCCAAGATCTCATTGCGGGACATCTGCTTGAAGCTAGACCTGGAGAGCGAGCAATCGGCAGAGTATATTGTGGCCAAAGCAATCCGAGATGGGGTCATTGAGGCTTCCATCGACCATGAGCATGGTTTCATGAAAAGCAAGGAGCTTGGCGATGTCTATGCTACCCGTGAGCCTGGCGAAGCCTTCCACGACAGAATTAGAGCGTGCCTCGGTCTGCATGATGAAAGCGTAAAGGTAGGTTGAACTCGCACGTGTGCCGTGTCTGAGTGAACAGCTGACATGAATCCAGGCAATGCGGTATCCTATGAACCAACATCGACTGGAGTTGAAGAACGCTCAAGAAGCTCGTGAGCGCGAGAGAGAGTTAGCAAAGGACATTGTCGAAGGCGAGATGGATGACGATGACGCCAGTGGAGACTTCGAAGGAATGTGAAGACTCGAAAGTCAGGACAACTGTCCATCACCAGACACTGATCATTTGCATTGGAAGATTTGCGAGAGCTTAGGCGGTTCACCCCTGTGTTACTACCTATCTGAGGTCTTCGAGGTATCACCCTTTTAGCAGCATTTGGCGCCAGCGAGTTTAAGTACTCGCATGGGCTTTAATCACCCCTTGTGTACTTCACATACCCATGCTCTGGTGGCACTACCACGGCGCACCACCGCAGCATACAAATAGAAGTCTCAATAGCATTTTTTAAACCCTGTTTCTCTCACAGAAAGTTCATTCATTCTTGTAGCCACGGTTCGAATGCCTACTTTCATCTTAGTAGTGGACTTCGAGGTAGCAAAGTCCTTCTGCCAAACAACACCTTTACATTGCCGTCCGGTAGTTTTACCTGAGCCATGCTCATTTACAAGGATAGCTTTTCCCGCGAAATGCAGGTGTCGTAGCTACCATGTGAGTCCGTCATTCCAAACATACTCACCAGCTCGATCCTAACAAACCGGAGGGTTGACGTCTCCATCCGCATCCGCCGAGCCATCCACCTCGAAGACCTCACCCTTCTTCAACGCATCATCAAGAACAATCCCGAGAGCCTGCAGAACCCGGATTTCGCAGACAATGGCAACACCTCGCTCCACCTAGCTGCGCAACTGGGACTATTGGATATAGCCGTGAGCAAGCCAAACCGTCTCGCGCGTCTTTGCTTGAGCGGTGGTAGGAGCAAATTCCCTAATGATGGGGCCAGGAGTTCCTCATAGACGCCGGTCACGAAGACGACGGTATCAGCAAGAATGCCAACTGGGACACCCCGCTCTTGCTCGCGGTGGAAACATCGGAGGCCGTAGCCACGCTCCTAGCGATGAGGTTTCCGCGCTGTGTCCCGTGGAAGAACAAGCAGGGCGCTGACTCTGTATGGCCCCTTCCCCGTCCCCCGTCCCCCACATCCTATCTTCCTCTGCGCTATCGCCCTCTTCTCGGACCCCCGCTGACACCAGGCTCTCTGCCTGCAGCTGATGCTCACCTCCCGCACCCCGCACACCGCCCTGCTGACCCACCTCCTCACGCTTTCCCCCTCCCCGACCTCCCCCCTTGCCTCCACGGACACGTCGGGCAACACACCCCTGCACTACGCCTCCGCGTACGGGCAGCTCAAATCCATCCGCACGCTCCTCGAACACGGCGCCGATGCCGCGGCGCGTAATGCTTGGAGTTGGACGCCTGTCAGTTACAGCGCGAGTGTGCAGGCGGAGGTGTATTTTAAGGGGTTGGTGAATGCGGCGGAGAGGGAGAGGGAGGGGATGGCCACGGTTACTGGAGCGAGGAGCAGGGGTGGCAGTGGGCCGAAGATGGTGAGGATGGTTAGTGCGGAGGAGGGAGAGGAGTTTGAGAGAATGAGAAGGAGTGGCGAGAGTGGAAGGGTAAGAGCTGGTAGTGGCGGCTGAATAGATAGAAAGCTGGTGAAAGCTTTTATCCAGAAGCGACAATGCTAGGGTATATTCTATGGTCTCTATATGAGTAGCGGATACAACACCGAAGTATATTTACAATGAAGCCCAGAGATGGCTGCTGTGAAGATGCGTTTATGTGTACACCCCTTGGAAAGCTCCGGCATCATTTCCTTCTCTTCATCGTCTTCACGCACATCTCTAGCAGCCCTTCCTTGGCCTCCGAGTCCGGGAATCTGGAGATAGCATAAGCAGCTTTATCGGCATAATCCTGCGCCAATGCCCGGGTCTGTTCCAGACCGTCACTGCGCGCTACCAGGTCCCTCGCCATTTGCACGTCTCCGTCTACAGCGAACTTTCGTCCAACGAGGACGCCTAGCTGCTGGTTGTCTCTCCAGGCGAAAAGCAAAGGCGCGGTTGCTAAACCGAGCTCCAGATCTGCCCCGGCGGGTTTTCCGAGAGATTCGCTGGTGGTCGTGTAGTCGAGCATGTCGTCGACGAGCTGGAAGGCTAAACCCAGGTTCTTGCCATACGAGTAGGCTGCTTCTACCGTTTCTGGGGAGTTCTGGCCGAGCAATGCAGCTGCTCGACAGGATTTGCTAATTAGACTTGCCGATTTGAGGTAAGTCTTTTGGATGTAGTACGAAAGGGTGTCCTCTGTCCACGTGGGGTTTGTTTCATCCAAAGCAGTATTTTTCAATTGCATGAATTCCCCTTCAACGAGGTTCGCTATCACGGTGGCCAAGAGTTCAATCACCTCCGCGTCCCTGAGTCTCGCTAACGCCACTGAAGCTCTCCCTAGAAGAAAGTCCCCTGCTAGGACCGCCATCTTGTTCCCAAAGGACACATTCGCCGAGGGCAAAGATCTCCGGACGATAGAATTGTCAATCACGTCATCGTGGAGCAATGAAGCAGTGTGTATAAGCTCCGTTATCTCTGCTAGCCGTCTCTGTGAGGGAAGTATATCGGAGCCTTCTGAATTATACGCGGCCTCGATTGAGGCAGCAGAGAGCGGATCATTAGACGGAGAGGACGGATTGACATCTGAAAGGACCGCAGGAGGTGAGATTGGGCTATCAATCGTAGATGCCGTAGGTATAGAGGGGTGCCGTGATGCTCTGGGTGTGAAAGCAGTCGCTTGGGACATTAGGAGAACGAGCAAAGGTCGTATATGTTTCCCTTCGGAGTGAGTGTAGTATTTCGCCACTGTATCTAGCATTGGATGCCCGGATCCCAGCAACTGCTGTATGTTTTTTGTGAGGAACTTCAGCTCTTTCCCTACAATCCGGAGAGGATCCACCGAAACTCCTGCAAGCCGGGGATCTGTCTTGGGAGTTCCATTGAGCACGTGTTGGGCAGCTGACACCGCCTGCGCCAATGTTGATTGATGTCGTCGACGCGCTGGGGGGTATTGTGTCGTCGAACACAGACTTCTCGTCAAGTCACCGCTTTTGCGGAGACATCCAGAGCATATGTATGGTCTCCATTGCGGTGTACTTCTCTGACTTTTGAAGAGAGACTGCAAGCGACCTTTCATGCTCAACAACGAGGCCAAATCAACCCATATAGAAGAGGGATTAACCGTTGGGAGCTCAACTTCTATTTGGAAACTATGACAAGATGTAAATTTGGGATAGCGGCACACCGATACTTTATAATACGCTCGAAATTTTTTTTATTAAAATATATTTCAATATTTATTATTTTTTAAAATAAAATAAAAAAATTTTTTTAGTTGTTTTTGTTTTAATTTAAGTATTAATTTATAGTTTTTATTTTTTTTATGTGTTGTTTTAATAATTTAATTTTTGTTTTTTTATGTAAATGGGACAGCGGCCCGACTTTCGCCGAGAGTCCGATTTTGGCGGAAGAATCTCCACGACCATTCACCAAATTTACCTAGATTGTTGCTCATCAACGGAAATATCATCTATTACAGTAACGATGCATAATGGTCCGCCTGACTATAACGCCCGCTATCCTACGGGCGCTCGAAGAGCTCCAAGATAGAGGCCAGATTCCAGAGGCTCTTGGCGGAGCCTCTGAGCCCTCGCTTGACCAGCCTGCTACAGGCAATCCTATCACCCATGGACAAATCATCGCAGTTTCGAAGACCTTGAAGGAAATCAAGACAGATGCAACCAATGAAAAATTCGATACCCAGGTCTCATACCATCTGGATGACCTCTTGCGAGGGTCCAAAGTCTACGTCGAACCGCCAAAGCCTAAAGCTGAGCCTGTAAATTGTACCTATCTCCAACTCCACTATGCAGTCTCACTGATTCGCAATAGAGCTCAGAGTACAAAGCCTTAATGGCCCGTCTTCGAAGAGAAGAGGAGGATCGAGCCTACGAGCGCATGGTCAACCCTCCTCTGCGTACAGAAACTTTCTCACAACGCTTTCCCAACTCTTCCCACGCAGCGCTCTTCCCCACATCGCAGGCGGACATTGGCGAGGACGATGAAGTCTCCTATGCAGACATCAATCGACAGATGACGCTGATCATCAACATACTGATCTCCATCGTTGCGTGTAGTGTCGCTATCTGGCTAGCTGCGCGCCATTGGAGTACGCCCACCAGGCTTGGCTTGAGCATGGGCGGCAGCGGGATGATTGGTATTGCGGAAGTCGTGGTGTATGCGGGATATCTGCGGCGGATCAAGGAGGCTCGTGAGAACGGGAAGAAGGATGTAGAAGTCAAAGAAATAATTAATACTTGGATCATTGGTGGGGGAGATGAAAAGGCTGATCGTGACGAATCTATTTTGCTTGGTTCAGAGGCGTCAAAAAACGACGAATTACGAAGGAGAAAGGCTACTCCCAAATAGTACCCAAAATGAAAGGCTAGATCTAATTGATCTCGTTCGCGCCAGTTTCGGAGCAGATATGTTTACTGCCAATTGGCTTGGGCTTCAGCGATGTATTCCACAGGAGCACGATATGGATAAGGCCAAGCAGTTGAGTCTTGCAGGAATTAAAGTAATTCGATATACGATTTTGGCTGTAAGCCTCGGGTACGTTTAAGGCTAAAAATCATCATGATACACGCATAGAGCCGATTATTCAGGAACACTTCACCGCAGGCACAAGGTCTCTTCCGCCTCTGCTCCTAGCACAATCCGCACCTGCTGTGAGCGCCTTGTTTTTATTCAATTCCCATTCCTCACACGACACATCCATCTCCACCTCCCCATCCTCTGCCGCGCTCGGAATTCTTTCACTCTGCAATCGCTTCATACTAACGCTCTTGTTGCCCCTGACAAGGTACGCAATACTGTGCCTTGGGGAATCAGCCTGCGCACCTGGGGCGTAGGTAACTCGGTGCATATTGCTCCGCAGGATCCCACCGGACCACTCAACAAGCGCATCGCCAATATTGATGATGGCGCAATTGGGTGCCGGCCGAATGTATCGCCAGGCGGCTTCGTCCGTGGGGTCACTGCCTGGCGTCAAGATTTGTAGCCCGCCCACTATGCTGCAGAGGAAGGTGATGGCGCCCAAGTCTGTATGCCGGAGTAGCGAGGTGCGGCGGTTTGAGAGAGGTTGAGGGGGGTAGCGGATCATGCGCACCAAGGTACCGGAGCTGCGCTCTTGACTTACTAAGGATGCCAGAGTCCCACGCTGTAGTCCTAACCCTGCGTCGAGAATGGACAGGATTTGGGTGAGGATGCTATGGGCATGGCGTAGGAAACATTCGATGGTCGAGCGGTGGGATTCGATGGCGTCAGGATGCGGGAGACTAGACATGTTGCCGATGATGTCGTCCTGGGCAAGTGCGTAGAACTCGCAGCGGTCGGGTGCGCCGGTGTCCGTCTTCATTATGCCAATATCCTTCCACCTAGACAGCTATTAGTAATTCGGTCTCAACCGAGGACCTCTGCAGTTTGCCTCTCTATGCCAAGGGAGGATTCTGGATTCAATAGAGTCGAGGTCACGCACCCGGTGAATTTCCCTTTGGAAGCATCCTGTGCATATCTAGTTTTCTCCTCAATCTCAAGGTCGAAAACGTTGTTGCTCATATCGAACATCGCATCAACTTCACTTATCATGTTGTCGCCGATCTCTTCACCGCCCATTTCGAGAAGGAAGAATCCTGTTGTGCGGCATGTTTCGAATACTTCATGGGCGTATACAGAATCGCCAGAGAATAGTCTTGAAAGGGAGAACTTGGGTACGTCTGCGGTGGAAACATCTTTTGGAAAGGGGGGTAGAGCGTCGAACAATCTTTGGGAGACCATGATGACAAAGGCACCCAACTGATGGTTTTTTTGGACTTTGGACTGTGAAGGCCCGGAAAAGAGGGGGTGAGAAATAGGCCATCTAATATAATGGCAGCACACAGAATGAAAGGGCTCCGAATTGGGGCGGAATATTTCCTTTCGTATGCATGAGACCTTTGAACGGGTGATAGCACGAGGGCCAATTGGAAGGCAAGGTTGCGCTATGTCCGCTTACCACCGAGATCATGTGCATAACCCATACGTACCACTGGGAAGCCGGCCTTCACATTGGCTTAAAGAAGCATCCAGCGTTCGAAATGCAACATACACCGCTGGAAACATGCCATGTGTTCACACTCAGTCATGCACATCAATCCGGCTCTCCACACCCGCGAATATTCTTGACCCACACCTCATCAACATATCATCTCACAGGATATGACGCAAGCTTCTGAAATACAGGCTCGGAGACAGTCAAATAAGAAACTGAACGGTATGCCTGACGAAACGAGAAGGATTCACAGGTCTAGTATGAGCCTGGACACGCCCAACAATAAAGCCCGAGATGCTTTCGTTGGCGCAGGGCTTCGTGTAGCTGAAATCATTAAAGACAGAGAGCAGTAAACCTCAACAGCTTCTGTGCAGAGAATTCACGGCCCGAGACCTGGCCTTCCTTCAAGGCGTCACTCGCTCCTGCAGATGAATTCAATTCGACAGGCCTGCAGCCACGGCTTCCAAACTTCCTTGTAAGCTGTTGAAGAAGCATGATATGGCGCCATTCGATGCAATCGACCAACCTTGTAGCTTTCTGAATGCTGCTCAAAACACACGCTGCTATTTAAGCCTGATAGCCAGAATGTATGGCCGAGATGATCAGTGCACTTACAGCCCAAAGGTGAAATACCCCCGCAACAGAAATAATCGGAGTTTCAGTCCTACATGGACATCTTTTAGTCGTGCAAAGAGGGCCAAGATGCTAGCAATGAGACCCCACTTCCACTTACAAGCACTCCATGGTCACGTCGGCGTTCACCGGAGAAGAGAATATCGCTAACAGAAGGTAAGACTTTGCTCGTCTTTTTGACATACCACTGCTCGTAACGATGGGTGGCCTCGGAATGTCATTCGTACGGATGGAAGACTACCATGATCGATGGCATCGACCATGGGCTGGACAGGACGAAGGGTGAAAAGCTCGGATATTCTACCTAGCAATCACACGACCGTTCAGCTACTTGGCCACTCCAAAACCCCTGAGCCATGGTGGGGGCGTTCACGGTTCTGACGTCTCATGGCAAACCATCGAGTAACAATTACTCGATGAGATAAGCTAGCGGCACCCACGGGCAGAATAACGTCGAAACTCAATCGACGCAGGTCCAAACAAGCTGTGTTCTTCGGCAGGTGTCCTGGGTAAACACTGTCCTTATAGAATGCATTCCTGGAGGCTGACGGGTCAAATCTATCGAATATTTTCTACGAGTACCTATCTTAAAGTAGGGTAGTGGGGTGCTGGACACCCTAAAGTAAAAGTAAAGTGCCATCGCGCACGGATCTCGCTTAGCGGCTAGTTATCAAGCGCCGCATTCCGATATCCCTGTAGTCAGTAGTGTATGTTTTGCAGCGAGGGACAAAGAAGCTTCCGGTCACGGCTCCGAAGTCATTACTCGATAATATCGCTGCGATAAGCCAAACAGATCCAACGATCGAGTAACGGAAACTTCAATATGTCTAGTCTCACCCTTATAAACCCAACAGGGTCTCTGGGATCCGTCTCTCCCGGGGCAGATCGGAGACTCCCACAGGGAGCGGTGGAGTTGCATGAAACGATAAGAAGGGTCGAGGTACCCCATAAAGAGCAATTGTCGTTCCTGCATATTCACTCCAATACCTTTGTGCACCTGAGGTACTGCTGCTCTCTCCATGCTTACTCAGATTCATGCATGAATCTTTTCCCGCTGTTCATTCTACAACATTATCTAGTTGATAAGCTTTGTCCTCCTCTCCACCATTTCATGTTACACTGAAAGGACAACCAGACTGTCTGTACCTCCAAGTCTAAGATAGATTGAGGCACTACGGCCCTCGTCGAAGGAACCATAAGCTCTCTCTTGGCTACATATCATACCGCAATCATGTCAACAGCACAGCATCCTCCAATAACTGTCCTCACCTCCTCTCGAGCCATTGTGTCAGGCGAAATGACTGCTGCCACAATAGTTGTCTCTCTCAGCACTGGCAAAATTACCTCAGTCTTCCACTCGGTACTTCCACCTTCAAGCTTCCCTGCTGAAACACCTTACACCGACTATTCTCCCCATGTTCTGCTGCCCGGACTCGTCGACGCGCATGTTCATCTCAACGAGCCTGGACGGACAGAATGGGAGGGATTCTGGACAGGCACTCAGGCCGCTGCATCTGGAGGAGTCACCACGGTCATCGATATGCCGTTGAACGCCATACCACCGACAACAACTGTACACGGGCTGAGAGAGAAAGTGAAAGCTGCCGAAGGACAATGCTGGGTCGATGTCGGCTTCTATGGCGGCATCATCCCAGGCAACGTTCAAGAGTTGAAACCTCTGATCCAGTACGGTGTGAGAGGTTTCAAGGGTTTCCTGATCGATAGCGGAGTTGAAGAATTCCCAGCTGTCTCGTCGACTGATATTGCCGAAGCCATGGCAGAATTGGCAGACGAGCCCACAACGTTGATGTTCCATGCCGAGATGATTCCTCCAATCGCAGATTCGGTGGGCGACAACGTTCAATGGTCATTACCACCACTGGCACCAATCGGTCCTCTGAATGAATACAAGACGTTCCTTGCCTCGCGCCCAACCTCATTCGAAACTTACGCCATTTCCGAAATTCTCTCTCTTGCACTTCTTGCCCCAAACCTCCCTCTCCACATTGTCCATCTCTCGGCTATCGAAGCCATCCCGCTGCTCCGCGAAGCCCGAACAGCCGGTATCAAAATCACAGCAGAAACATGCTTCCATTACCTGACTCTAGCATCGGAGAAGATACAGGACGGTGACACAAGACACAAATGCTGTCCACCCATACGCACGCAATCAAACCAAGATGGGCTATGGGATGAACTCCTTTGGGAAGACGACGGTGTAATCAAGACCATAGTATCAGACCACTCACCATGCACACCTGAGCTCAAGCTCCTTCCACCTTCCATTGCTGGCAATCAGCTACCGACACCACCCTCGGAAGATGACAAAGAAATGGGCAATTTTTTCTCGGCATGGGGCGGCGTCTCGTCCGTTGGTCTTGGGCTCCCCCTCCTTTGGACTTCTGCCTATCAGAACAATCGCAAGATCGCACCAGAGGACATAGCACGCTGGTGCTGCGCCAACACAGCTTTGCAAGTAGGGCTCGAGAAGAGCAAGGGGCAACTGGCTGTGGGATTCGATGGCGACGTTTGTGTTTTTGATGATGAAGCGGAATGGGTCGTTGGTGAGGGTGGCGAGGGCATGTTGTGGCGGAATAAGGTGAGTGCGTACGCTGGGAAGAACATGAAAGGGTGTGTAAAGGAGACATGGGTAAGAGGGCGGAAAGTATATGAAAGAGGAAGAGGGTTCGTGGAGAGGAAGCCCGGAGGTAAGCTGTTGTTGGAGAAAAGGGTCAAAGCTTAGGCGTCGGCGAGTCACAGATGGTTCAAGACTCTGGCTTAACAAACCAAATCTCCAGGAAGCTTGAGGAGCGCTGCATTTGGACCTTAGGAGCGGCAAAAGCGTGAATATTTGATCTTCGAGCGATTTCGATCCCACATCTTCGGGGTTTTGTCTCTTCATCTGGGTACAAGTAGTGCCGGCATTTACAAAAGAGCATTGTCATGTGAGATTTTTTAAGCTATGTCTTCTGCTGTTCTTCCAACTCTGCAATAATGGAGGTAGCATATAATGCTAGATGCTCTCGGACAAATTGGGAAAGAAGTACCTTTTGGTGATACCACGGGTCAAAAGTTCCCATGCCTTTGAGCGACTATGACGACAAGTCTCAATAGCGAATGACCTCTTCCTGCTATCTGCTGACGCTCAAAAAGACCAGATGCTAGACCATGCTGCAGTCAGCGACATAATATCCGAATCATTCCGTGCAAAGCGGCCCACACATCTATCCTATCATAGGAGGGTTCAGGCCGCGGTCATTGGTCCTTGCAAAATCTATGCAACCAGCTCTCTGGCCCCCGAAATGGTTCTTTGCTTGGTAACCTGCGTAGCGATCGTTTTCCGGCCTCAGGTGACCTGGACAGAAGTTTAGCCGATGACGCTTGGTGAGGTAGTCTTAAGTCCATCCGGTGACTTACCTGGGAACAAGCCTGATGCTGTTGCCGAACGGTCTTCAAGTATCGATTGAGATCCACCTTTGCTGCGCGCTCCTGTGCCGAAAGGCTTGTCTGACGGCAGATATCTCGGAGAGGACAATGCACGGTCGCTGACTCCTTTCCTAAGAAAACCGCACATTCAACTGTCTCTGGCAGTCTGGCCAATGCTGTTAGACAGTCACGCTTCTCTTCCCAGTCTCCATGCTCAATCGGATCATGCCATAATAGCTTCAGTGTCCGCAGGTTTGGCGCCCGGAGTAATGTTTCGCAGATGAAATTTAACAACTTGCAGTTGACCTCGAGACGAATACGGTCCTCTGATGTCCAGACAGATGTCTTATTGACAGTATGGAACATAACACCCACGGAGATATTCTGAATGAATCGAAATTCTGGTTGACTGCGAAATGCTCGCAAAGATGCATAACTAGCAGTCTCTGGATCTATTCTGGCTTTCAAAGAATTGAAACTGATGTGCCATGTGGTATCTCTATAGAGAATATCCCGCGCTTCGAAATAGACTTGACGACTGACAGTCAGAATCTTAGTGTGACATTTCCTCAGGCAGTAAACATTGCAATTCTTGTCGTCTTGGACAAGATGGTATATAGGTAATAAAGTGTTGTGTTCGGCAAGGTTGGAGGTGAAATAGTGACAGTAGATTTCTCGTCGTAATTCGAGGGGTAGCGAAAGTAGGCAGGATTGGCCTGTCTCTTCATGGTATGTTTGTACAGTCGATGACATTCCGTGTCGAATTTTGGCAGGAGAGTCTTTGGTGATCAAGGCACTCACGGAACAGTGCCCTGTAACATAAGGCTCAGCTCCTGGCTGAGAGCGTTCCGTACCCATGGTGTATTTGCACAATCCGTATGTCTTTAAGAGACTTGCGTGTCACCGCCGTGTCTACTTATATTTACAGCCGAGGAGCGGCCTTTTCTTTATCCCCGCCCGAAGTTCAGCCAGTAGGGTCTCGCTAAGCCTCCAATCAACACCCCCTGACCCCCTCGTTCTCATGCTCAGTTTTCAATTGAAAATCTCTTCACTTTAACTACCCGGATCATCAACACTACGACTCTCCAACACAGTAAACATCGAAAGTGGAAATGGTCAGTTTAAGAGCTTCTCGATCGCGCGTTGACATGGGTCAGCAGTCATCTCAGCCTCAATTTCCACCGGCAGAAGCGTCTGCTATGAAGGACCAAAGGAAGAGCAAGGGCAAGAGGGGCAAGTCAAGGAAGGGCAAAAGAAAGAGCGCTGAGATGGAAAGAACCATTGATCAAGAGGAAGAAAGCGCACTTGCTTTGATGCATATGAGGGAGGCTCCGATTCATGATAGAATGGGCCCGTACTACGATGACAAGCAAGCAGCTTCAGCGCAGCTCATGGCCGAAAGTTCCCCATTTCGCCCTTCTACAGATCCCTACCTTGATGATGCAGAGCCTGTACGGAAATCCAAGAGTCGCGAGACAAACAATAAGCGGCGCATAAAGAAGCGAGGTCGGACTGATGTCTTCGAAGTTGCTGGCAATGAGGAGCGCTTCAAAGAAGCGGAGCAGTACCCGGACCTCCTATCCACCCCCCCAAGGCAGATTGACCGCTCCTTACCATCACCATATCGTCCGAACATCCCTCCGGCGAATGTCCTTGATGAAGTTCCTACTGACGACGATGATGTCGCTGCATATGAGGAATACGCAAAGGACACCGCAAGTGCTGATCCGCCTGGTATCCCAGACCTTGATATGTTCAGCTTCTCGCAACAGCCACCGAACGCTTTTGACCAAGACAAGGTTGGAGAAGGCATGCATGCAACCTGTCACCTACCTACAAGTATGTATGCCTTGCCTCAGACCGCTGAGAAGCAAAAAAAAAAGAAGCGCAAGAGGCGCACGGACGATGAGGAAGATAACCAGCAAATTTTTGCGCAAGGACAAGGTCAGCATATCCCACATTTTGATTTCGAAGTATTCAATGGCTTTCTCGAAATTGGAAATGAGCTCCGCTAATCTGTTGCACGAACATGAAGGCGATAACATGCCCATTGATCCTCAATTACACAGCATAAATGTTCATCCACCTTCGGCCGACTTGAGCAATTCTAACGACGAAGATCTCAACAACTCGCAGAAGAATGGGGGAGATTCTGGCAAGCATGACTCTTCGCGATCACGCAAACGTAGACGACTGGAAGAGCTGCAAGGCGCTAACACTACCGATCTACCGTACATGAGTCCTTATGCATTCCAACAAGACCAAGTAGACAGTCAAGACCAGATCCTGCCTGGATTTGAAGATATGCAAAGACAATTATCGCCTGTGCTCGGCTCCCCTTTCCCGGATAGTGCTGCTGACGGAGATCCTGATTACTCAGACGATGGAGTGCAAGCCAAGAAGAGCGCTCATCGCAAGAAAAAGGGCGAAACGAAAAGAGCTAGACTCAAGAAGGAGCGTGAAGGTAGCCGAAAAGGCGATGAGGTTGAGCGCCCAGTGAAAGACAAAGCGGAGAACGGTGGCGCGTTTTCAGCTGCGGAGGGCTTAAAGTTGGATGCCTTTCGTGACAATCATTGCGAAGCCAACGACATGACCACTTGGCAATTCAATAACTTGATTCAAACTCCAATGCGAGGGAATGCTCAAGTCACAGCGCTCTTCAACGAGATCCATGACATCCTGGCCTATCGTCCCCGGATGTCCGTTCAGAAATTCTGTAGACGTCGATTCCATAACTTCTCACGCGGGGCGTGGAATGCAGAAGATGATGAGATGCTAAAGCAAGCGGTTGCAGAGAAAGGTAAAGCATGGAAGGTGGTTGGCGATTCGTTGGGCCGCATGCCCGAAGACTGCCGGGATCGATGGCGAAACTACCTCGTCAACTCGGAACACCGCAACCGAGAGCAATGGACAGATGCGGAAGTTGTGAACCTGTGCACAGCAATACTTGAATGTATGCAGCTTATGAGAGAGGACCGGATGCGCGCCAGAAAGGGGGTGGGAGATGGGCCTGAGTCTGGGACCGAATCGGATCAAGAGGTTGAAGACATGAAACACATCAATTGGCAGTCTGTCAGCGATCGTATGGGCGAACATGGTGGGGGAAGATCAAGGTTACAATGCAGCTTCAAGTGGGGTCAGCTGAAGAAGCGGGAGCAAGCAGACTACCTGAAAGCCATCAAGGAATCACGAGAGATCGAAAAGAAGAAGTCTACACCAGGAAAGAATCCTTGGAGGATGATATTGGCTTCCAAGAAGGTTGTCAACATGAAGCTTGGAGATATACATGCTTTCCTGCAGGCAGTTTTGGATAGTGATGTTCCTGAAGAGGGAAACATTCCATGGAAATCCCTTGGAGATGACGAGTTCCGAGCCACATGGACTTCCACTGATAAGAAAGCTGCGTGGTCAAGACTCAAGGAGCAAGTACCGGGATCTGAATCAATGGATTACCGCAGCGTAGCGAACGAAATGCTTTCCCGGGTAATGAACGGAGGCGCGGCTGCACTCAATGAGAGATGGGACCCTCAATTGCATGGAGATGTGAGCGTGAAGGCTAGGAAGAAGAGGAAAACTAGCAAGAAAAAGGACAAGGGAAAGGGGAGGGAAGAGATTGAGCCAACGAATCGCTATCTGCAGAGGAGCAACGAATTCGTTTACAACAGCGATGACGTGGACGGAGATGCTGGAGAGCGGACAGGGCTGGGTGGTTTCGAGCCGCAGGGCTATAATCGTTACAACGGCCTACCGATGGCTGAATGTGAGGATAGCGGGTTGAATTCGAGTGATAGGGCTGGGTGGATTACTGCTAACGACAAGGACGATATTTTCAACGATCGAAGGAACGTAGATGGGAATCTACCCATGGCAGATGGAGACGTGAGCCCAGAACTCGCAGGCCGAGTGCAAATGCTCAACGCCTACGCCTAAGGTTATTTTCAAAAGTGGAGGAACAGCTTCGTTAAGTCTGTCTGATGGTTATGGAGGCCATTGCTCAGTGAACATGCTCGAATACGTATCCCGTCAGCTTGAATATCAGAAAAGAAGCTCAACAGCAGAAACAGATTCTAGTTCAGGATCAGTTGGAATGCTTTCACAGGGCAAGAATCAGATATTTCTGAGCGATCTAAAACATCTCGCAAAGCCTTCATAGAGCCATCGTTTCCCGCCGACCATCCACGCATGAGCCCCTCGCGAGCACGTAACAATATCATACCCGTAGTGGGTATCCCTGAAGCCCGCCCGCCCGCCCACGCCGTCCGCGAGCCCTCGTCCATCACGCACGCCTCAATTCGAAAACTTGGCGGGCATCTTCTTCCTATCGCGCCACGCACACACCGAGGATCAGCACGGCAACGACGACGACGACGACGACCGCCGTCCTCCGCGCGGACGACCGAGTCCCCGGCGGGGGAACACGAACTCACCCGGTGACCTTCTCCACCATCTTCCGGACGAAGTCGGTGATCTTCTCGTTCATGGCGCGGTTCCGGTTCGGGTCCGCGAAGCGCTCCCCGCCGAACTTCTTCTCCGCGGCGTCGAGGCCCTTGTCCAGGTAGTCGCGGTCGTCGGCGACGCCGGCACCGCCGGTGCTGGGTGCGGGTGCGGGTGCGGATGCGGGATCCATGGTGGGTGAGGGGGGAGGATTAGGGTCGATGGGATGGAGGCTGTTGATTGTCTGGGAGTTTTGGGTGGGGTGCCGGCAATGTTTGAGGGAGCGAGGGAGGTGGGTGGTTCGAGTTCAGGTTCTGCGGGAAAGGTCGGCGGGTTGCGGTCATTAGTAGTGGGTTTTTATCTGATCGTGTGACCGGAATGAGAAGCAGTGGTGGTGGGGTTTTCGCTCTGATAACGATTTTGGGTTTAGATTAACTTTCTACTAGACTCAAGCGAACACCTTTCGAGCATTCTCATGGCTATATTCCCGCGTGGGCTGTGAATCCCACTCCTTTCAACAGATCATCGGAACAAGTTTTTACAAGCAAAAGATTGCCCGATTGATGACTGGTAATTGGAATAATCCCAATCCATATCGCAGGGTAGAAGACTATGGTAGGATAGGAGAATACGGCAGAATAAGAAAATATTGTAAGATAGGAGAGTATGGTACAGTAAGGTACATTGTTATCCCAGGGTAAAAGAGTAAGGTGGGGTTCAGGATAGATCTCACCTAGGTCACTTGAGCGGCTACGCGTGCGAAGCCAGATGACGCTTTCCTACATATTGGAAGCTTGCCCATACTTGACTTCTACACGACCATTGGTTTTCTGTGAAAGAATCGAAAAGATAACGAAAAGTCAGTGTCAATAAAGAGTCAATAGAGAGCTAATAGTTAGCGACGACGCCTTGGCCTGTCTAACTCAAATAGTACCTAAAGTAAAGTATGATCACGTGGATCGGACGTCTTTCCGCCGCGCTTCGGGCCGGCTTTCGACCGGCGATTATCGCGCTACGCTCAATCCTCTCAACAGCGTCGCCCAGGGCCTCAGCTTTTCATCAAAGCCAGCGTCTCACCGTCGCCCAAGCCCGCGCCGCACCTCCCACAATGTCCACCACCGAGCTGAGCACCACGCTCACTCAGCTCCAATCCTCACCCCCCCCTTCGTCACAGAAGATCGCCTCCCTCCTCTCGACCGCCAAACGACAACTCCTCCACCTCGACGCCCTCCTGCCCGCCCCGAGCACATCGCCACACCTCCTGCACCTCGCCCGCACGACGCTCGAAACCGGCGCGCTGTTCTCCATCCGCCTCCAAGATCCCGACGCCTTCACGCGCTACTTCCAGCAGCTCCTCCCCTTCTACGAGCTCCCGCCCTCGAGCTTCAAGCCCGCCGGGGACGGCCAGCGCAGCAAAGTGACGGGCCTGTACCTCCTGCTCCTGCTGACCAAGGGGGACTACGCCGGCTTCCACACGGTGCTGGAGGGGCTGGAGGTGGAGATGGGCGGGAGGGCGGGTGCGGGACTCGAGGAGGACAGGTTCATCGGGTATCCGGTCAAGTTGGAACGGTGGCTGATGGAGGGGAGCTACGATCGCGTGTGGGGAGCGACGAAGCGGGAAGGGGTGCCGGGGGAGGAGTTTGGGGTGTTCAGCGAGGTGGGTGGTCCCCTCTGCTTCGCTCGGTCGGATGCGGTTGCTGACGGTTGATCATCGGTTAGGTCCTCGTCGGCACTATCCGCTCGGAGATCGCATCGTGCTCGGAAAAAGCTTACCCGTCCCTTCCCATCGCCAACGCGAAGAATCTGCTTTTTCTGGAGAGCGAAGGCAGCGTGGTGGAGTTTGCCCGGGGCAGGGACTGGGTGGTGCAGGATGGGCGGATATACTTCCCGTTGCAGCAGGGAGAGGGTGTGAGGAGTGAGAAGGAGATCCTGGTGGCGAGCGGACAGGTCATTGAGAACGCGATCGGCTATGCTAGGGAGCTGGAGACTATCGTCTAGACAGTCTGAAGAAATTAGAAGCATCAAGCCTGGCGTTCCATCCCCGCTAGACGTGCGATTCCCCGTGAGGTTCAAACCCATATGGCCGTAGCCACGAGGAATTATCATTGGAAGAGAAACTTCTAAGCGAGTTTCGGGTTTTGCATCTATTTGCCACCTAAAGGCTGGTGTCTGCTCCTCTCGCCACGAGGAGCCGTCTCCATTGCAACATCATGAGGGAGCGAGTGCAAAGGTTGCAGATCAGTCACAAAGGATCATGAACGCGATACATAGTTACCAGTTTTCTAAAAACGAGTATAGCAACATGCTGTATATGGGGTATCCGCGGCTTACGCAATGACGCTCAAAATGCTTGCACCAAAGCCATGACCAGCGTGACATGTATCGTGCCACCTTCATCCAGCCTTTTCCTTCTTCTCAGCCAGCACGTCTTTCGAGGAGAACAGACTCGCCTTGACCCCCCAATCATTCTTGCTCTCGATCCCGAGGTACGTGAACGCGTCCGCCTTGTAGTAGATAGCCCTCTCCTCGCCCATTGGCCCTGGCCCCTTCCCCTTCACCAACCCCATACCGACCAGTCTCTCAAGCACCCTCCTCACATCCGCCCCGTCCGAGAAATCTTCCGTGTAGATGCAGATCAGCCTCGGCGTCACGTTCCCCGACCCGTCATCCGTGGCGACCTTGGCCGCACGCCCAAGCTCCCCGGCCGCGGTGGCCGTGGCGACGAGAGACCAGACCCTGTCGACGTCGGCCGCCATCGGAAAGAGCATCCATTTCCCGGACGGACATGCCTTTTCTTTCGCAGCGGCGTAGAGGTCCGCCTCCGCTTGCTTGCGCAGTGGTGTCAATTTGCGGCCGATGGTGCTCTTCGCTTTGCCAGCCATTGAGGCTTCGATGCCGGATCTTGTGGCTTCGAAGTCTTCGAGGATGCCTCGACCTCTTTCCATGAACCCTGCTCGGTCTTCATCGGTGGGCCGTGATTTGGAGCGCGGGTTCGCTATGTAGATCCAAGGGCCGCAGTTGTCTGCATGTGTGGCGCGAGGAGGTAGGCGCGACAGGAAAGAGGTAACAGTCTCTGATAGCTGGCGGCCGGCGGAGTCGCCCTCATACATGTTGTAGAGCTTCTTCGGCGCGAGAGCAGAGCTAGAGGCATGAGCCACTGTGATGGCAGCGATGACGGCGAGTTCGCTGTTGTGAGTAGCCCAGTAACGTGAGGGGTCAAAAGTTGCTGCACGGTCTTCGAGCTCGGTACGGAGTTGTACGTCCCCTAGCTTTTTCTTAATGGAAGGATCGATCGAGGTCTTCACCATGGAAAGAACGGACCATAGAAGCTCGAATCGTCTGAAAGGGAACCACCACCCACATCTTCCTCACCATCGTCAGGCATCTTTTTAACAGATTTTCGATTACATGGTAATAGAGCAACTTTTAGCTTCATTCGTCAGGCCAGATACTTTACCTTTGCCTTTCATCGACGCGAAAGGCTCGAGGCTCGGCTATTTACCGCCGCTAGTTCGTCGTAGCCCTAACGATATTGTTACTTCGCCGGGATGCTACCCTTGGATGCGGGACGTCACTCCTCCTTCTCGGTGATGGATGGCAGTGACACAGCGGATGACGCCCCGCCTATCTCCTCTGATTACAGCATCATACTGGACTTGCCGCCAAGTTGCGTAGAGTTTTCACCCTCACATCCAGACTGTTTTGTAGTTGGCACGTACTACTTGAAGCCCGAATCAGGGGCCAGCCATACAACATCTATACAACAGGAGGATGACCAAATCGAACCGCCAGCGCAGGATCGCAGGGGTAGTCTGATGTTGTTTAATTTGACAGACGAACGACTGTGAGTGCTGACCATGGAACGCGGCAATATTTCTGGGGATAAGCCCCACAAGATGTGCAGAGAATACTCAGCGATTATTTCTTTTGCGTCCACCAATGATGTGTACGAGCAGGATTTGGCTCAGTGTCAGGGGTCAAGTCCCTTGGAAACGGTAGGCTGATTTGGGAAACAGAGCACTTCGCCACAACGTGCACCTTGATTATGCGATCCTTGACCTTCACTTCACGCCATTCAGGAAAGGTATATTCGCAATTGCCACGAGCTTAGGGACGGTTTGCCTATGCACCATGAATATTCAGGGGACCGGTCCCATAGAAATCGTCAACACGTATGAGATCTTTCCTATCTCCTCACTCGTATTGTCTCTCGCCTGGAACCGCGAACTGTCCCATTCAGACACAATAGCGGCATCTTCTTCCGATGGTCGAATTGCAATATTCGATTCAAAGTACCAGCCTCCCATGACTTACACAAAGACCGAAGCACATTCCCTCGAAGCATGGACACTCGCATGGACGTCTAAAGGAGCAGAGGATGACTTACGCCCAGAATTGTACTCAGGAGGGGATGATTCCGTTCTATGTAGGCACGGTCTATCCGTTCGCCCCGTCAGCGGAAGCCTCGATGAGGGTAACATACCCTCCCATGGATACGATTTTCAGGCGCCTTTCCGCGATACGAAAATCCATATGGCAGGAGTGACTGCGATATTGCCATTGCAACCTGTTTTTCATGGGGAACAGATCCTTCTGACTGGCAGCTATGATGAATACGTTCGAGTCCTAATGCCTATTGACGGATATAGCAGGCCAAAGATTCTGGCGGAAGAGAGACTAGGAGGAGGGGTATGGAGGCTGAAAATTCTCGATTTCGAGGCGCCAGACCGTGGCAGGGGTACGTTAATATCTGGACAAACCTCTGGTTCATACCAAGAAGCCCAGTTTTAACCCAGCATCCGTCCTATGGCTGAGGTCTTTTACCTTGAATAGGTGGCGCTGACTCCGAATCTCCTATAGGTCCAGTATTTAGGGTACTGGCTAGTTGCATGCATGCTGGTGCAAAGATTCTGGAGGTTCGACGATCAGACGGTGGAAAGTGGCTCATCAGTGTCCTAGCAAAGTTTGTGGAGCATGAAAGTATGAATTATGCCAGCGACGGTCGCCCAAGATATGGTGGACGGGGAGTGGAGGGTTTCATCGTCGTTTCCACAAGCTTCTATGACAAGAGGCTCTGCGTGTGGAAGACCAAAGTCTGCTCATGAAAAGAGTGACAATGGGTACCAGTCCACAAGCTGACATATAGAATCGGGTCGAGGCCCACAAGTCTGTCAAAGGTTCGGATAGAGAACTTATTTGCCCAACATTACTTTTGGTGGTCGTTTGCCTATAGGTCTGTCAATTTTAGCCTTTGAATTGCAATTGGCCCTTCTGGACGGTTTTCAATCCAGTCAAAAATTCCCTGATAGCTGCACATTCGTTCTGATGGGTAGCACCCAAAGTGCTGCAGTTTGTTTGGAAATGGCCAACATCCTCCATTGACCAGCTCCACTGCGGCACATCCGGTACTTTTCACTGTTCTGCGAATCAGCTCTGGTCATTCTGAACCCCGTGTTTCATGCTCAGTCGCCTCGATAGCAGCCTTCAATTCCGCCTTCCTGCCCTCCTTCCATGCCTTATGCAGCTCTTCAATCTTGCCTCCCAACACCGTAACCGTGGTAGGCTCCAGCAGCACAGCCCCTCTCGCTACCAGTGTATTTTTTAGTATCATCTTACAGCCAATGCTCATGCCCAGCCCCACTCCCTCTAGTCCCTTCAGCTCAATCCCATACACCCGTCTCCCTGCCGCATCTTGAAGCAACAGTTTATGCGGTCCACCACCTTTCTGAACTGTTGCTCCTGCACTGTCATCCTCCACTGTAGCAGCCACGCGAATGATTTCCCTCCCCTTGGTGCCCTCTCCCCTTTCCAGCGCTTCGATTGCTTCAATCTGCTCCCAGCGACTCTTGCTCATGTCCTCGACTGCCAACACTTGCACAGCGATTGAGCCACCGAGGCGACGCTCTTTGAGATTGACATTATGCACGTCTTGCGGGAAGCAGGTTGAAGGGGTGGTGGTGAGAGATTGTGTGATGTCGGAGGCTAGCAGACGGAAACATGCCGTTTGTGTCAGAGCTGGGAAGGGCGTGGTGGGCCGTTGGGTTGTTAGGAAGGCGGAGAGCCATGTGGGGTTTGGCGTGAGAGATTTTGTAGCTGTGAGTTGGGCGGATATTTGGGCTGCTGGGTCTGACATCGTACTTGGTCTTCAATAAGGGGTTTGTGCTTCACTGCTGAATGTATTACTAAGCACTACGATTGATGGTCAGATCATCAGAATCTCCATGAGACCTCCGCATGAGGACCATGCTATCTCCTCTGCTAATCCATTCTATTCAGAGTTCTGATACCGAAATGAAGACGACCATAACGCTAGCAAACAAAAGCCCTAATTAAGCGAACGACCGCGCTTGTCGCGCCTCTGCTGGCACTCAAAAAGTTCCCGATCCTTGCCCGCAGGCTGCGTGGTCCACTGTTCAACATTACTCCTCCACAATGGCAACAGTCACTTCCCCACGCCCTTCCAACCCCTCCGGCTCCCTCGCCAGCACGCCCACCACATCCCGCACCACCTCCCCGGCCCCAACCCGCCGCCAACACCGCGCCGCTCTCCGCGACTACTACAATCTCAAAACCGCCGCCCCCAACGAAGCACCCTCGAACTCCCACGCCTCGGAACCGGATTCCCCATCCAGCGAGCTCGACGCCTCGGACTTCGACGCGGACGCGTACGTGAAGTCCGTCCTTGCAGGGCATGGGTTGGAAGGGGTGCTCAGGGTCGAGGCGGGCTTGGTCAATGAGATCAAAGGGCTAGATGGGGAGAGGAAAGCGTTGGTGTATGACAATTATTCGAAGTTGATCACGGCGACGGACACGATTAGGAGGATGCGGGATAATATGGACCCGTTGACGCCGACGACCAGTACGCTGAGTCCGGCTGTCGCGCATATTGCGGAGACGGCGAGGGGGCTGGTTGCGAGGGCAGGGAACGGAAATGGTGGAAAGGAGGCAGATGGTGGGGAGGAAAGAAGAGAGGTGGAGAAGGTGAGAAGTAGGCAGAGGGATACAGTGAGGTGGGTGTTGGGCACGCCGAGGAGGCTGGGGTTGATGATTGATGACGGGAGGGTGGAGGATGCGAAAAGGGATTGGGGGGAGATACAGGGGATACTACGGAGATGGCGAGATGTAGCTGGCGTTGAAGAATTGAGAGATGCATGTGAAAAGACCATGAGCAAAGTCTGAACAAGTCAAGTCCAGAGGAAGAGAATCTTGGCATTGAGTCCGGAGTTCGATGCATCCAATCCCTCGGATTGCGCCTCTCACAACGTAGTAGGTCTCCCGGAATATTCTATGTGTCTAACGCCGGAAATGCTGAACATCATCATAACCATCACATCATCTAATCATACACCATTACCTTCAGATAAGGGCTTCCCACCCCTGAGCAGTCCAAGGGGCAACCATGACAGCTCTCTGTGCATCATCGAGCCTCGTTGTTCCCGAGTAAGCCTTGGAAAGGTCATGTGCATCAAGATTACCTCCAGGTGGACAAGCTTTGGTTGCTGTAAGCACAGCCATTGTTGCAGGATAGCTTTCTTTTGAAAGACCAGCCAGCTGTGCCCAGCCGTGGGGCTGTGAAGGTGCAAGCATAGTGGTGGTGGTTGCTTGCGACATCTCTGACGCGTCTTGCCCTTCCTCACCAGGGAAAAGCGCGGAAATAGTCGTCAGTAGCTCGGCGACTTTGCTTTGCTCCTGGACAGTCAAGGAGTCTCGGGTTCGCAGTCCTTCTAGATCCACAGTCACGGCTTCAATGGTATCTCGGTCATCGTCTAGAACAGCAATGACACCGAGGAGAATGATGGCGCCTGAGTGACCAGGGTGGTTCTCTACGCAATCAAATAACTGCTCTCGAGCAACGCTCCGTTCTTTGTCGCCGCCTTTCGCCCATAGTACTTGTGCCAGAAGACATACTATGTCGGGATTACCTTGCGTCTCTTCCAAAGCGCTTCGGAACATGCTGATAGCTTGGTCCATCATCCCTTGATAGTAGTAGGCTAAACCAGCTGTCATATGCGCCGAGAGTCGGACTTTTTGACGAGCCTCGTTCTTCACATATTCTTCTTCGGAGAGGTTAAGAGCTGCCTCTGCATTCTCGGCCGCAGCCTCAAACTCTCGCTCTGCTAATTGAGCTCGACTCAGATCTGCTTTTGCTAGCGCGAAGGGCATGAGAAGGACTGGAGATTCTGACGTCTCGTACTTCGCTTCAAGGGTTGAAGCGACCTGGTCGAGTGTAGCTGCTGCGTCGCCGAAGTCGCCGACTCGCTCAGCGAATAGGGACGAGAGATGCTGGAAAGCGGAATCCGCAGGAACTTGAGAGCGTAATTGATGGAGAGCGAACAGAGGCTGAATCGCGCTTGTCGTGCTGCTTGTTGGAGATAAGAGGAGATGATCGAATATGGACATAGCGAATTGTCGCTTGATCATGGGAGAGGACGAATCCGCTATCTCAAAAGCGTGGGTGAACAAATATCGAGCTTCGTTGACTTCTCCAACGTGCATGGCCAACAGACCTTGCCCAAGCCATGCTTGAGCATAATCGGGATCGGAAGACTGTGCTCGTGTGTAAGCGTCATTAGCAAGCTGAATGTCATTCTGTATCAGATACAGTGTTCCCAGATTCGTCCAGACTCTTGCAATCTTATCATTGAGGTAAAGGCTGCGAACAAACGAATGCTGGGAGACTTTCGGGTTGAGTTCGCTTGTCACTATGCCAAGAGAGTTCCAGAACTCAGCGTTACCAGCTTCGAGCTCGATCGCTCTTTTGAACGCCTGTACAGATGCTTTGAGATATTTCAGTAGCTTCTTCTTGGACTCCGTCGTAGGCCCGCCCTGACTGCATACGTGCGCGCGATGCTCTGTCCAGCCGAGGTTATACCACGCAACAGCTCTGGCATGAATGTCATTCGCACAAGCGTGAATTGCACGTTTCTGTGCCAATATCGCTGCGCTTATGCTCAACTGGAGAGAAGGTGTCTGCTGGTCGGGTTGTGTCAAAGTCTGCAACGTCTTATCACTGATTCCATCTATCTCTGCCAGAACGGTGTACACCTCAAGATTGATGTCGGCCTTCAGAAGCGATAGCAAGACTTGAGTCGGGAGCCTTGAACCGTACGCTGATGCATAGGTATATATGGCGCAGGCGTCAGCAACTGCTTTCCAAAGGTTGAAAGCTTCGTGATGTTCTTTTGCAACGATCGTAGCAACACTTATTGCTTCGCTCGCAGCATCTGCTGCACGGCCGAAGAAGCCAAGTTCAATGTTGTGCCAAGCGCCTTCAACGAGACTTTGCAAAAGGGCAATAGAGACTCCGAATTCGGCAGGTCTATATTTCAAGACCTCTTGATATCCAGCAATGGCATCATCATACTGGCCCAACTCTCGCTTCACGTTTGCGAGCATGTACTTCGAAAACCAATTATCCTTGACACTACTGTCTTTGGAAGTCTCAAGTTTTTGGGCGTGTTCGAAAGCCTTGGTGGCCGCAATGTAACGCCCCGAGTTATGGTAGCTTTCGCCGAGACCTACCCAGCAATGGTAGTTGTTGGGAGAAGATCGTAGTGCTGACTGAAAAGAGACGATACTTTTTGGGTAGTCCTGGTTGTTGAGCTGAACAACTCCTAGAGCTGCAAAAGGCCAGCTGACTCCTTTCTTTTTCGACCCAGGAGCCGCTCTGACTTTGCCAGAATCCACCACTCGCTGGGCGACGACCTCAACTACGTCCCATTCGCCTGATTTGGCAAATGCTTGAGCAAGGCGCTCCGCGGCCTCGACTTCAGATGATGAGAGCTCAAAAGCTTTTTGGAAACATTTTCGAGCACGCTTCTTGTCTCTCCCGTAGTCGGCATAATATATGCCAAGTATTGTGTAGGCAGGCGCATAGTTCAAGTCTGCTTGCAGCGAAGCAAGAAACCGAGCGTATGCCCCTTCACGATTTTTGCGCGCCTTGCTAGAAGTTTCCCTGTTCCAGATGCACATACCCATCCGATACAGCGTTTGAGATCGTAGCAATTTTGCTCGTGTGTCAGAACCTTCCATATCTGGAAGGCAATCCTCGAGCTCATGCAGGCTCGTCTCGCTGTCGCCATTCAGGGCTTTGCACCAGGCCGCCTCGGCTTTTATCTTAGGTTCAGAATTTCGCTTCAAAGCACGGTCGAAAAATTCGATGGCTTTGACGTACTCCTCCTGTTCTTCGAGTATCAAACCGATCCCGATCAGTGCAGAACTCTCGGTAGGTTTGTGGTGGAGTACCTTCTCAAACAGCTCCATTGCTTCTGGGTGATGCCGCGGCGGCTGAAATTGGACCAATGCTGTGGCCAGAATAGTTCTTATTGCATCGAACGAATTTCCTAGGGCAAGGCCAGACATGCCAGATTCATTCAAAATACACTGCAGCCCTTGTCTTGCTGTGGCCGCAGCGCTCTCATATTCTTCGAGATGTAAGTACATGAGCCCCATAATACGGCGTGCTAGGATTGACGATGAGCTCTCTTCCATGCCTTCAGTCATGAGGATGAGCCTGTTCTCTCCGGACAATGGAGAACTGTGTTCACTCTCCTCGTTCTGCTCTTGGGCGGGACCTGTCAATTTCGGAAACGGAGAAATGTCGCTATCGAAGAAGCCTCTCAATAGCTTGCTTAGCCCGCTATCTGGAAACAGTGCAATGAACTCTCTGAGTAATCCAGCATCCATCTCCTCAATGTATGTGGCATCTCTCCACTCCAGATCGATTGTCCAGGCAAGCAGGAATTGGTGCTTCAGGATAACCAACCCTTGCGCCATCTTCTGGACTTGCTTCCTTTTCGCTTCCTTCTTCGCCGTCGGTAGGGCGATGAGGGTATCGTATGCATGCTGGAGGAGTTTCTCCTCGCATTGACGTCGGATCTTGTCATCGTGGGTCCAGTCGATAATATTTTCGTACAGAGACTCCAGCAGACTGTTCTCCAACACCTCTCTCTTAACCTCTGAAGTGACTTGGTCGATCTTAGCTCCAAGACGCGTCCGCCGTTGCCCAATTTCAGTGTTGATCTTCTCCTTTTCTTCCGCTTCTACTATATCTGCGATATTGGAATATGTGAAAGCTGGTTGGGGAATTTGACCTTCGAGGTAGTCATACAGAGTAGTGGTGGGCAGTAGAACCTCCAAAGAATGTTTGTATTGTGCCCTAGAACCGTACTTTTTGGCATTTTCTGTGTACTTTTGCACGACTGTTTGACACCGTATCTTGTCATTCCTAATACCGCAACTTCATCAGCCACAATATCCCGTCACTCAACGTACAAAATCTTGCCCCACATACTCGTTCATGTGTATCTCCGCTAATCGAGTCGCAGCATCATGATATCTGTCAAGCTTCTTGCCAGCTTGCTTATCGTAAAGACCCACTAGCCCTTGCCATGCTAAAGCGTCTTTGTCTTTTAATCCAATGGCAATTTTGTAAGCTTCTTCGGAATCTTCATTCTGATCCAGCTTTTCGAGCGCTCGGCCTAGGAATACATTGCTAGAGACGGCAGAGTCAGTCTCACCACTGATAAAATAGGCACAATAAGTAGGAATGTATACGCATGGTAGTTATTTGAATCCGTCCTCAGCACCGTCTTGGCTTGATCAATTGCATCCTGATACTTGTTCGCATCCAAAGCAGCTTTTGCAGCTTTGAGAGCTGCTTTTGTACCGGACATGCTGTAAGAGTACGGTCACTTTGGTGTCTGCATCAGATGGCATGACTGCCAAGGACATCAATCTGTAGATGATAATCTATGGCTGTGACTGACCACTGACAAAGCTCCTAGATTTTAGAACGCAAAGGTTTGTTTGCTCGACAGCTCTTTCCGGCACGGGAGATCTGCTACTTGTATGTATGTATGCGTCATTTGCCGCTCATCTGCCATCATCAACTTTTCCTTTTCGAATTCCGGACAGTAGACTCGCTTATAGGAGGGGAGTTCGATGCATCAACAGTAGAACTGGGTTCTGTGTTTGTGTTGTTGCAAACTTCAAGTCAAATGGGACGACGAGTCAGCACTCAAACGCTCCCACTCACGCTTCCTGTCTCTAGGGTCTCCCCGGCCTCCTCGGCCACTGCAATTGTTCATGGCGCCCCTACGACTTAGGATAGAGGGGCGAACGTTTCGCGACAGTGAGAACAGAGAGGTTACGCTGCGTGGTATCAATGTAGCTGGAGACGCCAAATTCCCAAGGAACCCTGATTTACCCTCGAACAATCCCGACAGGTTCTATGAAGGAGACGAAGTATCCTTTGTTGGCAGACCGTTTTCCATCGACGAGGCACATACCCATTTCTCACGACTGAAAAGATGGGGTTACAATTTAATTCGTTACGTATTCACTTGGGAAGCCATTGAGCATGCCGGACCCGGGAAATATGATGAGGAGTGGGTGCAGCATACCATTGAGGTTTTGAGACTGGCAAAGGGATACGGCTTCTACATATTCATGGATCCTCATCAAGATGTCTGGTCACGATTCACTGGTGGTTCTGGTGCACCCATCTGGACAATATACGCAATGGGACTCAATCCACGGGCATTTCCTTCGACCCAAGCAGCTTGGGTACAAAATACGTACTCTGATCCTGCCAAATATCCGAAAATGATATGGGCAACAAATTATACGCGGTTGGCGTGTCAAGTCATCTTCACCATGTTCTTTGGAGGAAAAGACTTCACCCCAAAGGCCATCATCGATGGGAAAAACATCCAAGACTACTTGCAGGATCACTTTGTCGAAGCGTGTCGTCACCTTGCTCTGAGAATACAGGAAGCAGGAGATATCGAGAACGATGTGGTTATTGGTTGGGAGAGTATGAACGAGCCGAATCGAGGTCTCATTGGCTGGCAGGATGTTTCGGTCATCCCCGAAGACCAGAAATTACAAAAAGGGCCTTCGCCGACTGCATGGCAAGCAATGTTGACTGGTTCTGGTAGAGCATACGAAATGGATGTTTGGGACTTTGGTGGTTTGGGACCGTACAAATCCGGCACTGAATTAGTGGACCCCAAAGGAGAATCGGCTTGGCTATCAGCAGACTATGATGACTCAAGGTACGGTTGGAAGAGGGATCCAGGGTGGAAATTGGGAGAATGTATCTGGGCACAGCATGGGATTTGGGACCCATTAAACGATCAATTGCTGAAGAAAGATTACTTCGCAAGGCAGCCGAAGAGCGGCAGGAAAATCGACTATGAATTTTTCACAAACAACTACTTCATGTCATACTATCGAAGACACCGGAAAGCCATCACAAGCGTACATGAAAATGCTATAATGTTCTGTCAACCACCCGTCCTCGAGATACCCCCTTCAATCAAAGGCACAGATGACGACGACCTAAACATGGTCTTTGCTCCTCATTTCTACGACGGCATTACTCTGATGATGAAGAAATGGTGAGTGCAAGCGGTCTCAATCGAACAGACCTAGCTGATTTATATTGGCAGGAATCGATACTGGAATGTCGATGTTTTCGGAATCCTGCGAGGAAAATATCTGTCACCAGCATTTGCTGTCAAAGTAGGCGAGACAGCAATAAGGAATTGCTTCAGAGATCAGCTCTCTGGCATCAGGAAAGAAGGAATGGAATATATGGGAAACCATCCTTGCATCTTCACGGAAATTGGTATACCGTATGACATGGACAATAAGTACGCTTACAAAACCGGTGACTACTCGAGTCAGTCATCCGCCATGGATGCAAATCATTTCGCACTAGAAGGTTGCGGCTGCAATGGCTATGCTTTATGGCTATACATGGCTTCGGTAAGCTGAAATCTTGTAGTAAGCCTCACACAATGGCTGACGACACCAGAATAACCACGAATGGGGCGACCTTTGGAATGGCGAAGACCTTTCCATTTTCTCACTCGACGACAAACCTCTACCGCTCCATCCCGAACCCAATTCGGAAGTACCAGGTCCGACCCCCAACGCTTCTACTGTCTCTGTTGACAGGAATTCGCCTGCCTTTTCCGAAAGCCGCTCGACTGATGCATCCCCTGTCATTCCAGAAACCCTGAAGAACAAGCTCTCAACCCCTTCCATCTCGTCACAGAAATCAAACACACCATCAGAAATTGGTAGTACGCCCGGCTTCCGTGCTGCCGAGGCATACGTGCGCCCTAGTCCAATAGCTACTGTCGGAAATGTCACCTCCTCTGGCTTTGATCTGCGTAACGCAACATTCACCTTCTCGCTTGAATGCAAGACAGCTGCTACGGAGGAAGTACCCACAGAAGTCTTCCTACCCGAATTTCATTTCCCTCGTGACAACACCACAGTTGAAGTTACTAGCGGCAAATGGACGATCAGTGTCGACGAGAAGTACGGTGGTCTGATCCAAAGTCTGAGATGGTACCATGGTGTGGGTAAGCAGAGCGTGACTGTCAAAGGGGTGAGAAGACGGCAGGGTATGGCATTGAGGAAGGAGGAAGAAGAAGGTTATTATGAGCAATGCAGGCAGAGAGGCTGTAGCATGATGTGAACATCTTTCTTGTGGATCCAGCGATCAATGACACGCGAGCATTGTACCAATCTACTCAGCGGGGCTGCATTCTTTGTTTGACTCAATTTATTTAGTATTCAGCAAGACCTGAGGTCACGAATCCTATGTCGATGCGTTCGGAGGTGAATTAGCCCCAGACTTGTGCATACAGGGCTCAATCGGCTTCATAGATCCCAGGTATTTCCATAGCTTCAAGGGCTCATGCCCAAACATTGTGCATTCTATGACATTTGTTTCCCCAAAAAATCAGTCTCAGGACGTAGAGACCATGATCGATTCGACTTGTGAGATAGTAAACACTTAAATCGTAAATCGTTGCTGTTCTACAATTCCGTAGAGTAGCCTGTGTTCGATTCCATATCCGGAGACCTTGAGTCACACTCCATTATTTTAACCTGAGGCCTGTCCGACCCTCATCGCTTAGATCATTACCATTACCATCACCAATACTCCTCACGTCAATCAATCTTCTCAAACCCAGAATCCTTTCTTTCCCTTGCCAGCATCCTCGACCCCATCTCCTACGCTCTTGGCCCCTCCCTCCACGCCATTCCCTACAGCCTCCAGCGCGTCTCCGACCGGTTTTCCCGCGCTTCCCGTTACACCGGTAACGGTTTGCCCGACGCCTCGGCCTGCGGCCCCGACGATGCCTCCAGCTGTCTTGGCCACTCCAGAGACTCCGTTTCCCAAGGTCGAGGTGACGAAGCCAATTGGGTTGTTGCTGTCGTTTGAGGTAGGCATTCCGTTTGGACTTGCTCCGCGCGTGATAGTACTATAGCTGAACGATTGCTGATGTGAATGATATCTGTGGCTCTTAACTGGTCGAAATGGTCGTTATCACTAGCCTGCTACCGTGGAAAAGAAAAGAAAGAGCGGGGTCTGTTGCCTAGGGTACAGCTGCCGTGCTCGGCTAGCCTCGGATATAGGAATCATTCCGCTGGTCTTGGCATCAACGTGGATGGGCCGAAGGCCGTTAACAGACTTCAGGCAGAATTGTGCTCAACGCTAGGGCAGCTCAGTAATATTAATACAATGGACATGCCTCATATTTCCTCCTTTGTTTCGCCTGTTCGAGGGTGTTCTGACCGTGAAAGGACCATTGGGCTGATAGAGCTAGGGAAAGGGTGAGAGGAAGATTCGTTGCACCTGGCCATTTAATCTCGTTCATTGATCTTTGGATGTCTTGTCTTGCTTAATCCTGTCATGCTATTAGATCTTGCCTCTTTCTATTGGCTGCACTATTCCTTCGCTCTTTGCAATGCCGTCAATCGGTGAAGAGAAAGGCTCCACCAAGTCCATTCGCTCAAGTTCTCCATCAAGCCATTTGACAGAGCGGCCTGTCTCCGTGCATGACCATGAAGATCAAGAGAAGGTCGTGGCATTAGGGTCCTTGCCATTGTCTCCGAGACCCAGCTTTTCCAACAAGGCTGCCTCGATAGCCACTAATGGCACGAACAACCCAGATTATGAGGTAGATTGGGATGATGAAATTGATCCCAAGAATCCAAGGAACTGGTCAATTTGGTACAAGGGTTTCACTATATTCTCGATCTCATGGTCCGTACGTTATAACTTTCTTGAGGCAGTTCTACCTCATTCATGCTGTCTTATGGGTCGTCAGACAAGTCTCGAGAGTTCTCTGCTCGTAAAGGACAGGTCTCGCGACTCAGAGTTCCTCCTGAAAGAGTAATGCTGACTCCGAAATCATCAAGACATGGTGCATCGTTGTGTATTCCACATCCTACACTACAGGCTTGGCAGAGATGCAACACGATTTCCACATTTCTTCTGAGCCTGTTGTAACCTTAGGAGTGACTTCCTACCGTGAGTTGAGGAGAGCAATTGCGAGTCCCAATGGTGAGAGCTGACTGTGCGACTAGTGATTGGCATTGCTGTAGGGTCTATGATCCTCGCACCGATTTCCGAAATGTATGGACGTCGACCAGTATATATAGCTAGCATGCTACTTTTCACCATACTAATCATACCATGCGGACTCGCGACCTCTTTGCCAGAAGTCATCATTGTACGTTTCTTTGGGGCCGTGGCGGGGTCTGCCATGATCGCCAACAGCCCGGGTACCGTTAGTGACATCGTGAACGATGACTATCGAGCATTGGCTTTTTCAATCTGGTCAATAGGTCCACTCAACGGACCAACCTTTGGTCCTATAATTGGAGGGTTTTCTACGCAGTACAGCAGACCTCATTGCTTACAAGAAAGCTAGAGAATCTTCTGACAAGTGCACAGGTATCTTGGCTGGAGATGGACCAATTGGATTGTTATGATCATTTCTGGAGTTGCCTTCATCTTCATGTGTATGCTGAAGGAGACTTACGCGCCGGCCCTACTACAGAAGAAGGCTAAGCTTCGCCGAAAGGAGCAGGATGATGACCGGTACTGGTCTCGCTATGATAACAAGATCAAGTTTTGGCCGCTCTTGAAAGTCAACCTCAGCCGGCCATTTATTATGGTGTTTACAGAGCCTGTAAGAACCCTTTTGAAGTAATTGTCTCCCCTTCTATTCTTTCTTTTGAGTCTCAGCATATGCTGCAGAAGCAAAAGCCGATTTTTCCATTTCAAGGCTCCTCTGACTTGTCCTGTAACTTTAAACACGTCTTGAAGTGGCAATGCTGACTCGAACTGGTGTAGATCTGGTCCGCCTCCCGTCAATGCTTCACATTTGAGGGACTGAATCTGACAGATCCGCAGCATATTTTGGGATGTATACATAGCGATCATCTACGGCATTCTATACCTCTGCTTCGTCGCCTATCCTATCGTTTTCACTGGTGTCCGCGGATGGTCCGCTGGTATATCCGGGCTTGCGTTTACCGGCCTGGCTGTAGGTAAGCTACTTTTCCGAGCCTCTCTTTCCTGATCTGGGCAGGGCATGGAGTTGCAAGACATGATCCGGGAATATTTGACTCTTGAAACCTGCTTTACGACTCAAAGACTTCCTTTACATGGAAATGCTGACTCCAAAATCTCGATAGGGTGTTTTCTAGTCATTGGTACAGAGCCACTGCTTCGAAGAATGATCAACTCTCACAAGAAAGACCCTGAGACTGGCAAAGTACCGCCTGAAGCCATGGTCAGTGTCGTCTGTATCGCTGCTGTTTTGGTTCCTGTCGGAGAATTGTGGTTTGCTTGGACCTGCGTGCCTCCGGTACATTGGATCTGGCCTATCTTGGCAGGTATACCTTTCGGCGCAGGAAATACCGCAGTCTTCATATACGCATCGAATTACCTTGCTCATAGTTATGGCAGTAAGCTACACCAATCGCATTTGAATAACTCAACGCTGATGGGATCTTTGCAGTCTACGCCGCCTCAGCGATGGCTGGGAACTCGGTCATTCGATCTCTCCTAGGTGGCACGTTACCGCTCGCGGGACCAGCATGTAAGGACACCCAAAAAAACCTTCTCATCAGCACCATGCATTAATGCTTCGTGATAATGTCTGGTTCTGCAACGCTCTTGTGTCCCAACGGACTCTCAGATGTCTCGTTGTACCGGTTTTCAGTCCCCAAAGACAATACTGACATAAGAATTCTCTAGTGTACGCGAAACTGAATCCCCATTGGGCCGGAACTTTGTTGGGCCTGATCCAGGTAGCCATTATACCCATCCCTGTATATTTCTACAGGTACGGACATAAGATTAGGATGAAGAGTGCTCTCATTCAGAGTATGCAGCAGGACAAAGAAAAGTTGGAGAGCAAGCGAAGGAGTGGCGTCCGCGCTGCCAAATTAGAGAAAGTGGAGGATGATATCGCGAAGGTTTATTCGAAAACCGTATAATGACTAAGCTTTACCTGGGTATAATAGGGAGCTGCAATCAAACCCTCCGCCCCGAAATGACTAAGAAATACATCTTAATTCACAACATCTTCCTCCCTCTTTTTCTTATCCTTCGCCATCGCCTCCCTCTCCTCCTCCTTTGTCAATCCCTCCGCGTGCCCCTTATCCCCTCTCAACCCCTTCAACCACTTCCTCAGCTTCCCAGATATCATCTTCTCCTCCCTGGCTGCTTGCAGGGCGTGGAATTTGGCATTTGGGTCTTCGCCGCGTGCAATGGCAACTTGTCGCTCCTTGTTCCAGTTGTCAAAATAGGCAGTATGATGATCGGCTTTAGGGGAGGAGTAGCTACCGCCGTCCTCCATGCCGTAGGAGTTGGGGTGAGCTTTGTCGGCCGGTGGGCCGAGGTCGATTCGAGCTGTGGGAAGGAGGCCCGATGAGGGGGTGCGTTTGGTTGAGGCGGTCATGGTGATATGTTTCGCGGGTAGTGAGCTGATGGTGTTTTAAATGGAGGACAAAGATTGTGTGATTTGAGGGTTGATTCAGGAGGTATAAGTGTTTTTGTAACGGCGGAGTCTCTAAAATTGATGAAAGTACGTGGTTATACAAGAATCTAGAGATGCAATGCTAATGTGAGATCATCTGCTTTTCTTTTACTTGTCTATCTCGGAGTGTGTGGAAAAATGCCTCATATCGTCCAACAGTACTTATTGGCTAAAAAAATAGTTGTAGATAAAGTTAGCATCAGATTTGTACAGCCTCAGAAAACGGCCATTCCGGTTGATCTTCCCAAGCTCGGCAAAACATAGCATAGCTAACACCGGGTTCCACAATGTGATGTTTGAGAAGAGGGAGATTAGTTTACTGCAAACCAATCTTTAGGTGTGCACAATGTGATTGATGCTTAGACAATAGGCAGCTCTTGTTGAAGCGGCCAGGCTCGCTAAAGTTATGCGGTTCCTGGTAAGATGCATGACGTAACAAACGCTAGATTAGAGTACACTAAGGTACCATGGATTTCGGCAAGCTACCCCAGGTTCTGAGCTCGGACCGATCCAACTGGAAGTTCTTCAGATCCATTATTGCATTGTTTCCCTTCTCTGTTGTTGACACGCGAGGCCTGCTATCGTATATCAGGTAAGTTGATCATGCGCGTTAGATGCCTGTCATTACGGAAGAAGAAGCTTGGCGCTTGGCGGTACTGACTAGTCAGTATATAAACAGCGCGACGCCATTTACTCGGTCAATCGCGCTCACCCAGAGCTCGCTTCGTCCAACCTAACTTCACCTTCAACATGGCCGGCACTAGGCGATCCACGCGACAAGCCGCGACGAAGCCCAATCCCAGCGAAGCATCTTCAAAGAGCAAGCCCGCAGCTGCCGCAGGCACCAAGCGCAAAGCGGAATCTGAAGCCCCTGCGAAAGGCAAGCGCGAAAAGAAGGGGGCCAAGAAGGAGCAGACGACCATTGAGGCGTCAATGCCCAGTGATGACAAGAATGGCGATTCCAAAGAGGATGTCGAGATGAAAGATGAACAGGAAGCCGAGCCAGCTGAGGCGAGTAATGGCAAGACAGGCGCTGATGAGGTCGCGCAAAGAGAGGAGGAAGTGAGGGATCAGGAGCCCATGGACGAGGAGAAGAAGGAGGAAGAGCCTTCTGCTGAGAAAAAAGAGCCTGAGACTAATGGCGACGCAAAAGAAAACAGCGAAGAAGAGCCGAAGAAGAACGGCTTTGACGCTCTCATGGACCACACTGACAAAGACGAGGACAAGAATGTTACTGAAGAAGGCACTGGAAGTAAAGTCTCCAAAGCCGAAGATGCGGTTGAGGATTCCTCAAAGCGTGAAGAAGCCACACCATCAAGCATTCTCGAGAAAGGGATCATTTACTTCTTCTTCCGAGGTCGCGTTGGCATTAATGAGCCCACCGACGTCAATGACATCGCAAGAAGCTACATCGTTCTGCGCCCTGTGCCTCACGGCGCGAAACTTGGCGATGGTCCGATCGGTGATGCCGGAAATAATCGCATGCTGGCGCTGCCAAAGAAAGTTCTCCCTGTCAGCCCAAAGGATAGATTCATGACCTTCGTCGAAAAAGCGAACATCAGCATGGACGACATCAAGAGCCAGCTATCGTCTTCTGACTACGCTACCAAAACAGCTGGCGCCCGTCATACCCCTGCCGCAACTCCCATTGGCGAGGGTGTCTATGCTGTCACCCAGACAGGTCGCGAAACTCACTTAGCCTACATCTTGACCATCCCCTCCGAGCTCGGCGAAATACAGCAGGGAGTGGGGCTCAGGCAGCGTGGCAGCTATATCACGAGCGCCAAGAATCCTCAGTCTTCTGGCCCAGCAAATGCGAACTTGCCACAAGGGGCGGAGTATCCCAAAGAGTACGTTTTGCGCAGCCGGTCACTGAAAAGTCATCTACTGACCTCTTGCAGAATTCTTGACGAGTTCCACGGCCGAGGCTGGATGCCACTCCAACCCAAACTTCTCAACTACGAAAATACGCAGTTCTTGCTCATTGGGCACAATGACGACGCCTTGGAGAAAGCAGCCAAGCCTCAGGATGGGGAGGAGGAGAAGCCAGAGAAGGAGACGCCGCTGGAGGAGATGGAGACTTTGGAGCACGAGGATGAGATTCGCGTTGAGCATCTGAAGGGTGAGTAAAAAGTATGACCCTTGGAAAAGTGTTGCAAGCTAACGGTAGGAAGGTGATGATTCCGTCTTCACAGATTTGGGACTCAGCGCAAAGGAATATCCCAAGCTACAGACGACATGGTAATGGTAATTGGTATGGTTGTTCAATGATGGAGGGATTTGTGAATGGCTTCACGGAGTACATACGGAGGCAAAAAAGTATCAGCGATAGTATGAAAAGTGCTGTATATATCCCGTACCACGGCGGCGATCTCAATATAGCAAGAAGAATCAAAACAATTCAAGAGCAAACTATTTGAGAGGCAATCGGTTTCATCAACGAGACATGAATCATGAGTCCTGTCCATTGCAAAATGCCAGAAAGTAGTGGGTGCCAGTCGGCACTTATGGCTTGGCGCTCGCCTCGACTTCGGAAGTTCACATCACGGTAATTCTTGAATAACAACACTACCTTCAAACAAACAAACATCCTCACTACTTCTCATAGTCACCAAGTGATAGTAAGCAAAGCTCTCAAGAACAGATAAAGCCATTTACAGATCCCCCAACGAATCCACCCTGCCGCCTCCTCTTTCCTGAAACAGCTTGCGAGCAACCGACTCGGCTCCTCGGTACCACAACCTACATTCGTCACCTTGGGTCGCCTCCTGCAGGTGAGAGCGCTTTGATTCACAGTGACGGACGTATCAATTCAGTTATTCACTCTCTGGTTCAAGGTGCCATATCTCCATGCGCACCGGACCTGCCCTTACCGCTTTACCCTCCCTGACTTGTTGACTTTCACGCTTTGACACCCAACTTCTCACGTGTCCACCACGAGTGCCTCCGCAGTCTTGAACATTGGCATCAAAAGTCTGCCCTCACCGCAACATAACACATCACAGCCTGATTACAATGGCTTCAGCGCTGGTGGATCAAGCCGCCAAGATGAAAATCGGGTGAGTTACTTATTGGGAGCTTCAAAACAATAAGGCAACCTACTCATGCATGTTGTATAGTGACAGTACTTCGGCTAAGAGTGAGACTGAGAAGCCCAAGGCTCCTGGCAGAGACACTCGACCACAGACTGAGGTGCATGGCACCATGCTCTTGTCAGGATACCAGAGCTGATTGTTGGTTTAGGATGTCACGGCCACCAAGGGCCTTGAGTTCGAAGATTTCGTTCTCAAGCGAGACCTTCTCAAAGGAATCCACGCGGCAGGATTTGAAAAGCCTTCACCCATCCAAGAAGAAACCATACCCGTCGCCTTAACAGGGCGAGATATATTGGCAAGAGCAAAGAACGGCACAGGCAAGACTGCTGCGTTCATAATACCCACACTAGAGAAGATCGAGCCGGAAAAGCAGAAGACCCAGGCTTTGATCATCGTGCCCACAAGGGAGCTTGCTCTACAGACATCACAAGTTTGCAAAACCTTGGGCCAGCATCTGGGCATCAATGTCATGGTCACGACCGGTGGCACCGGTCTCAAAGACGACATCATTCGCCTGCACGAAACGGTTCACATTATTGTTGGCACTCCTGGCCGGATAGCAGATCTTGCGAGAAAGGAGGTCGTCAAACTTGACGAATGTACTACATTTGTCATGGACGAAGCCGACAAGCTTCTCTCTCCGGAATTTACGCCCACAATTGAACAACTGCTCGGTTTTCACCCTAAAGAGCGCCAAGTCATGCTTTTCAGCGCCACCTTCCCAATAATAGTCAAATCATTCAAAGTAAGTATAACCATCCAATGTCTACGCCGAATGCTTACAGTCTCCAGGATAAACATATGACTAACCCGTACGAAATCAACTTGATGGACGAGCTCACTCTGCGAGGTATAACGCAGTACTACTGCTTCGTAGAAGAGAAACAGAAAGTCCACTGTCTCAATACCCTCTTCTCCAAACTCCAGATCAATCAGTCCATCATTTTCTGCAACTCCACAAATCGAGTGGAGCTGCTTGCGAAGAAGATAACCGAACTTGGATACTCCTGCTTCTATTCTCACGCTAAGATGCTGCAACACAATCGTAACCGCGTGTTTCATGACTTCCGGAACGGTGTATGCCGCAATCTCGTTTGCTCTGATCTTCTTACCCGCGGTATCGACATTCAGGCTGTTAATGTAGTCATCAATTTTGATTTCCCAAAGAATGCGGAGACCTACCTCCATCGTATTGGTCGATCTGGACGTTTCGGACATTTGGGAGTGGCGATCAACCTGATCAATTGGGATGATCGCTTCAACCTCTACAAAATTGAGCAGGAGCTCGGTACCGAGATTGCAGCCATCCCACAATCCATTGACAAGAAGCTCTACGCTTACGATTCTCCCGAAAACATCCCTCGCCCAGCATCAAACCTTGGGTCCGAACGTCAGGCATCTGGCCAAGGCCAACAAGGTGGACCCAACCAGCGACCCAATCGTGGCCTTAGCAATTCCAATGGAAGCTACTCTGGCCAAGGACGCAATCAAGCCAACGGACGTGGACCTCAACAAACCAACGGGACCAACTATCAGAACAACTCACGTTACCCGGGTCAATCGAATGGAGGCCAGAGAGGTTCTTCCAGAGGATACCCTCAACAAAGCCGACAGACTAGCTCTACACCTCAATAGAGGGGTTGAGCTTTCTGCTTCGTTCGGTTTTCGCCCTTTCCATTGCTTCTCGGATTCCCATTATTGACCTTGACCAACTTCGACTACTTAAATGCGACTTGATGACGGGAATACGACCTTCTACTCTGTACATATTTTTACGGTAATTCGACTTATGCGCCCCGGATCTCGCGAGTTCGGTTTTCGTTGCGGTGTCCTGGGAGAGCTTAGAGACGGTGTACAAAAAGGCGTTCACTCCTACAGCATCATTCATGGCGTTTTCGTGGGATCATCCCCATGGTTCTGCAATCTAGCTCCTTTCCGGACTGAGCTCTCGGTCCTAGTCCTTTGCTCGATGCTGCTGTTCGTCGGCGGTCTCACTAGATCAAAAGTTGCAACTACGACCACGACATTGCAATACTCACACTTCCCTCACACTCTCGTCACACACCAAGCTACCAAGGCACACATGTCCCCGCCTTTCAACACACCTTTAGACCCATTAAAATCAGCTCACGATAATCTAAGCTTCTACAATACCATCAACCTAGCAACCTCCTGTCGTTCTTTTCCCATCGAGGCGCTCCCTTTGAGGCTTTCAACATCTAGCCATGCCTCTGTGTCAGAGCAGTGATCTGGTTCATCACTGCCTGGATATCAACTCCGTCTACCGTCTACTCTGCTCCCTTGAGAGGGTTGATGGCCGTACCTGACGACTCCTGCCGATCCTCTAGTAGCACAACACTACTCCATCAATGCCGAACAGGCATCAAGAGAAAATGCCAGGATAGCACTAGAAAATCTCCCCAAAAACAAAGTAAGAGGCAAAAGGTCTGCCAATGACCGATGCAGACCTGATAGTCATAGCCCGAGTCTTGTTTAGCTGTAGCTGAATGAAATACAAACTACCCTCTGAAACAATTCTCACGTATTTCATGCCTGTGTATCTACAATCCCTTCCAATGAGGTCGATTTCCATCAATGATTGCAATCCTAAGGGACCCGATCTGGTCAAAGCCTTGGTGGAATGCCCCGTTTGCCCCTGTAAGACCATTAAAGCTCCCTTTGCCTCAGAAATACGCACCCAGCTTTCAGCGCCTTCGCTTCAACATACACCGAACTAGCTTTCGTTCTCCCTCTCCATCTCTACCTATTCAATCCTTCGGCGCGTCCGTCAGAGGCACATACATGACCCCAAACGACTTCTCCCGCACCACACTCCCATCCTCCTTCTTGTCGATGACCCAAATATACTGCATGCCCTCCCCCACGGGGATGAACAACCGACCCGGCGCCCTCAACTGCTCCACCAGCACCTCGTGCGCCTCCTTCGCCGCCGCCCCGACGTGGATCGCATCCCACCCCCCCTCGCCCCCATCCAACCCCAGCCTCCCGTCCGCCTTCACGAACCGCACCTTCCCCGCCTCGAGCATCTCCCTGCCTTCCTTGCCCTTCGACATGTTTTTGTGGGCGAGGTCGACGAGGCCCTGGATGTGGTCCACGCCCACGACGGTTCCGGACGGGCCGACCAGGTTGGCGAGGACGGCGGTCAGGTAGCCGGAGCCGGAGCCGATGTCGAGGACGCGGGCGTCGGGGCGGAGGTAGGGGAGGAGGGATTCCGCGGCCGAGGCGTGCATGTGCGGGGCGGAGATTGTGGCGCCGAAGCCGATGGTCTGGGGCGAGTCGTGGTATGGGGTGGCGGGGGCGTAGTGAGCGCGGTCGACCTGGGAGAGCGGTGTCAACTAGTGGTTTCCGTGGATCATGAGGGCGGTTGGGAGTGAGGGGTTCCGGTAGCTAGGGCGCGGATTGGAAGAAGTTGGGGCGTACAGCAAGCATAGCATTCCTGACACGTTCGGATTTGATGAGACCGTTGCTTGTGAGGTTCTTAATCAGAGCTGCATTCGTTGAGCCGGTTGACATCCACGCCATGATTTTCGGATTTGCAGGAGGGTTGGGAATATGATTGGAAGCAAAGTAGAGGCAGAACAGTAGGGCAATGAGGGGCAGAAGGTGGTCAGCAAGAGGAATTTCCAGTGTGGCTGTTGAAGTGAGATTTTCCAGCTCAATTTTGTGGTATGTCAAAGTTGTTCTGGGAAGTTGCAATGGTAAAGTATGACAAAATGTTCCGGAAGCTAGCGGAATGAGCTCCGCGCCCAACTGAATAGCTTACGCCGCTGGACAGGACGCATTCAAGCTGCATTATATGTATTGTCGTTCGGGATCCAGTCTATCTAGTCCCTCCATTGTTTTCTCATACCTACAATTGTAAGCAATTGCCGATCAAGAAGCGAGAGGAGAGCATACATGGTGAAAACAATGCCTCCGCTCAATATTAGCCTTGCCAGCCGCGGAACTGCTCCTGACCAGAGGGTGAAAAAGCCTTCGTTCTTCACAATTTTGGTTGCACACTCAAAGCTGTTTTTGTACTCCTTCCGCGCATCAATCGATTGCATTCTGTCCAATGTTTAGCTTTTGGCAATTCCTGGGAATAAATGGATGACGGCCGTACCGTGTCTTGATAGTATCTAGAGGTTGGGTGACATATCTGAGTAGTATCAGTATTGAGCGTTTTGCAGCAATCCTTGGCCTCTTACACAGTGATTAAACCTGCCAACCCACCTATGGCGAAGGTGCTCACCGTGCCGAGCTTCTCCCCCGGCGCAACGTAGCCTTGAGCAAATTGCTTTATGGTTGTATAGGTTCCGAACCTTGTTGCCGAATTCGCTGCTTGCCGTGCGGTGGTCGGTACGAAACCTTGGAAGAACCCCCTTATACCTCGTTCCCGAAATATTATGCCTGAACCATGCAGAAAGCCACGCATGCGGGGGTTGGCTGACTTCCGGTCATCGATTCTGTTCAGATGGTGCACGTCAGCTTCGGAGAGCGCCTCTGCGTATTCCAGCTAAGACGCACAGTGTAGTTTTTATACTTTCAAATGGCGTGACAGCGAACAAGGATTCTGTTATGCCAGCGCCAAAGCCTGCTATTACTGTCCTCGGCCCAGATATCTTGCCAAATTCATCTTGCAACAATGTCTTATATGTATCGAAGGCCACGAAGCCTAGCAACATCTTAGTTGGTGGTCCGCCTATTCCCAGGAGCAAAGCCCATACGTATTCCAGCTTTGAGAGAATTTCCGATGATCAAGGTCGTACATCCTGCATACCATGCCTTCCCGAATGGAGGCCATCCAAGTTTCTGCAAGTCTGGTAGACGTCGGTTGAGTTGAGTTCGCGTCTTTGCGACTGTAGGAAACTGTCAATCGGGCTTCGCTGGTACAGATTTTCGAGACGTACATTCGGCTGGGTATGTGATAGCTATTGGATTGTAAACGTTAGCTGTAGAAACAGGACGCAGCGTTCATAACATACCAATTTCCACAGCTCCGGCCGTGGAGCCAGCAATTATAGAACGCAGTGCACTCGGCTGAGCATTGTCAGCTCGTGGGTCTATGCAAATCATAACCAAGTAACTAGACCGACCTTTGCTTTGTTATCTGAACTTGAAGTTGCCATTGAAGAAGTAGTGAAAGATGAGCTCGTGAGGATTGAAGATCGGCGTGTCGGGATTGTCGTCGCGCCAAGCTGCGGCTCTCTAGCGCCAAAATTTCTCGAGAGCGTCTTCCAAAAATCTCATCTGCAATCCTCACGATTGAATCCACGTCCACAGAACAAGAAATGTTGTCTCTTAGAAGCATATCCCGAGCTCTTCCTCGATCTCTACCCAGGTTAGGCGCATCAAGCCAGCCGAGATTCCTTTCTACCGTCCACCGTACCTCGTTACTCCAGCAGACATGCAAAGCAGCTTCCATACCCAGATATGCCGCGTTCTCGACTTCAAGAGCGGCGCGAGAGAAGGAGGGTCAGGGTATGATGGACTACACTCATACTCACGTCATAGAAGCTTACGAGAGATCTAGTGGACCAAGAGCTTTCAGCAAAGATCGAGTCCGAGCTGCAAATGGAGAAGGAGATGAGAGATTCTGAAAAGCTACCATCAAGTCTCCAGGACTATCTCGACAGCAGCTCCTTTGAAGTCAGTCTGCCCAATCTTCTACTCATCCAGCCTAGACTAAAGATCCATAGCTTCACGACACCCCAGGCCAAGAAGAAGTCGTCCTGACCCGCAAATTTGGCGACGAATCGTAAGTCCCACCCACCTTGCCGTCTCTCAACACTCCCCCATCTAACACCCCTCCTTCTCCCCCCAGCCTCCGCGTATCCTTCTCCATCGCCGACTTGAACGCCATGGACCAAGACCCCGACGATTACCGCCGAGACCCCAACGACCCCAGCCAAGACCCAGCCCTCTACGACGAAGACGACGGCTCGATCCCTGTCGAATCCGCTCAATCCGGTGGCGCCAACACCAAAGGCGCCATAAACGCCGGCCGCACAAAGGGCGGCAACTTCAACATCGCACCCGAAGACCGGGTCGCCCCTGGCGACCGCGAGGACCTCGCCGACGACGAGTCCGCGCCTCCCAACGAGGAAGATGAACCTACCTTCCCGGTCAGGGTAAATGTCATGATTGAGAAGGTGGGCCACGGGACGTTGCAGATGGAGACGACGGCGCAGGATGGCGAGATCGTGATTGACAATGTTTACTACTTCAAGGATGCCGAGTTGGCGGACGCGAAGACGGCGGAGCTGGATTGGAAGAGGAGGAATCTGTACGAGGGCCCGCCGTTTGGCAACCTGGATGAGGATCTGCAGGTCTTGTTGGAGAGGTATCTGGACGAGAGGGGGGTAAATACTGCGCTGGCGTTGTGGGTGCCCGAGTACATTGACTTCAAGGAGCAGAGGGAGTACCTCAATTGGCTGTCAAGTAAGTCTCTATCCATCTTCCTTCCGATACCGCGGCCGCTGACGTGTTTGTACAGGCGTGAAATCATTCGTGGATGCATAGGTGTAGTACAGTACAGCTTAGCAACTTGTTTCAGTAGCGAGTTTCCCTTCTATCTTGTACCTCACCGAGCCTTTTCCACTCTAAGCGAACGAGAAAAACACCGAGTCGTTACTTTAATTACATCTACCGACCTCGCCATGAGACTGTGTTGACCAACCTGCGTTGCCAGTTCGTATATCTTCGTTTCATCATGCCTTGATAAATCAGGCCCCCCAAACAATAAAAACCCCCTCATCTGTCCCAAACCCACCCCATCCCCACTCACAGCTTACTCGAGCAACACACCGTCCCATCCCCACTCACAGCTTACTCGAGCAACACACCGTCCCATCCCCCCTCACAGCTTACTCGAGCAACACACCGCCCCGTCCCCACTCACAGCTTACTCGAGCAACACACCGCCCCGTCCTCCCCGACCCTGCCCTCCACCGCCGGCTGCCGGTGCCGCTCGGCGACGAGGGTGCTGCGGTTGAACGCCTGGGTGCTGGGCGGGACGTCGAGGGCGGGGTTGGCGGGGAAGAAGTTGACGGGCTTGAACGAGACGCGGATGACCTCGCAGGGCATGACGGGGAAGTCCTCGGCGCGGGTGACGTGCTGCAGGCCGAACTGGAGCCAGAGGACGATGTCGGCGTCGACGACGGCGTCGCGGCGGGCGGCCCAGGCGCGCACCCCGGCCCCGCCGCGCGACTGGTTCGTGTAGCGGCCGCCGGCGTAGAGCTCGCCGTCGCGGTACCGGGTGACGTAGACGTTGTGGTCGGCGAACTCGGCGCGCTTGTGGTGGAAGGAGTCCGGGTGGGCGAGCATCTTCTGGAAGCCGGGGACGTGGATGCGGTAGCCGACGGCCTTGCCGTTGACGGGGTTGCGGGAGGCCGCGTTGAGGACCTTGAAGGTGCGGGCGGCGTCGTAGTCGGTGTCGAGGCCGGCGGACTCGGGGACGGTGGTCTCGGAGACGGTGTAGCCGACGCCGTGGGGGTTGAAGGCGGAGACGGGCATGGGGTGGATTTCGTCGCAGACGAGGCGGTTGGCGTGGCCGTCGATGGCGGGGTCCACGCGGAGGGAGAAGATGTGTTGGTGGTGGACGGCGAGGACGCCGGGGTGGACGATGGTGCCCCACGGAACTTCGACGCCTTCGTCGATGGGTTGGGTGCTGATGATGCCGGTCGCCCTGACCTCGTAGGTCATCTCGCCGGCTTGGTTGAACATGAAGGCCATGATGTATTCATAGTTGGCGACCGTGATGATGGATTGGACGACGAGTTCCCGACTTCGGACAACAGCTGCCCGGCCGGTTCGGTAGTTGGTGTGCTTCCAGCCAATGCCGGCGTCTTGCTCGTGGACACAGACTACATTTTCCATGGGCATTGGCTCTCCGTGCGCGGTTGCCAAGACAGCGCTTAGATAGTGGATGGAGCCTAGGCAGTCGCAGCCAAGTTTCAAATTGTTCGCCATGGCGCCCGCGCCGGCGTCGCCGAGATCGAAGGCCGCTTTCTTATGGAATGGCGCCCGAGGATCAGCATAAGGGATGTTCATGTCAGACAGTGCCAGGCGGTAGAATAGACTCCGGCCAGCATATCGCACCTGCAACATTGAGCATTGGCTTACTCTCTCAAGTCAAATCGAGCTTACATCGTAGAGCACCACACCCTCCCTCTGGTTGTAGCCCACTCGAAACGACCATTTTTGCCATTCAATGATCTGTCCGGTCTCCCCAACTTTAGTGACTTTAAAGCTGGTACCTTCTGGCTGCACCACATTCAATGGCTTCAAGTCGGTCCTCAACTTTTGATGCTCGGGAGTGTACTCGTTCGGTGGCGGTACCCAAAGAGCCTGGGCCTCCTTGGTTGCATGATCAGCGCCTGTAGGGCACATGTCAATGCGAATGACCTTGAGGTCTACACAGTCCACGACCGGAGAGATAGCGAGTGGAAACGCATAATGGTTCGAGTCCATGTTTGACGGGTCGTTTGGATCACGCATGTACAGAAAGCATTGGTACATTCGGCGGTCGTCGTTGATACCGTCGGATCCTAGAAAAGTAAGCCACCCCACGAGTTCTAGTACATTGAGCGAGAATACCGTAAATCCAAGGATCGCTGATGACGGCCGTTCCCTCCGGCAGACCCAGTTTGGCTATCTCAGCCTTTACTCCTTCATCCTCCAATGCGATCTTCTCGACCAGCAAGATCTCCTCCCAGTCGCCAGGACCATGGACATTGGGGCCCAGTCGTACATTGCTCTCTACCCGCTGCTGGGAAAGGTTGACTATGGCTTCGTGAAATTTGTCCTGATGCGGCGTTAGTCCCTGGTCCAACAACACATAGGCAAGCCCTCTCTCCAAGTCCGGCTCAGCTCACAGTGTTGCGTAGATAGTAGCAAACGAAAATCTTTCTATCGATCTGTGGTAATCTGCCTCGGCTATGCTCAGCGTCCAGGTAGGGCACCAAGTGAGCTTTCTCGGGTTCCTCGAGAGTGATGACTTTGAAAGCGAAGTCTGTGTTGGCTGGGTACAAGCTTCTGATTAGATGTGCAGATTGTTTGATTTCCGCAGCTGTTACTGGGCAGAGAGGATGAGCAGGAATCTGTTTCCCTGCTGCTGCCGATGGGGCATATGACATTTGATCTGCCGACATGATGGCAATGAGTTCACCGGGGTTTGTTGCAATTAGGCAAGTTGCAAGCGAAGTAGAAGGAAAAGCAGTATATATATCGAGGTGAACAGAAAGGTAGGTCCTTTTCAAAGGGTGGAAAGATAGATATATAGATACACAACGGTTGGTCCAGGGTAGCAGCGGAAGCGAATTCAGACAAGCAAACACGCAAAAAAGCCAACTAGAAGAGACAAAACAGACCAGACAGATTTTGTCTCCAGTCTCCAGGTTGATCGATGATCGATGCACAGCACGTAACGTTCGTCCCAGACATCGTCGGACCCCACTCACGCATATGCCTACCCTTTCAAGCAAAGCGTAACCTTTCAGGATGAAAGGTTAAGATAGGATGGGGTTTATTGGGGGGAAAAGCAAGAAAAGAAAAGAAAGGAAAGAGTACATTAATTGGTAAAGTAGGTAAGGTAGAAGATAAGCAAGAGGGGTAAAAAGAGGGAGGACTAAGGCAAAGTAAAGTAAAGTAGGGAGGAAGTAGGGAATGGGAACTGTGGGGCGATCAGACTCTGATCAGAGGAAGCGAGAGGGTACTATATTCACGCCATTATTCTCATGCCGCTCGACTAATCCGGCATCTCGGCGACATATTTCTCCAGATAATGCCAAGAGCTGAGGTAGTGCGCTTGACTCCTTTCGGCAGGTCGTTCCGACTATCACACTTCGCCAGTTCCATTTCCCATTACTGTACCTTAATCATGGCCACGGAGAGGTTCAAAGTAATCACTCATCTCCCACCTTTGCTGATCATTAAAGTAGGTAATATGGAGTGAAATCGGGTGTGTTGGGTCCTGGCATCATCTCGTCAGAATTACCTGGAAGTGGGCAAAAGGATGCGGTCAGATACGAGTACTCTTCGTATCCCTGCAAACAACTAGATGATGCAAAGCATTCCGCAGTCTCGGGTAGCACTTTGGTAGGAGGATCGAGCAAAAGTCATGCATAGAGGGGAAGATTAGGCGTGCGAGAATGCCGAAGAATCCTCAGAGGTGGAAGCTGAAGATGTCAACGGTCTACCATCGAGCAAGTTGTTAAAGAGGGGAAAAAAACAATCCAATCCTAAAGGCTTCCTTTTGCTTCCATTGGGACACACTTTTGTTGTGCGTATCAATCCAACTGACTTGACTGTTAATCTTAAGGAAGTCAGAAATAACAATGGCTGTTGGAACTTGAACAATGATTGATAGGGACGCTAATTTAGGGCTCGTTTGATTACAATTCCCACCTTTCCTGCCAGAGTCTCTTACGCTAACCTCGTTTGGATTACAACTTGCTCGCAATGATGGAAGACGCAAGGTGCCGACTCTTCCGCCATGATCAGAGTAATATATGCGCGCTGGGAAAGGGTGGGAGATGCCTATCAAGTATGCAACTTAATAAGATGGAGAATTTTCTATTCCCTCATAGTGCGAGTGTAAGTACTGTTACTTTAACTTTCTTGCTTGGCAAGGAACTTCCCTGAGATATTGATCCCGATATCCTGTACATGCAAAGATATCAGACACTTTCCTTTGAACGCATATCAAATCCCACAAAAACCCACATCCATCACGCCAACCAACCCGTCGCTTCCACCACCAACAGCCGTGGCTAACCCAAACATGCAGGCAGACCAGAAACGTGCCAGCCGCAGAGGCAGCCCTCGAGCACGAGCTCTCGCTGAATGATAACGACCCGCCTTGCTGCCGAGCACGTGCACGTGCACGTCTGTTCGACATCCTATGAAGCCAGATACTTTCAAACCTCTCGCCGATGCACAAGTCCAAGCTAAATCAACACAACGGCATGACAGCAGAGCAGCCGAAGGCTTTACGATGGCGCTTTCGCGTCCAGGAACCCTTTTGATTCGCCTCCGAGGCTTTAATGGATACAGACTTACTCAAGCCGGAGACTCTCCATTCGCCTGTCACGTGGAACCAGACCTCGGAAGAGATCGAAGGGATCGCTCCGATTCCGGAGAAGCTTTGCAACGATTCAGCAATACGGCAGCGTGGACACGGCTCTCGAGAATCCCTTTCGAGCTTCCGGTGTCGTGGTTTGCGAGTCTGATCCATCGCTGCTGCACGGACGTGCGCGAGACTTCTCTCGGTCATCCCGTCACGACGCGGACCTTGGGGGAGACTTGACGGATCCTACGCCGACGACGTTAAGTCGGTGGTCAGGGATTTCAGTGGTCATAAGATCCAAGAAAGCGTGGACCCGGCGGAGAAGCTTCCCGGGTAAGGATCCCGGCTCCCGCAAACGTTCACCGCGGACGTGAGTCCGTGTGCCCAGAACCGGGATCAGAGAAGATTCCCAGATGCTGCGGGTCTACGAGGGAGTTTTTTTTGGTACGGGATCATGGGATAACTGCTCCGATAACAAATTTGGGCGTTCTCGGAGAAGAGGGCACGCAGGAAGGATAGCTCAGCTTATTCTCCATATCTGAAACCAGCAACTTCATAAAGACCGACCAGATAAAACCCACACGTACATGAATGTGGAGAAAAGAAAACAAACCAACCGAACCCCCCGTAACCCCAGCACCACCATCCCCCAACCGAATCAAAACGCCAAAAAGACTCCCCCGCACCCGTACCACCCACCCGCAAAGATCCCACCCCCCATCCCCATCCCCATCCCCTACCAAACTACACCAAAACCACGATCCAAATCGGCTCCCCCCCACCCCTCCCCTGCCTCCACCCGACCTCCCCCAACTCCCTCCCCGCATCCGCCCCCCCCCGCGTGACCGACAACCCGGCCACGAACCTGCCGTCGCCCAGCTCGAGCATCTGGGTGACGCCGACGCCGTCCCCCTCTGGGGCGCCGAGGGCGCGGATGAGGTCCCGGACGCGGGTCCGGGAGGGGATTTTGTGGCGGGTGAAGGCGAAGGGGCGGGGGCGGGGGTCGTCGCAGGGGCGGGTGCCGTCGCCGACGAAGTGGATGGTCGTGTGCTCGCCGGGGGGGAGGAGGTAGGACCAGCCGGCGCCGTGGAGGAGGTGGCCGTCGAGGTACTGGCCCGGTGGCTCGTACGGTGGGGCCGGGGGGGGGGGACCCGGGTGCAGGGTTGGATGGTACGGGGGGGGCCCGCGGCGGGTTCCTGGATGGGGGCTCAGCGTTCGTGGGGGGTGGGCGTTGTCTTGCGGTCCGGAGTAGGGAGGTGGGGGACCGTAGCCGTTGCGGAAGGGGTGGTGGGCGGGGTCGGGTCCGGATGGGGGGTTCGCTAGCGAGGCCAACGTTCTGCCTGGAGGGACACCGCCGTTGGGGACGTTGCCGCTCAAGGTGAAGTATCTGGTTTCTTCGGGCATGTTGATGGTGATGAGGAGGGTGTGGAGAAAGATGTCCAGGAGAGAAGGGGATGGAAGTAAGTAGGTACTGTTGTACAAGAAGCGGGGTCGGAACGGTGATGATGTACTCTTGGCTGATGGATCGTAGATTGTGTGGGCTGATCTTGAGGAGTGCTTTGGAGGAGGAGGAGAAGAGCAGAGGTGTGGAGGAGATAGATATATATACCAGAGCACGGCGGCGAGTCACAGCGAATGCAGTGCTCCAAACGATTGGACAGGCACAAGCAAATCCTCTCACCCATGCTTTGATATATCATTGGGTGGAAGGATTTTGTGAGCTCCCGTGATGAAACAGACGGTCATCAAGTGTTAACACATTTTTAGAAATGGCGTCAAATTTGAGAAATGGTTCGCTCCAGATAGTGGAAAAGTTCGGAAGACATGAAGTAAGGTAACCCAATATTGTAGGTAGATGAAACGCTTGAGATCAGTGACCAGTTGGCGGCTTCATTATCCTTCGCCGTTCTCAGTTTTACCTCAAGTGAGTAATGACGCACATCAACCTACTTTACTCTATTCGCTGTGGGAAGCGCCACGCAATTCTTGGGACTGCCGTAGCCGCCTGTTGCAAGGCAGCAAGAATAAAGTAAAGTCGTGAGGCGGCAGTCAACTAAGTTAGCCTCCAGCAATAACAGCTAACCCGTCGTAAATCTTCCTCTTGACTGCATAGAAAGACCCCTCCAAAGTCCGGGTCCGTAGCTCTGGGAGACTCAGACCGCCACCCTCGACCTCTACTTTCCCAGGGCCGGACTTACGCACTGCAACAAGTCCATCAATCAGGAGCGTTCCTTCGCCGCGGAATTCGGCCGTGTGTCCTGTGGATTGCAAGATCTTTCGGAGGTCTGCCAGTCGCAGGTCGCCCACATGTAGGGGCTGGGCGACAGAGCGCGTAGCAGCCACCAGACTCGCAGGAAGGACATTTAGCGTAGGTGCAAGCTCGGGTGCCTTCTCCGACGCTGATGCAACGTCATCGAGCTTCGACTCCTCCTTCTCGTCGACGAGCAGCTTTAGCTTCTTCCTGCTGCTAGGATCCGCTACTGCTTCATCAAGTGTGGTGGCGGCCAAATGACCCATCAGGGTGACAACGCTTCGGCCTCTCACGTTCTGCCAGTGGAGGCGTCGAACAAGAGCTTCGCTAAGCTTGACAGTCCAGGCATTAGTATCTACACTCGCATCGATGGTCTGGCCATTAGATGGTGTAAAGACAAAGTCGACGTTCTTGCCGCTATCGTCTACCGCTTCATTCTTGACCTTCTGTCGGCTGTCATCCGCAAGGAATCTTGTCTCGGAAGCGTTTCCGGAAACGAGTATGAGCTTTTTGGGCTGTATGAGAGGGATAAGGTTTGATAAACTTCGCTGGTCGTGAAGTCCTGCAAAGTCAACGTATGCGATTCTCAGATTTGCTTCGACGGATTGACTTTTGAATATGATCTTGGAAGGTCCGGCTGCAAGCTCTTCTGGTTCACCCTCCGACTCGCCAAGCGAGTCTTCTTCCTCGTTTCCACCGCGACCGTTGATGATGGAGGCACCGGTGCCGTTAGCCAGCGCTTCATTGCCAGAAGGCATTGCTGGTTGCCGTCTTTTGTTCGGTCCATCGGCCTGTCGTCCGCTGTCACCTTGCAACCCCGAGTCCTGCCATTTTCGCTTCTGGCCGAAACCTTCCTGCTTTCGAGGTCCATGGTCTCGTATATCTTGGCCGTCAGTTTCATCCCGTTCCTCAGCCCGGAGGTAGTCTTCAGGCCTGATCAGATCGCCAAAGTCATCACCGCGCCGCCGCTTGTTGACGAAAGGGAACATCTGCTCTCTTCCTTTCTTGCCGCGTACGTCGTAGTCGTACACGCCTGGCTGACGCAGCAGTACGTTCACGCCCAGTACCTCCTTTCCCAGCTCTGTTTTGTTGCGATTGAAGCGCGCAGTCTTGGCGGAGGTATTAAGGGCTTTCCCTTGACGCTCTGGATCCGATTCTTCCGAGGAGGAAGAGCTTGTGGATGATGTCTCCTCAACGGCATCAGCTGAGGCCTCCAGATCCGTCCCGTTGCTCAATCGTGAGAAACTTTGCGATTGTCTCTGTGATGCAAGATACTGCTGGTAGATCAATAATTCCTTTCCTTCTAAAGGCACGCCTTGAGCATCCTTGAAGTAAAGATTTCGGCCGCCTGCGTAGACTTGTTCAATGTTCTGGCCATCTTGTCCTGTCTCCATGGCCACACCGTCTCTCCGCTCATGATACCACTTCGATAGCGTACTTCTCAGACCATCCTTGAGCTCATGCTCGCTGCTCTCGTTGCCATAGTCTTCAGTAAGAATGATTAGATTTGTGGGATCTGATGCGATACGCTGTAAGATCTCTTTCGAGAAGCCCCATTCGAGCGAGCTATCGCTGGCAAGAATGACTCTAGGGGCCTTAGTCGACATCATCTTCTCGATGCGCTTACGGTGCTCGAGAAGCTTCAAATACTTGAAATCGAAAGGAGTACTTGATTTGCCTGATGGGTGGCCTGCAGGGTCCTGATTCGGCGTTTGCTTGCTTGTATTTCGCTTGTGCTGTCGATTGGTATTATTGCCGTGCTCGTTTTCAAGTTCCCGGGCAACACCCTCGTCCATCCACTCAAGCATACTTCGGGCATATCTCATTGTCGCGCCGACATTCCTGCTTGCTAGGTATAGCTTTGTCTTCTTCAAGGGGCTGTCGCTCGTAGTGTCCGAATATTCTTTCCGCCATGCTTGTTCCAGAATGTAGGCCAACTCCAGCACTCTTGCGCTGGTATCTGTCGGAATCAGAACGGTCCCTCCTTTGGCAGCAGCACTCCGTATCATGTCGAGAAGCATCTCATCTCGCTTTTTGCGGCCACCTGCAGTAGCATTCCTCTCTGCTCCTCTCGCACTGCAGATCATAGCCGTGGGCCTGTGAAGCTCTGCAATCACCTCCGCACCTCCGCCACCAGACCCTCCCAGCCACGCGGCACCAGCGAGCACATTCTCTCGAGCTTGATTCCAGTCCACCGCGTAGACAATCGATTCCATACCATGCCGTATGCTCCATATCGTGCCGCCCAGCGTGTGTCCTGCATTGTAAGCGGTAATGGTCAAGTCATTCAGTGGCGGTGAGAAGGGCGACGGTAGAGGTTGGTGAGGTTGAGAGTATTTGAGCGGATGGATGAGGGCGAAGTATGAGGCGATCTCTTCGGACGTAGGTGGTTGTAGAAGTATTTGGGGGAAGCTTTCGGTGCTCGATGACGAGTAGCTGAAAGAGCTGTCTCTGAGAGAGCTTTGGGGTATTATGGTCGAGGCGAGAGGCGTAGAAGAGTAGATGTCTTGTAAAAGCGTGCGGCCCAGAGAGATGACGGGTGCCGTGGCGTAGACGGGTATCTGTGTAAACGACGGTAGATGCTTGCAGCAATGAGCGAAGGCTGCTATATGAGCTGGAGTCGCGTGGGTGAGGAGGATGAGGGATAGTGAAGACACATGTCTATACCAGAGGCTGTCAGTCAACAGCATGTACACGGCATTGATTTTGAAGGGCAGGCACTGAGCTCGAAGAGTTTGATTGTATTTGTTCGTGTACATAGAATACAAGCATTGATACTGTGTCACTCATAGAGCAGAGCGCTGGCTTCGAGAAATCTAATCCCCTTGCAAGTGACCTACCTCTCTAGGTCCTTCAGCTTTGCGACGTCGAAATCTCCATCCCATCCAACATCTATGAGAACCTTTACTCCCCCATCCAGTTCTAACAAAGACTGAGATGCTGGCGAAGTGGACTGAGCTCCCAAAAGAGGCGTGAATTGAATCATGTTGTTTTGTCTTTCATCTACCAAGATCCCTGGATGCTGTGTCACCCCATATCCGCGGACTTCAGCATGGGCTTAAGGTAGGAGATCGGCACAGAGAGATGATGATGGAGTGGCAGGATGAACGAGCGTGTTGTTTTGCGGATCTTGTTGAAGGACTGAATGTTCAGAACTTCAGAAGTTCCATGCAAGAGCTCCTTCTTTCAGCCCCATTTTCTTGGCGCGGAATGAGATCCGAGAGTCCCCTCGGACCTCCCTCACATGTCTATTGAAGATTAATTTTACAAGTAGCTGAGGTAGATAATGTCGATGCATTCGTTGAAGCTTTAAGCAAGTTATAGTACATTGATTCAACAAGTATGCCGTGTAAGCTCTCAATACGTGCACAGCAATACTTCATCCCCTGACACCCATGTGGCTTCCTTTTCCGCCGCGATCAACAGCAAAGGGGCTCAGAAGTTCCCCTTGCTCCACACGAACTCAAAGTCATCTTTAGAGTACTGATTGCGGCTGACACTTATTTGACGTCCGATTAGCGGAGGTCCAGAGAAGAAAATGCCCACCTTCCCTGGAGAACCGTGTAGGTTGCGGATGGACTCGAAGACATTATCCCAATTGGGCCGACCAAACATTGTCGGTGTCCGCAGCCCTGTGACGGCGCTCTGCTTTGCATAGGTATCATCGCTGACGACGTTCGAGGCCGCCTGAGACTGAGCCTTACCAGTGATATACTAGTCGAGTCAGTCATCTATGCCCTTAGCAGTGGGAGAGTTGACTTGCGGTGTGGATTTGGATTTGGCTGTCCATATCTTGCGCCTCGATTGCCCTAAGCAATGACATGAACCATTCGAAGGAGCCAATGTCACGACAAACCCAGAAGAAGTATATCTTTCGGAGAAATGTTTTCTCGTGAGGGTAATTCATTCTGTACCAGATGCTCTTGAGGATTGAAGCGAATGGCATAATCCCTGTCCCAACTCCTATAAGGACTGCAATCTCGTACTGAAAGATGTCTTCCCATGCACCACCAAAAGGTCCATCGATGAACACCCGCGGCAGAGGCCTGCGAATTGTAGGATCCACGTCCAGTATGGCAGCCTTTTGATCAATGCCAATCACCTTGGACGCGAGCATATCCTTTGCTTTCTCTTGGTGCTTGAATTCGCACCCTACTGAGGCAGCTATTGAGCTAGTGAAGTCGCTAGTGCAATGCATGTGGACAGATAAGTAATCCTCCTCAGGAGCGCTGGTAAGCATAAGACGACGGTGTTGCCAAAGGGAGACTTCGGGGCAGCAGAGATAGATGTACTAGGCTAAATATCAGTACAAGAATTGGCAAAGGACATGGTTTACACACCTGCCCAATCTTCATCCGTGTCTTTTCCCTCTTGATCTGGATCTCAACCACGTCGCAAGGGTGCCGAATGACCTTCGATATGTGGGTCTGGTACCTCCCAACAACTTCTTTCCTGATTCTTTCCGCCAGCAGGTAGCCGAACCCCCCGAACATCCACCACTGCCAAATGTGACCGTATCGGGCGCTGCATGTACTGGCACTGCTTGGCCCCTCGTTCACCTTTTCGATACAGTAGGCACCGTGCAGAATCGAAACAACGAAGAAAACAACGAATAGGTGATGGGTGTAATAGAACCATTCGAAGTTTGCAAGCCGAAATCTTTTGAGTGAGGTGACGGCAATGAGACCAAGCGTTATGAGCATGACGTATCCAGACCAGCCCGGTATGGTGCCGAAGTTAACGGCGAGAAAGCCCTTGAAGCCCATGCCATTTTTCACAGCTAGCAGGGCAAAGTTGATCCAATGGCCAATTATATGCACCGAGGCAAAGAAGACCAAGTACCAGCCGACCATTTTGTGAAAAAAGATGCTGATGTCAGGGTGGATGCTAGCACCCAAAGGGGTCCGGTAGAGAATCCAGTTCAGTGTCTGGCACACCGGAAAGATAAGAACGGCGAGATCAAAGTAGAGGACCAAAGCAGCGGCTTTTGCCATGGACGAGGTAATTCCGAAGGTGGACCTGGCAAGGGTAAGATGCTCCTTTGTGTGGGAAGTCCAGAAGCTGTAGGAGAAGATCATGCCGTGGAGGAGTGCGAATGTGGCTACGAGGAGGTATCGGCTACCTGTGACGACCATCCAGTGACCGATTCCTGCTCTCTCCTCTGAAGGGGCTGTCTCTTCAACGGCTACGTCGTTGGACATCAACATCCTGGACAATGGAGGCAGAGTGGACGTCTCTTCCTTCTCGAAGAGGTCACTGCTTGAGTCGGACATGCTACGGTATGGTGCGTGGAAGGCGTCTAAAATTGCAAACAAGAGAACATTCGCTGACGGTAGGCCTCAAGAGTAAGACCAAAGTAACGTTATCTCTCAGAATAGTGGTCAGAAGTAGTATCAAGTGGTGGTGTGCGGATTTGATGAATCAAGACAGATCAGTATTTGCAGTAAAGAAGAATTGGGTGTACATGAAATATTGGAAAGCGCGACTTTTAGACAAATGGGGGAGCTCCGGCACCCACAGAAGTGCACTAAGCCCTCGAGATAGCACCTGCTTCACTGCGTGTATTCCAAGTTTTGGCGTCGTCTATTGTTATCAAGCTTGCCAGCCAAGACTGCAGCGAGTCAGCTTTTGGCTGTCTACGATTATTTTCACAGCACATATCAAATGGAATGGAATCATGCAATGATTATAATTGCTACCTTAGATACACTCCTAACGCTCCACCATGTTTCTCGACCCGCATGCATGTATCACTAAGAAAACCCAGAGATCCGAGCTCATTGCTGCGAGCTACCGCTGAAGCTGTGGACAAAGTAAACACGGAGCCCTTTACTGCTTGTCATTGATGATGCTTTCGTGAGATATGCTTTGGACTAGCCCCCTGACGACTGATCCACATAAAGAGGACATAAGCTAGCCGAGGGCCCAGTGTCGTAGACCGTCACATCCCACTTCCCTGCCGCTGTCTAGATGGCATACTTTCTAGTCCATTCCCTCGCTGTCGATTCGTACCTCGAACGGTCTGTCTTGTAAACATGGGCGATCTCAGGTACCAAAGGATCATCAGGGTTGGGGTCTGTGAGCATGGAGCAGATGGAGAGAAGCACTACGACACACATCATTAGCGCTAAGCTCGCATGTACTGGGACTTCCTCCGCATAAAAACGGGAACAATATGTAGTACCTTTTGAGATGGTCAAAGCTGGACTCCACTGGTCTCGCAGAATGTCGAGGCATATGCTACCGTTGGAGTTGATGTTCGGGTGGTAGATGCGCGTAGTAAAGTTCACCTTCGGAGGCTTGAATGGATAGTCGGTAGGGAAGTGTATGGCGAGGAAGAAGACACCTCCCGAATATGGGCTATCACCCTGCATTTGTTTGTCAGCTCCGACCCCACCACCAATCTGACAACCTCGACCGGAGGCTCAAAGTTGTGTCTACAAGGCACAGCGATAAGGCACGTACGGGTCCCATGATAGTCGCTTGCCAGTGAAACTACAAAGAAGCAGAGAATATTAGCCGATGACCTCTGAGCTATGTGGAGTGTGCAACATGTGCAGCAATCCAACCGCTCAGCTTTTTGATGATGATGAAATCACATACCAGATCATCGCCGATAGGTCCTGCTGAGCATGAAGAGGGAGGGTCACTGTCATTTTCTCGTAAGTATGGACTTCTTCTTGAGGCATGCTGACTGCTTCGGCTTGAGGCTGAGCACAAGGGTGGCCGTGGAGGGGCCCTGGGGGGTTAACATACCGACCGAGATCTGTCAGCTCCTTGTTGATTCTCTTGAGAGCCATGTTCCTCGAGGTGTGTGTATTTGGGGGTGGAAGCGAATGGGAAGTGGATGTGGCAGAGAATGAGGGATGCTATTGTATGTGACGGTGAGTTGTACGGTGCTAGGATCTCGTGGTTGTAAAGTCAGCCAAGCCGTGTGAATTTAGCGTCTATTTCTACGCCACGGGCAGCCCGGGTGCGCGCGGGCGAAAAGTGACGCAAAACTTGGGCCTATAAAAAACGGTTGAGATCGATTTTCGATTCTGGCCTTGGCTCTTATTCGCCACTGCAAGGCGATTGCTAAATGAGTACTTTGCTGGATAGACAGCTGTTTGGAAAGCGCGTCTGCCGAAGTGTTTGAGAATCATGGCATTGGTGAAGAATGCAAAACAGAGTTTTTAGGGCAAGGTCTTGAATGCTATTTTTGTGACTGAGTTTACACTCAAGGGACTCTACGTTTGAGTCGATAGTACTTCACTGGCAGGCGAGATATATCTCCAACATCGTAGCCTATTTAATCATTTGGGGAGGGAGGATACTCACGAACTGAAAATATCTCGAATAGCTCGTGAAAGATACAGTCAATATGGCACAAGAAAAACTGAACCCTCCCAGCACCACTGGTGCCGTATCTTTAAGAGAGCGTCTACATCACTTCACCTGGGCGTACGTTGACGGCATAACCATCCTCTATGTATTACTCATCTGACACTTCTCAGATGGTTTACGCTCACCATGAGCACTGGTGGTATTGCACTCTTGTTTGCAGTTACCCCCCACACGTTTCGTGGCTTGACGACGATTGGGACTATTATTTTCATATTGGATTTGGTCCTCTTTGTCCTTCTCTCAGCTTTCATCCTCGCTCGCTTCATCATGTTCCCTGGCACCTTCACCCAGTCTGTGTATCATCCAACAGAATCTCTCTTCATTCCAGTATGTGTCTCCAATAGCTTTCCGTTACCTCGCTAACAAGATGCTCACTTCGCCCAGACCTTCTTCATCACCATATCAACCATCATATCATGCATACAAAAGTATGGCTATCCCTCCACTGGCCCCTGGCTTGTTGTGACCCTTAGGATCCTTTTCTGGATGTATGTGGCGATTACCTTCACCACCGCAGTCCTCCAGTATCATCTCCTCTTCACAGGCAGACCTTTAACACTACAGTCCAGTACGTCTACGTTTCCGAGCGATCCCTTTCTAATTTGTATCCCAATTGGAGTTCTGAGACGTGCTTCAAGAAAATCGTACTCATCGACTTCGTTTTGTGACTCCTTTTCCATCTCAAAGAAATAGTACTGACTCTGGAAACTTCAAGTGACGCCTGCGTGGATTCTGCCTGTCTTTCCAGTCATGCTATCTGGAGTTGTCGCTTCCGTAATATCAGGATCTCAGCCCCCACATCATGCAATCCCCATCCTCATAGCTGGAACTACCTTCCAAGGCCTTGGGCTATTGATCTCTGTATTCATGTACAGCAATTACGTCGGCAGGCTGATGTCGAATGGCTTGCCGTCCCCTAATACTCGACCCGGAATGTTCATCTCAGTCGGCCCGCCGTCATTTACGGGCCTGGCGTTCATAGGCATGGCGAATGCTGCGATCGAGGTATTTCCGCATACGTTTGTTCTGGGGACCGTTGCGGTACCGACAGCTCAAGTATTAAAGATTGTGGCTGTATTCCTGGCCATTGTTCTCTGGTCCCTTTCGCTGTTCTTTTTCTGCATATCGTTACTCGCTACTCTCGATGGGATAAAACAGATGAGTTTCCATCTCGTAAGTGAAAGGCATCCAAATTTCCCGTATAGAAGCTGAGATATGGTGTTCGCAGACTTGGTGGTCGTTCGTTTTCCCAAACACTGGGTTCATTATTGCGATGATTGAAATCGGGACCGCCATCGATAGCCAAGCCATCTTGTGGATCTCGAGCGTGGCAACGGTGCTGCAGGTCGTCATGTGGTTGCTTGTTTTTGTAGCACATGCGCGCGCTGTGGCAAAGAAGCAGGTCCTCTGGCCTGGAAAGGACGAAGACCATGACTGCTAAAGATGTGTAGACCAGCAGCAACTGCTTCGTAAATGTTTTGTCGCTTGCACTAGAGAAGTTCACCATCACGTCATGCTATGCGGGATCCTTAGATAATGAATACCAATAGTGGAGACGAATCTATCTTACGCTAGAGGCAACAACCATTCGGTCTGCTTTCCTGGGAAACCAAGTATCACTGACGCAGAAGACGAGCCCGTACGCAACGCTTACATAGATGCATACATGGATGGGTATCATAAAAGAATTAAAGATTCAAGAACACCATTCAATCAACGCCCCATAGTCGCCGGAGCTGTTGTCGACATTCCCATGCTAAGGCGGTTAAAGTCAGGAAGAGACGGAAGGCGCCTATCACTCGGCAGCCGTACTCCATCTTTCGAAGGCGTCGGAGACGGTCGTTCCCCGGTCGAAGGCACACCATCCAGGACACTATCGCCAGCTTTCTCATTGTGAACGCTGTCTTCCCTGCTCGCTGCCTCACCATCCTCCTCAACGACTGGTAATGTAGTGCCTCCAGCGCCGCCTCCCCTTTCAGCCGATGGACTGCGTACGGCGCTCAGCGTCCGATCCCGTTTTGGGTCTTCTGTGGCGCCTTCCCTCTCGGTTTTGTGCGCTTGCTTTTCGGCCTTTTCGATGACTTTGTCTGTCGAGTGACGCGAGATAGGGAAGCTTGATTGACGATGGGTATCGATTGAGCCATCGAGAAGGTCACCGCTTTGGGCTTGTCGCTCTTGTTCTTCCTTGGTCATGGTGATGCCGCTTATAAACTTGACAAAACGGTCACCGTAGCCTTCAGGTGGGATTGGAGAGATCAGAGAGCTGTCGCTGGACATGCCTTTCCAGAAATGCTCGGCGCGCTTGACGAAGCCATACTGAGACAGTGTGAGCCGATATTGCACATACGGATAGTGTTTGTAGGACACTTACATGTGTCAAGCAATCGATGATCCCAAGATAGTATATCTCTTCCCCCGGTTGACTATTCTCATGGGTAGCTCTGAACCCGCCGTCATCGCTGTAAAAGATGAAGTTCTTCCTTTCCTCCAGCATCTCGTCCGGCATCTTGCTTGTGCTTTTGTCCATAGGTACGGGCTTCTCCTTTTTGATGATCTGCCGTAGTTGCCTCGCTTGTCTTGCGTTCTCAAGCTTAGACGGAGTCCTGGTAAGCATGTTGACCTGTGGCTCTGCCGTACCATCGCCGCCAGGCTGAAACACTTGGAGCGTCTTATCACGAAGGTTTTCCTCGTTGCCTCTCTCCAAGTCATGTATACCAACCAAAAGGGAATAGTCCATGATCTTCAATCTCTGCAGAAGAGCAACATCGCGCTTCATCTGCTCGATGAAAAGGCTTTTCTTCTCGGGCCCAAATTCGAAATGATTATTTCTTCGCAGCCAATTCAGGTCCTTCAAGGTGGCCCTAGGATTGCGCTCCAGATCTTCTTCTTTGTAATTTCGCCCAATCGTCGATCCTTTGAGATCAAAAGTCTGATGTATGTCTCGGTGTGGAGGAAACAAATTGTTCATTACAACAAAGTGAGTTTTTCTACCATAGGGTATCTTGACTCGGTGAAGGCCGTAAAATTGAGAAATCAACGTGTTGGGATAACGCTCGACATGGGCGTAATATTCTCGCAGTATTTTCCTCAGGAGCTTGTGCTCAGCATGGTGTATGGTTTTGATGATGTACTTGTAGTCCCGAGAGAAATAGAAGAAGCTTCCACTTTTACCGGGAGAGCCCAGCTCCGACAGGATGTACTTGCTTGTGAGTGACATCAAGTAGTCTGCTGGATCGAGCTGGAATTTCGCTCGAAGATGGCGAAACACCCAAGGCGCGTAATCCTTGAACTTGAAGTCGTATTTGGCTGACGGAGTCAACTCGTTACCGGTGCTAAGATTTGTGAGTTCAAGCTTCTCCAATGCTCAGGGCATGTCTTACATATCAAAAGAGAATTTGTGTTTGGCATCGAAGTCTGCGTTTGCAAGCTCTCGATCTATCTTCGCATTTGTCCTCGAGACAGTAAATCGGATACCCGTCAACATGTTGTAAGCGGTGACCCAGTTGACATGGTTCATGTCGACCTTTGTTCCTACGACCACTCTATCGTCTTCCTCTTCCTCCTTCCTTTGCCTTCGGCTGGCTCGTTTTTGCCGGATCGTCTCAGTCCATCGTGCTACGTCGCCGTCGAGAGGTACTTCATCTAAATACATATCAGAATGTACTGATCGCGTCGGCGCTCGTACCAAGGTATTCGATGCTCGAGGGGTCCGAGATGTTGGGGAGAAGCGTCCACTCTCACTACCGCCATCGCTTGCAGTGTTAGGTAGCGAGAAGTCCCTCGATGTTCGGCTGGTCGATACCCTTGGAACCTCCAAAGTGGTGTGACGATGATGTAGGCGAGGTGCTGAAGGATGCAAAGAGGTCGTTGGAGATCCAGCAAGAAGTTGATTGACATTTGAGGGAATCAGGGTAGAAGAGAGTCTGTTTTTAGGGTTTTGAGATAGATCTTGAGGCGTCCAATTCGCCTGTGAAGTACTGGCAGACGACTCAAGGTCGGTTGAGTGCGTCGAGTGGACATTGGTGCTTTGTGGGGCCGACAATGAATGACCTCTTGCATGGCCTTTGTGGTAATGTCCTTTACCTAGTTGACCACTCTCTGGAGACTTTGGCCTCGGAACGTAGGCAGCATTTCCGTTAGCATGTTCCAGCGAGTGCGTGTGATCCACGGTACCCAGTCTCGATGGCGGATTATTTATTGGAAGGTCCTGTGTCTGCCCCTCTCCCATAGCCCCGTATCCATTGACTGTTGAGCTCTTGCTTCCGTTCCTCGAGTGTGTCTTTCCGGGACCATCCGTATTATCACTGGACCTTCCGTTTTGTAAGGAGTGCAGGCTCGAGTTTACGCCGTTCGATTCACCGAGGAAGACACCTTCAACGCGTTTAAATCCTCCTGAGCTCTCTACTGGGAGCCCATTCATTAACCCCTTGGCAATCGTTGGGTGAGAAGAGGTCTCTGTGGAAGCCCGATGCGGCGGATCATATACCGAGGTCTCGCTTGAATCCAAGTGGACAGGCTCGCTCATGTATCTGGAGAGGACTGATGGCATCGTGTTTCTCCGGCCGAAGCGGAATTGATCTCTCCCAGCATGCCCAATCCTTTGGGAGTCAAAGCCTTATCAAAGGCCCTACAGGCTATATCGATACCGAAGTTAGAGCTCGTATTCCTTCCATCTGGTCCTTCTGTAATGAAAATCTCTATATGCCTCTCTGGTGATTTGTGTTTCTGAGGATTAGGAATCGTGCAACGGGCGCGAGAGGGCGGAGCGGGTGCTCTTTCTCGAGAGCAACGGTGACTGCCCGCGCCGGATGTGATGATGGCCAGAAAATTGTCTACGAAAGAATCAGGATGCGCGATGTAGCGACAGGGAAAACCAGACGTCAAATGAGTTGGATCAGTGTCTCTGAATTCCATTGGGCTGTTCATGATCGGGAGCCGTTCTTCCGAGGTCATATCTTGGCACTCAACGCTCGGGATCTGCGGCGCCGACCTCCGACTGGCTAAGAAGTTCACCCCTGGCAAGATTAAATCTATCAGATCCTACGATGGCAAAGTCATGGAAAAATGCTCAGATGATGAGGTGTTGTCAAAAATCGCTTTGGAAGACATTACAACCAAAAAATGTTGTTCAAACGCCCACTATGCTTGGAACCTCCGGAACATTCTGTGGCTGATTATTCCTATCTGAGCGACAAAAAGGATGCTCATGACAACGCGATCTGGGCAGATGATATCCTCAAGCGGATTCTATCAGCTGGAGAAGAGGTTTTGGTTCTTGTCAGGAAAGAACGTTAAGGATTTTGTAGACCAGCTGGCACCCTGCCATAAGAGTGATTACCCGTCAAAAATGGCACGCTTCTAACATAATACCACAAGATCTAGAGGCAGATTGTCGAGAAAGCCAACCATCGCAGAGGATATAATTTCACGTCTTTCTGTTGATTATTTTGGTTAGAGTGTTGATTGATTACTTAATACTATCTTATAGTCTTACCCTAGTGCCGACTATGCGAGTTACGTAACCTAAACCTAATTCATCAATTATATAAAATCTCAAATAAATAAGACTATATAAGTTACCGTTATATATTTTACATTTTATTATACTTAATTCTTGAAAGGGGTATATTCTATATCGCTAAAGTCTTTTCATCTTAATTATATTCTTCTTTTTAACCGCTTACTCTAGTAAATTCTTATTATTAATTCTTATTAAGGGCTTAATATTACTTAATAAATCTTATATTTCTTATAAAGTCCGCCGCTATAGAGGCGTAGCGTGGTTTTATTAGCATATTCTTATAAGTAATAACCCTCTTTTCACCTTTCTTCTCTCTTCGATCTACTATATTCCTCGCTTTTTACTAAATAGTCTATATTCGTAAAAAATATATTAAGCCATCTACTTCGCTTTATACTTATATTCTTTATTCTCTATATTCGATACTCATCGATTATAAAGAAAGATCTTAAAATCTATTTTCTTAATTTTTATTTACGTTATTAGCGACGTCTTAGCGCGCTTAACTCTCGAATATAGAAGTTATATTTATTTCGACAATATTAATTAAATTCTTCTAAGAATATTATCTCGCTTTTTATTAGTCTATTCGATAGTCTATTATTTTATCGCGTAATTTCTAATAGCTATCTTAATTATCGATATTATTCTTATCTATATAACTAATAATTAAACTATTTTATTAATATTTACCTTTACTCTTTTATTATAAATTACTTACTCTCGTTAATTAATAACTTTCTTCGCCTCTCTATCCGCCTATTTATTATTGTTAATATTAATATATATCGAGATCTAGTATAATTCTATTACTATTCTAAGATATCTTAGCGAATTAATAATCTATACTACTTATATTATATAGATCTATCTTAAATACTTACTCGAGTCTTCGATAGTTTAAATCGATATTTAATTATTTATATTTACTATAACTCTACTAAGTTATAACCTTATTTAGTATATAACTATTATCGTTAGAGCTTAAAGAATACTATATAACTTTATTAAATATATTATATATTAATTATTTAAGTCTAAATAGATATTAAAAGTAGAATTAATATCTAATAATATAGCTAAAGCTTTTACTTTTTTATTAATTTCGCTATCGTCTATATATATTATTATATAACTCTTATTAATTAATCTTTTAGCTAGTTCTTTAGCGACTTTCTTAATCTTATAAATTATTATTTTAAGAGGCTCTTAATTAGAAGCGACGCTAAAAGAGCGTAATTTCTTAATCTTATTAATATCGTCGTATTATTCTTTAAATCTATTAATATATCGCTTTAATAAACTTAGTTTTCTATTCTTCTTAGATTTTCTTTTAGATTTTTATTACTCGAATTATAGCTTAATAATCTCGCTATATACTAGATTAATAGCGATTTATAAAATAACTTTCGAGGTAATCTTATCTAGCTATTATTTAACTAATAGAAGATATACTTTTATATCGAGTATTAAAATAAATATAACCTTAAATACTCTAGTTATCTTTCTCTTTATCTAAGATTAAATTCTTTATAGCGATAAGAGATAAATTTTATTATAATTAATAGTATTTTTTAGACTAATATTATACTAAGTAGTAGTATATTATTTATAAAATAATTATCATCTAATAGAGCTATCTTATACTCTTATAATTATTATCTTATATCGATTTAATAATTTTCATTAATATATTAATACTTTTAATAAGCTTTAGATCGAATCTTTTTATTATAATAGCTTTATAGAAGTTTAAAGTCGATTTCAACTTCTAAATAGCGAATAAAGCGTCTTATCTTAATATATTATCTCTTATTAAATTATAGAGAATAGTTTAAACTAAATCTCTATTTTTTACTAAGATATAGTAGTTAATATTTATTAGAGATTAAACTTTAATCTATATTATAACGTCTACTTTTATATAAACTTCGTTATAAATTTTATACGAAGAGCGTTATAATTTTTCTCGATAAAGTCTTTTACTATTAGAAGGTCTATATTGTCTATAAAGCTAATAGCTATTATTTCTAAATCGACGCGATTATTATATTTATTAATAAGATTTAAATTATAGAAGAGATAAAGTATAAACGATAGCGATAATTTTTAAGAAATTCTAATTACTATAAAAGTCTTTAATATAAAGTATTCGCTTATTTTTAATACTATTATTCTATTAAATAAAAACGATTCTACTTAATTAATTACTCTCATATCGATTTTTTCGCTTTTTAAAGATTATAAAGTAGTTAAGAATAAGAGACTTTATTATATATATCTAAAACGTCTAGTAGTAATATTATAATTACTTTATTAGAGTTTTAGATCTAATATATTCTTTCTAGAAGATAGTAAATATTATATTTATATAATTGTAATCTACGATCTCTTATATATATATAGTCGATAGAAGTTTATATATCTTTGTAAGATACGCTATTCTTCTAGTAAAAATAAATTTTATTATCTTTTTTATAATATTAAGTAGAGCTATTAATTAATATTCTTTAGAAATTGAGTAATTTTTATCTAGCTTCGAAAGAATAATTATTATTAATATTCTAAAGTGCTCTAGATAGTAGCCGTTTATTATATATATATTAAATATTCTATATAGATAAGAGAGAGTAATAGCTTTAAAATCTTTCTTAAGAATTAGATTAAGAGATGCTCTAAGACCCTCTTTAACATACTACTTATTATCTTATTTATAATAATTATATTATTAGATAAACTTATAAATACGCTATGGCTATTATTAACTGCCTATACTAATAATAAAAATATTTTATAAGAAGTCTATCGAGCTTAATTCGTTATATTCTTATTTATCTTTATAAATAGCGAAGAAAGAATATCTATATTATAAGTTATTTTCTAACCTATTTAATTTTTTTTATTATTTATAACGATTTATATATCTTACTATAAACTCTCTAAACGCCTTTCTAATAATTCTTATAAATTATTTTTAAAGTTTTTAGAGAAAGGCCGAAAGGCCTTAGTACGCTAAATCTAATTGGGCTATAATATAAGTAAGTAAGATCGTAAGATTATTAAAATCGTAATATTATCCCCCTCTTTAATTTAAAGCTTCGGCGACGACTACTATATAGTAGATATCGATCTTATAAAAAGTATATCTAGGCGTATACGAAGTAATATCCTTAGATATATTAACTTAGTATTTTATTACGAGGTTAAGATCTTTTTATAAGTCGATATAGCTACTATAAATTAGTAGCGCTAATAGAGAAGACTATTTTAAAGGTCTTTTAAATAATAAATAAAAGTTAACGGCCTCGGGGTAATAATAATAAAAGTCTACTATTAGATTCGAATATTCTACTATATTCGTAAATAATTATTAGAATAGATTTTCTTTAATTTTAAAGCCTCTATATCTAATTTTATATATTAGATATCCCCTCTTACTAGTTAAGAAATTATTCTTTTATTTATTTAGTTTAAATTAAACTATTTCTTTAATATCGTAGATTTTATCTTCTTTATTAATATCGATAAATAATAGCGGAGGCTCGATCTATTCTAATAATAAGTCACTATTATCGAGATATAATAGCTATAAATAAAAGATAGAATAGATATTATTTATAAAAGTCGAGAGTTCTAACTCATAAGCGAAATTATTTAAAGCTTTAATAATTTTAAATAATTCGAAATTCTTATAATTTAGTAATTTACTAGAGCGTATACGATTTTAATATTTCTTCTATTAAGTATAATTATATCTTTAACTCTAAATTCTAATATCGAAAGTCGATAATAATTAGCTTACTTCTTCTATAAAGCTTATAATTATTTAAGCTAATTTTTTAGATAATTTCTTATAATATCTATCTTCTCGATAAATCTATTAGTTAACTTAATATCTCTCTTCGCTCTTTAACTAGCGAATTAATTTTAAGAGATTAAAGATTCTATTCTTAAGTAAGGAATATATTCTTTAATAAGAAGAAATAATAATACGATTAATAAGGCGTTCTTATCGAAGTTAGCTTCGA